TACTTGTGGTTTTGCAGATACAGGAGTGGCATGTTGTCGTTTCCATTCTTTGCATTGCCTAAGCTGGCTGTTCCCCTGACCTGCTTTACATGGCTTTAGTTACAATGACAGGGCACAATGCTCATTTAAGGTAATGAAAGCCTAGTAGCATCTGTCATAAATTGAAATTATGTTGACATGCGTGATTGAATCCTATCCTCACCTAGCTAGCATAATTTAAGAATGGGATTGCATTGTAAATAATATATATTATGTGTGGAAGTCTAATTATATAAAATGTATGTCTGAAAAATTGTACATCTCTGTGCTTCAGAGACAGTTCTTAGGATGATTTTAAAATATGCTGAAAACTTATTGTGAACAGCTAACTGTTTTGTAAGTGGTTTACACAGATGATTCAGCCAAATAAATGATTCAGTAGCATAGGTCCTGGAGAGAATGAAGTTGGGCTATACATTGTATAATTCAGAGTACATTTAACAGTAAGATGAGTATACATAGAGTTTTTTAAAACACCAGAACAGGGCACAACTTGCTGAGTATCATTATTAGTGTGTCAGCTATAATTCTGTTTGCTTCACAGCTGTTGTGTTTAGTTAATTTGGTAGCCAGCACTGAATGAGGAAAACAACTACAAACAAAACAACTTGGCAAAAACAATGACAGAAGGAAAGTTTGAGCTTTGTCACCTATCCTGCTTTGGGGTGTATGGGGTGTTAGGGGAGGGGTAGTACCTCTGGTGGGGGACACATTGTGCTCCTTCCAGTGTAATTTGTCCACCTTTGACCCTACTCTGCACTCAGCTGTCACCTGTAGCTCCTAGAAGCTGTCAGCATGCGACAGCAGCCACACCCTGGTAAATGGCTTTGACTGGCTGGCTAAATCAGGTGAGGGTACCCAATGGGTCTCAAATCCTTGGTGAGTTAGGGACTTCTCCATGTGAAGACAACATATTGAGCAGATGATACTAATAGTGGGTCAAGCAGTCAAGGCATTTCTGCCCATGTTGTAAAAGGAAGTGAGGGGCAGATGGGGCTCATCAGCTTGGGAAGGTAGCCAGTCTAGGAGAAGGAAAACTCCACTCCTAAAGCCTTACAGGATATCTTCAGGAGAAGAAACACTACACAGAGTCCCTAAGATGGCTGGATGGTGCTTTGTATGCCTCCTTCCAGCAACTCCTGCAGCCAAGCTGGTGCCAAACACATTGCTCTGCTTTCCTTTTGACCACATCAGCGAAGCCAAGAGAGGGGTCTTGTCATCTGGGCAGCCCAGGACCTCCATATACACTGCCCAGGCTTGCACCCTGGGAGGTCATTTTGGTGCTGCTAACACAGCAGTTTGACTTCATCCCCAGAGGCACACTCAATTGTCTCTTGAGACGGACAGATACCAAACAATACCGCTCTGGTGAATCTTTTGTTTCCAGCGACTATCTCAGGGTAAAATGCAAGTATCCTTGTTCTTGGCTGAGTGGGGCTGTTATGTTCAAATCAATGATTGAGTGTTAGTTCAGCACATTTGTCATTTTAAGGCATGGGTAGGAATGAGTTATGAGAAATAAACATAAGACAGTATGACATTTTGCCGCCTGGGAGGGGCAACTGTTTTTGTAGCAGCATTACCTGCAATAAAAGAAAAATGAAAGAACATAGTTTTTAAGTTCAAATGATTGATTCCAGTTCAGGAGGGTCCACCTGCAAAACTATAAGAAGAAAATAACTGACTTATAAATCTCAAGTTGAGAAAATAACTGACTTATAAATCCCAAGTTTATCTTTTCATTTCCCCTCCCTTTCTTAATCACACCAAATATAGTCTTTGGCTGTCCCTCCCCCCCATGGCTTTAGCATGCCAAGCTGAAATTCCTAGTAAATTGCTCTCCAAGTCCTGCCCAGAGGCCTTTTTAAAGGCTGGTTTCCTTGAAATCTGCATAGCTGCTTGCCTTTAGAAGGGTGGTTTAACTTAGGTATTTCAGCAGGTTTCCTATTGTGGTTGGCTGTGATACATAAATGCTATTACATATGTTGTTGCTGTTTTCTATGTTTTAATATGATAGGTAGTATAATTTAAATAAATTTAAATGAATTGTTATTTAAATAATTTGTACATATTATAATTTGTACATATTGTACATATTACCCAAGTTGATAGCTCAGTGGGTAGAGCACAAGACTCTTAATCAGGGTTATTGGTTGGAGCCACACGGTGGGTGAAAAGATTCCTGGATTGCAGGGGGTTGGACTAGATGACTCTCCTGGTCCCTTCCAACTCTATGATTTTGTGATTTATACTTGTTAAATGGAGTTTATTCACCATAGTAATGGTAGTTCATGCATACATATTTCAGGCATTCTGGCCAAACTACTGGAAGCTAGATTTAGCTTTTCCCAGGAACTGCAACCAAACACTAACAGACGTTTTGGAGACAGGGGTAATCTGACCAGTATCGTGGAAAGTCACCTTTAGTCTGACCTTACATAACTGTTGTGAAGTTCCATGCTGCTGTCAAAACAGTGCTGGACCATTAGTCTGAAATGAAAGCTGAATGGTAATGGTTTGCTGTGAGCACCCATGTGCCCTCTAGTTAAAAAGAAGAAGTCGGGTCATTGCTGCTTTAAGAAGGATGGAGCCTTCCAGCAGATATAGTCATGGAAATACTTAGGACCTTATCATGTATAACTTTGGTTGCTAGGCATGAAAACCAAGCCCAAGGGCAGAAAAAGTATTGCGGAAACAAAAATCAAAGGATTTGTGTGATAGCTGGAATGTCCTATAATGACATGAATTCCAGATCAAAGTCTAGATATGTTTTATTATTTTGGCAGCAGTATTAAGCAAGGAGAGAGAGAGAGCTTGGCACGTAGGAGGAAGTTAGACAAATCCTGTCACTTTCGGAGCCTGTCTGACCTTTAGGGTTGAAACTCAAATGATATAGAAAACTGCAGCTGCAGTTATTAGCAGAAATGTCCTTGAATTGTACCCCCATGTGGGCATAATTGCAGAAGTGTGAGCTGGCACAAAATAGATCACAAGGCACAGGAGCTGGTGAAGGTTCAGTAACACTGAGGGGAGGGAGCACTCTGCAGAAGCTGTGGGTGCAACCCTGCCCAGTTGCGCACAATTTCAGTTTTGCATCCCCCACATTTACTTAGAAGTAGAGCCCAATAATTTTACTTAGATTTGAATATGCATGAGCAAGCTGCAGCAAGACAAGGCCCCCCATTCCAACTTACAGTCATCCCTCCCCCCGCCCATGAGGTCTGCGTCCTACAAAAGCAAGATTATGCCAAATTATTCCTTTCTGGCACCCTGATCCTACAGATCCTACAGATAAACAGATAAAGGTTCTGTGGTTCTGTTTGCCTCCCTTGGTTCCTTTGGGAGGAAGAACAGGATATATAGTCATATCAATAAAGGTAAAGGTACCCCTGCCCGTACGGGCCAGTCTTGACAGACTCTAGGGTTGTGCGCCCATCTCACTTAAGAGGCCGGGGGCCAGCGCTGTCTGGAGACACTTCCGGGTCACGTGGCCAGCGTGACAAGCTCCATCTGGCGAGCCAGCGCAGCACACGGAAACGCTGTTTACCTTCCCGCTAGTAAGCGGTCCCTATTTATCTACTTGCACCCGGGGGTGCTTTCAAACTGCTAGGTTGGCAGGCGCTGGGACCGAGCAACGGGAGCGCACCCCGCCGCGGGGATTCGAACCGCCGACCTTTCGATCAGCAAGCCCTAGGCACTGAGGCTTTTACCCACAGCGCCACCCACGTCCCCAGTCATATCAATATATAATAATAAATAACAAAACAGGGACAGGAGGAACATGTCTAAGAAAATTACAATAATTGTAGACTTATAGAATCATATAATTGCAGAGTTGGAAGGGATCCTGAGGCTCATCTAATTGAACCCCCTGCAATGCAGGAATCTCAACTAAAACATCCATGACAGATGGCCATCCAACCTCTGCTTTGAAAAGCTTTCTTGAGTTTATGGGGGACTAATAGTCTCATGAAAGTGTCAGGGGTTGAGACAAACTGTGCTTAGTGTGATAATCTGTGAGAGGGATCCTGGCTTCTTCAACAAACCATGGTTAAAGAAACTTGTGGTATAGTCCCAAGGTAGTATTATAATGGCTGCTGCATATTTGTACACTACAATAAACCTCAATGTTATATATCAATGCAAACCACTACAATACTCCCTTGGGGAAGAAAATGAAAGATGGTTCTTTTTCTGCTTATCTTATTTAACACCCCACACCCCCACACTTATTAATATAGTTTTTATTTTAATATTTGATATACCTCCTTCATATTTAAAAAAATTTAAAAATGAGTGCATGAACTACTTATGAAACAAATCAATTCCCAGTAAGCAAATTAGAGTCCTGAATTTGTGCCAGTGCTAAGGACACTGGAGTTCATGTATTTTGCAAAAAGATGGTAAATATTAGCCCCAGTTAAGGTTGGCATTTGCTTCTGTTATTTTTTTTTTTAACAGAGAAATGTACTCTCTGGAAGGCTACATTTCCATGTAAGTGTATTGCTACTTTGGTTTTAAGTAGGAGAAATTGTAGCAGGGAAAATGCTTCTTCTTTACATTTTAATACGAATAGGTGACATTTTTATGTCAGAGTCTGCTTTCTCCTGAGGGAAATATGTCAGGGTCATATGCTGGTGAATGGGGCCAGAGCTGATGATGAGCAGGCCCAGGGACAGAAGTGTTCTGAATTAACTAATCCAGAATAAATACCACCCACTTTAGTTTTCACTGTGGCTACCTCAGATTAGAATTCAATTGTCTTTGTAGGTTTAATATGGGACGCCTGAATGGCTCTTTTCTCCCCAGAGTTATTTGGCCGGCCCTCACTAAAAAATAGTGCACCCACCTCACAGAACACCAATTCCATGAATTCGCACAAACTACCTCAGATTGTTTTGTGGGGGACTTATGTGAGGTAAAACTTATTAATTTGGAGTCTCAGGCAGCATTTGCTCAAATAAACAATAAATATTTTATTTAACAAAGGAAGTTATGACACGAGCGGGTAAAACAAAGGATACTTCAGATTATAATGTTATTTCACTTCAGTGCTTTCTCAGTTGTTGCATAGCTGTTACCGCTTAATACTTTGGTTCTTAAACAAGGTGGTATTTTCTGTCAGTTACACACCGCATAGACAACCCTACTCCTGAGGTACTCAAAGTAACAGACTCAAGGTTTCACTGGTTTGGAAGTCTTTTTCTAGAAGAATCTCTCCCCTCCTGGCTGGAATGAGACCTAAGGAGACTGTCTCTTTACAGCTTCTACTTCTCCTGTCTCAGCCTCAGCCTCCCAGTTAATTCCTGGCCTAATCACTCTGACAGGACACCACACACTGTCCTTCACACTAAGCTCAGGGACTCCTTTCTCTAGCTTGTGAAGTTTTTGTAAATAAAGTTATTTTTTATCAGATTTAATACTACCCCTTTCTTTTGTTCTGCAACCACACAAGAAAGAGGGGGGGGGGACACTTTAAAAGAAATAATAAGGGAAGAAGTCTGATGGGAGGGAAGAACAGGTGGCTTCAGGAGGTAGAATCATAGAATCATAGAGTTGGAAGAGACCACAAGGGCCATCGAGTCCAACCCCCTGCCAAGCAGGAAACACCATCAGAGCACTCCTGACATATGGTTGTCAAGCCTCTGCTTAAAGACCTCCAAAGAAGGAGACTCCACCACACTCCTTGGCAGCAAATTCCACTGTCGAACAGCTCTTACTGTCAGGAAGTTCTTCCTAATGTTTAGGTGGAATCTTCTTTCTTGTAGTTTGGATCCATTGCTCCGTGTCCGCTTCTCTGGAGCAGCAGAAAACAACCTTTCTCCCTCTATGTGACATCCTTTTCTATATTTGAACATGGCTATCATATCACCCCTTAACCTCCTCTTCTCCAGGCTAAACATGCCCAGCTCCCTTAGCCGTTCCTCATAAGGCATCGTTTCCAGGCCTTTCACCATTTTGGTTGCCCTCCTCTGGACACGTTCCAGTTTGTCAGTGTCCTGTGCCCAGAACTGGACACAGTACTCCAGGTGAGGTCTGACCAGAGCAGAATACAGTGGCACTATTACTTCCCTTGGTCTAGATGCTATACTCCTATTGATGCAGCCCAGAATTGCATTGGCTTTTTTAGCTGCCGCGTCACACTGTTGGCTCATGTCAAGTTTGTGGTCAACCAAGACTCCTAGATCCTTTTCACATGTACTGCTCTCAATCCAGGTGTCACCCATCTTGTATTTGTGCCTCTCATTTTTTTTGCCCAAGTGCAATACTTTACATTTCTCCCTGTTAAAATTCATCTTGTTTGTTTTTGCCCAGTTCTCTAATCTGTCAAGGTCGTTTGAAGTGTGATCCTGTCCTCTGGGGTGTTAGCCACCCCTCCCAGTTTGGTGTCATCTGCAAATTTGATCAGGATGCCCTTGAGTCCATCATCCAAGTCGTTGACAAAGATGTTGAATAAGACCAGGCCCAAGACAGAACCCTGTGGCACCCCACTAGTCACTCTTCTCCAGGATGAAGAGGAACCATTGATGAGCACCCTTTGGGTTCGGTCAGTCAGCCAGTTACAAATCCACTGAGTGGTAGCATAGTCAAGACCGCATTTTACCAGCTTCTTTACAAGAATATCATGGGGCACCTTGTCAAATGCCTTGCTGAAATCAAGGTAGGCTACATCCACTGCGTTCCCTTCATCTACCAGGCTTGTAATTCTGTCAAAAAACGAGATCAGGTTAGTCTGACATGACTTATTTTTCAGAAATCCATGCTGACTATTGGTGTTGGACTACATAAAATGAGATTGGGAGCTGCATGCGTCTCCCAGGTTGCAGGTTGTCCACCATGAACTAGAGCAATGTATTACTTAACAACACTACTCCACGTTGCTCCAAACTGCTGATGTTGTAGACAGTCACAATGCCAGCAGGGCTCAAAGCCAGAATCTCTTCTGAATGCGTCAGTGGGACGCATGAAGCAACAATAGTGCTTCTGACTGAAAGTAGCCCCATGCTGTTTTCAACAATTGTGCTTAAGGTACACCAGTGACACAGTGTCCTTCAGGAACAATATGTGCATATTCTAACATACCTGAGTACATGCATTGGGGAGAAACAGACTCATTTGTAACCATATGTTTAATTGTTATTACATTTCCTCCAAAGAACTCACAAAGGCATACATGGTTCTCTTCTCCAGGATTTCATACAGGTGATATTTCCAGTCCTACCTAGAGATGGTGATACCTAGAGAGCCGTCTGAGACTTTCTGCCTGGAAGACGGATGCTTTTACCACTGAGCTATGGTGCTTCCCCAGTAAACATTGTCAGACATCCAGATTAAGTGGCATATTGCTCTGTAGCTTCTAAACCAGGGGTCAGCAACCTTTTTCAGCCGTGGGCTGTCCCTCAGATCATGTGGTGGGCTAGACTGTTTTTTTTGGGGGGGGGGATGAATGAATGCCTATGTCCCACAAATAACCCAGAGAAGCATTTTAAATAAAAGCACACATTCCACTCATGTAAAAACACCAGGCAGGCCCCACAAATAACCCAGAGATGCATTTTAAATAAAAGGACACATTCTACTCATGTAAAAACACGCTAATTCCCTGACCATTCGCAGGCCGGATTTAGAAGGCGACTGGGTCAGATCCAGCCCCTGGGCCTTAGGTTGCCTACCCCTGTTCTAAAACAGTTCAGAGCCTGAGTCCCTTAAAAAAAACAAAAATCCTAGCTGGTTGAAGGCTTATACAAAGTGGTCTTAGAGACATGACCTGAGTTTTGCTAGACAACACTGTCTGCAGATGTAGTGCAAACAATAGTTGCTAAATGCCACGCACATATTTACTCCAAGAAGTTAGCATGATCTCGACCAAGTTAAGCATGTCAAGGTCCCTTTGATTTCAGTCGTTACTAATTTTGCTTTCTGTTTAATCCAGGCTAAAGTTTAGTGCACAATCAACATTTCTGTTAGAAAATGTTGACTTTGGTGATCTATTATCTCCAAACAAACATCAAATGTCAATTCCCATCAACATTCTGGGACCAATAATCTGTGGTTTTCCTTAATGTAGCTTTTCAAATTTAAAACGTTTTTATGTCATTCAAAATTAAGATGTCAAATAGTTTTGCTTAAGAACACTGAAATTTTCTTCTTCAACATTTCTGAGAAACGTGTTCTCTGAAATTAATTTAACCCACTCAGTTTTCTATTATCCTCTGCAGTTAAAACCACATAGAAAAATTTGTGCCATAAGAAGTTTCAGTTACTTAGCCACCTGCTTATTTGTGACTTGCAAGACAGATATTCTTGGAGTACTGTTCTCTTAATCAAAAAAGGAGACTGATCAGGTTTTTCCTGTTACCCCTTAGGCAATAAAGCTACAATTCTCAAATCATTTAGTTTTGGAGTAGTGCCATTATTACCCTCAGTGCGGCTGCTCCAGAGTAATGCTTTTTAATGATTATGGTATTTTTGTTTTGTTTTATGTTTTAAACTGCTTTAAAAGCATATGCTGAAAAGTGGTCTAAAAATATCACTAAAAAAAGGGAATTTGATTGCAGTTTTAAGCACATCAGAATTAAATATTCATAAAGTGCCTATTGGATATACTAAGGTTCTGCGCAGAAGGAAAATTAATGTGTGCCTGCTACAATCTTAACAGCACAGAAAGGTAAGAATTTGAGGAAGATTCCAAGATTTTTAGCCAAGCCTGTGGGAATGGGAAAAGGAGGAAAAACAACTTTGCTAGGATAAAGGAATAAACAAATGCAGGATACTATCCATCTTGTTGGGGACTATGGCAAGTAAATTTCCTTTCCGGTGCTTGAAAAAGTATCTTCCTGAATTTTGTCCTTTCCATGACCTTCATACAAAACAGAGGCCGTGTTGCAATGTAAAAATTCCAAAATTTATAAAACAACCAGCATCATTATTTTAAAACGTACCGTATCTGAAATTGTGTATTAAATGGGTTGTACCAGGGAGCCTTGGGCTTGCCGATCAGAAGGTCGGTGGTTCGAATCCCCACGATGGGGTGAGCTCCCGTTTGGTCCCAGCTCCTGCCCACCTAGCAGTTTGAAAGCACGTCAAAGTGCAAGTAGATAAATAGGTACCGCTCCGGCGGGAAGGTAAACGGCGTTTCCGTGCACTGCTCTGGTTCGCCAGAAAGTGGCTTAGTCATGCTGGCCACATGACCCAGAAGCTGTCTGCGGACAAATGCCGGCTCCCTCGGCCTATAGAGCGAGATGAGCACCGCAACCCCAGAGTCATCCACGACTGGACCTAATGGTCAGGGGTATCTTTACCTTTACCTTTGTATACAGTAGTTGAATCCTTAAATGTAAAATAGCGAATTCACTTAAGAAGCAATATATCTATTGTGTATCAAGTCTTCTACTGCTTTGATAAACTGCTTAGGAACCTCAAAATGATTATCCTCTCCCTGCTCCCTTTAGAAAACATAATATTTACTGCAAATATTGCAAGAAAGATAACTAATTATATACAGATATTAAAGCAAATCAGAATACATCCCCACAGGATGTATTTTTTTTCTTTTCAGGTATTTCTGTACATAAGATCAGGAACCAGACAGGGGAATGTTATCTGAACCACCAGGATTTTCCTTTTCACCACTTTGAGAAGAGAATTTGGCCATTGTTACTACTTTTCCAAATTCTATTAATCCACCCTCTATTAAGAGGGTGAAGCTAAGCACTCCCATGTACTTGCCTATACAGATTGGACTCCCAGAAACAAAGTGCAAAGCAAAACCTCCTGTGAGTACAATGGACCATTTGGTCAAAGTCGTTTGAATGAATCCATTTTGGATCCTTAGGGAATGCAGAGTGAAATACATTCTCACATTTTGCAAGCACTATAGTCTAACAATGGGATGCGGGTGGCGCTGTAGTCTAAACCACTGAGCCTAGGGCTCGCCGATCAGAAGGTTGGTGGTTTGAATCCCCACGACGGGGTGAGCTCTCGTTGCTCAGTCCCTGCTCCTGCCAACCTAGCAGTTCGAAAGCAGGTCAAAGTGCAAGTAGATAAATAAGTACCACTCCGGCGGGAAAGTAAACGGCATTTTTGTGCACTGCTCTGGTTCACCAGAAGCAGCTTAGTCATGCTGGCCACATGACCCGGAAAGCTATACATTGGCTCCCTCAGCCAGTAAAGCGAGATGAGCGCTGCAACCCCAGAATCATTTGTGACTGGACCTAACGGTCAGGGGTCCCTTTACCTTTACCTATAGTCTAATAATCTTGCATTTGTTCACATTCCCATCAAGCTACTTGTCCACAGACATCTCAACATTTGGAAGAGTACTCTGCAAGTGATTTTGTGTATTTTGGCATAAATAATAAACCACAATTACATTAATAAAAGTTGTGTTTCTTGCCAATTAGTGCACACTGTGTGTATGAAAGTACATTCTCCAGATTTTTTGCCATAACCATTATTCTGTTTTTTATCTTAGATTATGCTTTCAAACCTGGGAAACTAATATATTTGTGGTAACTATACTATATCCGAAATGCTTTTCAAACAAGGAGGGAGAGAGAGAGAAAGAGAGGGAGTGTACATGTATGTTTGTGTATACATCCCTCTATATGTATGGAGCTATGCAGGGCTTTTTTCGAGTGGAACTCACCGGAACTCAGTTCCAGCACCTCTCAGGTAAGCACCATTGCGATTATATGAGAACAAGGGAGGTGTTCATAGTGAGTTCCAGCACCTCTTTTTCTAGAAAAATAGCACTGGAGTTATGTATGTCAATCAACTGTCTATCTCTTCACTTCTGTGAATGGAATAGAGTGGGGTGGGGTATCATGATGCCCTTTGCCTCAGGCAGCAAAATGTCTTGAGCCACTCCTGAAAACAATCAAGGTGCTCAGAGAGATTTACAATGCATATTAATTTTATTGTCCCAACAACATTCTTTTAAGTCATTAGTACCTAGGCCTGGCCCTATAAAATATGATGTCCTAATCAAAATGTAACATCTTAGCATTGATTATCCACAAAATAATGTTCTAAAAGTATATTGAGAAGTGTTATCGTTGTGAAAAGTTATTGCCTAGCTTTATATAGGTTTTGGCAGCAAGCCTATGCATGTTTATCCTGGAATAAGCTTCACTGAGCACAGCAGGACTCATTTCTGAATAACTATGTATAAGATTGAGCTGTTTGACAGTGAATCTTCAAGCCTAATATTCTATTGCAGCGAGTAAGGACACCCACTTTGTTTTGCTGCCTACTGAGCAATAATTGATCAGCATGGAAACAAACACACTTTTCTTTCCCACTACCAATTTAGATTTCATGTAAAGACCAAAATTTAGTTTCAATCAATATCCAGTATCAGTACTTCTACTGAATGTTCTTGATCAGTATATGTAAGACAATATGTAAGACAGTACCTTTGAGCATGGTTTTGTTATTTTATTTATTGAACAAAATTTATATACCACTTGACTGTAAAAAATCCTTTAAGCAGTTACAAGAAATATTAAAACCATCAGCAATATTAAATTTATTTGAAGGGCACATTCAATAATTTCAGCCCATCAAAAAAACATTTGGATACAACTATTCTAGGTCAATGAGTGTGGCTGGCAGATTTGAGCCTACTCCTTCACCCCCATTTTCCAGGTCTGTGGGTCTGAGAAGCTATATTGTAAGAATGGCAGAATGATGGTAAGGTTTGCAGAATAAGACCATCAATAACAGCTGAGATGAGTTGGGAGCAAAATTTGCAAGTGCATTTTAAGGTGGAAGACTAGACAGATTGTACACGTGCCATTTAAACCTGACAAGATGTAAAGTGGATGGTATGGCGGTGTCATCTTTCTTAGGTGCACTCAAGCAGCAGAATGTTATCCAGTAAACTGTGTGTTGCAAGTTGTGGGGAGAGCAATCTGTTTTGGCAGCTCTTTTTGGCTGCAATCCCATGCACAGTTCAGCTACTTTTATCCCTCCAACTACAAAAGGGTTTTAACAGTCTAACTGTGCCCAGGATTATAGCTCTTGGGTATTACATTTGATACAATTACTACTTGAAACTCAAGAGCATATTCTACATTTATAATACAAGAGGCTTCAAATCATCCTTTGGAGGGACTGTTACAGCCATTTTTCTCCATAAGAAAACATTGTCAATGAGAACTTATTTGCTACATCACTACAAATAAGCGTTTAGACAATTTGGTGGTGACTAGCGTTCTTGGAAACAAAATTAGTATGAAAAAGCAATGCTGTTGGGTTCTACCTTTTCTTCGAATAGTTCAAAGTGGCAAACATCAGGTTATGTCATCTCCCCCCTCACAATTTCCTTTGAGGTAGTTTAGGCTGAAAGAATAGGAGTGGCCCAATATCATCCTGTCAGCTTTGCTGTTGAGCAAGTCCATCATTGTTCACAACACCATAATGCACAGTGACCACTGACATAACTGTCTCCTTCTGTCTGGCAGATAAGGTGAGCCCACAAGCCATCATTTGCTAAGGGCTGCCCCAAACCTGGAGCTTTTATTTGGGAATGAAAGAAGAGCTAAAGCTTGACAGCAACAAAAACCTAGAAGCTAGTTGAACCAATCTTAAAAATTTGCTCTAAGGCTGCTCAGAGTGGTTGGTTAATAAAACTGTTTCATAAAGAGAATGTCAGGGCATTGTTTGTTTGTTTGTTTGTTTGTTTGTTTGTTTGTTAAATTTCTATGTGCCCTTCATCCAAGGATCACAATATAAAAACACAAAAATACACAACATAATAACAAACAAAACAACCCCCCCCCCCCAGTTTAAAAGACCATAGATTGTTTAATTACCCCAAGGCCTGGGAGAAGAGGAATGCTTTTGCCTGGTGCCTAAAGATATCTAACAAAGGCACCATGGAAGCCTCCCTGGGAAGAGCATTCCACAAATGGGGAGGCATTGCTGAAAAGGTCCATTCTGGTGTTGCCACCCACTGGACCTCTCATGGAAGGAGCACATGAATAAGGGCATCAAATTACGATTGCAGGGTCCACATCAGTTTATATGGGGAGAGGCAGTCCTTGAGGTATTGTGGTCCTGAGCTGTTTAAGGCTTTATGGGTCAAAACCTGCACTTTGAGTTGGGCCCGGAAAATGATTGGCAGCCAGTGCAGTTGGGCAAGGATTGGTGTTATATGCTCAAATTGTACTGCCCAGGTGAGCAACAGTGGCCCACTAAATTTTGCACCAGATAATAATATAATAATAAATTTTATTTATATCCCGCTCTCCCCAGCCGAAGCCGGGCTCAGGGCGGCTGAGATGTTTTCCATAACGTCTTTAGAGACAGCCCCATGTATAATACATTGCAGTAACCTAACCTAGAGATTATCGGAACATAGACAACAGAAGTTAGGCAATTCCCATCCAGATAGGGATGCAGCTGGGCCATCAGTCAAAACTGATGGAAAGCATTCTGCACCACCAAGGCCATCTGAGCCTCAAGCAACAGCAATGGACCCAAAAGTAACCACAAGCTATGGTACATACCTGCTCCGTTAGAGGGAGTGTACCCCTATCAAGAGCAGGCTACTACCCATCCATCAAGTCTAGGGAACTAAGCAACAAACAGTGCCTCAGTCACATCTGGATTTAGATTCAGTTTGTTGGTTCTCATCCTTGGTATGGTATAATTTGGAGTAAAAGTATGTTTTATCCTTTATTATTGTTATCTGAGAGAAATCTGCATTAATATGGTTATGCTTTCCTATTATTGAACCATTGAATCTGTAAGTAAAAATTCTATTCCCAGCTATTTAGCCTTTGGCCTCAATTATCCAGGAGCTAGCATTAAACTTGAATAACAGATTAAGGATTTTTTAACAGATTGGAAGCTCAGAAGATAACTATAAGCTTTCAAAATTTCTGGACAAAAACTGCAAGTGAGATACCAAGAAGAAGCTATAATGTGAGGGGTTATATCGAATACCATCTTAGAGGATGATGTGTAACAAAAACACATGGGTATCAGAACTTGTTACTCTAATTGTGTGTAATTTCATCTTCCATTATTGGAAATCTGTATACAAACATATTGGTTGTGTTATCCTTGAGTATAAAATGTTGTACCAAGAGTATATTGTCCCACAAAGACTCAATAGGTTTTACAAAATTATTTTATTGCTGGACATTTCATGTGAATATGTTTATTTCATACATACAAGGGACATTTGTTTTCAGAAAAGGTATTTCTGTAATGATTCTGATTCTGCTGAACTTTATTATTTAAAAAACCTTATGTACACAACACTAACCAGTGCTTTTTTTCTGGGGGTACATAGGGGTACGCATACGCCTAAACATTTTGTGAATCTAAGTTTGGCCTCATTGAGGGGCAGTATTTCAATATGAGTAGGAAAATGAGAGTACCTCTAAACATTTTTTTAGCAAAAAAAGCACTGACGATAACAAAAACTGGCAATAACCTGTGCTGGGCACAGGTGAGATTGTCCTGCAAATAAAATATTTCAAAATTACATGAAACACTGTCTCGTCTTATTTTGGAAATATGTAACAGCCTCCAGTCTCTACAATTAAGACCTGAATTTCATTGTGTAAGTTTGTCAGCTTATTAAAAATGCCTTTGTAGAATTGTTGTCATTTTATATATGCATAAAAGCACAGAGAAAGGCAATTCATTAAAATGCAGACCAGTATTTAGATCCTTTGCAGGCTGTAGGGAGTGTAATCAGGCCAACAAATGCCTTCTTAATGATGGGGGGAAATTATGAAAGAGGAAGATGGGGCTGCCTTGTACTACTGCTGCCCTATCTGAAAAGCTAAATTTACTCATGAAATACAGTACTTAAAAGGAAATACCATGACGTTAATGTTTCCTTCTGGGGGAGTTTTAAATAGGGTGACATGCATGAGTGATTAGAGCACTGAATAAAAATAGTGTATTGTTACTAATAAGGGAAGTGTTCTTATTAGTAACAATTCATACACAGTTATTTTTATTCACAAAAATAAATAAATTTGTAACTTGATTTCACAACAAAGACTGTACCTGAAGGTAGGGTTGCAACGATAGCAGGATCTTATCCTTTTATAATATGCTTTAGAGTCTCATAGTATTAATATGATTCATTTTTCTTAAAAAGGATGGAATGGCTATATCTGAATGTTTATGCTTTGTATAGTTCATTGTATCTATATTTAAAGCTCTGGTTTCTGTAGTGATGGAAATGCTTAAGGCTGCAATCATACACCATCATGTGGGAGTAAGTCCCATTTAACTCAGGGCTTACTTCTGAGTAGACCTGTATAGCAAGACTGCACTGTAAGTTACATATTACATCAGACAAAAAGAACATTCAGAGCAACAAATGGTGAAAAACCTGTACCTGTCTATTTTTTTTCTTAAACTGGAGTGGTTTCGCAGGTATGGCGGCTACTTACATTCCCTCTTGGACAGAGGTAGATGGTTAGTGCATGACTCTCAGGTTCCTTGATAAAATTAGTAACACCAAGTTTTGCTCCACATTTTGCACTGCAAAACTCATTTTAACGGATCGTTATGTCTGTGTGATTAAAAGTTACAATCACCATCTTTAAATTACTGATTATCAGTTATTTTTAGCTTTCCCCACCATGGAGATGTGCTGATGAGAAATGCTTCAATTGGAGCCTCACACATAGGTCTTAAAGACAGGAGCCCTGTCAGAAAAGGTGGGAGTAGCGATCCTACACCTTCTCTGGTATCCGTACAGCTTTCAACAATTCTGACCTTCCAATTTTGATTTAATTTTATATTTTCTAAAACCACTTTGCTCGGGGCACTTGAGGCTCTTTCTTTGCTTTGTGTTAAAAATCTTATCTGATTTCGGATGAATTTTTAAAAAGTCATTATATAATGATGTAATTATGTGATGATATCATCATGCACTGCACTATGTGTTCATCACATAGTGATGATGACTAGGAGATATAACATACCTGACAGTGTTTACTCAGCTCTCTTCTGCTTCTATGATCATCAGAGGCTGTAGAGTTGGTAAGCACCAAGTATCAGATTCCTCCACTGGATTAAATGGGCAGTGGCACGAAGTTAAGATTTTTGGGAGTTTTGATAAATCAGTGAATCACTTTTAACATTCCTCTTCAACCTGAAATATGAACCACAGAACATCCTGATATATACTGTATCTCTGTCACAACTTATTTTTTAAGAACTCAAGTTTTTAACAAGGCCATTGCCACAAAATGGAGCGAGTAGGACACGTTCATTTATTTGCTGGGTGGAGAATATAGCCCTCAAAATCATTTTGGAACTCTCTGCTTTAGACTACACATATCCTATGATGTGCTGGTTATCATCTCAGTAGGCCACAGTGCTCCTGGACTAGAATAATTCATGTTGTGAAACATAAAGAAAAGTGCCTCCACTATGTGTCCCTGCCCACCAAGTAGATTCCACCCCACCCTTCCATCCAATCTTTATGGAACTCAGCTTTAGTAGCAAGAGACTAGAAAGGTGGCAGGACTGAAATGGAGGCTTATCTGCTAATTACGGTACCTTATTTCAGCAGGGAAGAAATCTCACTTTCAGAAACTGTTATGTATTGGGTTTAACACATGTTTATGTTACAAGGTGCGTTCGTCTACCAACGCTTATACAATTGGTTAGAACGCTTATACAATTGGTTGTAACATAACATGTGTTAAACCCAATACATAACAGGAACAAATATGAAATTACATGAGATGAGGGAGAAATGTGGTTTCTTTTCCTGTGTCAGACCAGTTTCTGGTCAAACTCGCAGAGTCAAACTTTTTTAAAAGTTTTGCCTGCTTTCCACATTCTGCTGGGATCTGCAGTTGTCATGACTTTTTCACCCTCCAACAATAGAAGAGTTGAAGCACTCTTGTGGGGGCAGGGGGAATGTCGTAAAGCTGCAACGAAATAAAGGGAGTGTCCCTTCAAGTCACTGTATTTAAGATTAAGGAACAAGCAATGAGCAGTTGATCAACTTATTTCAGGGGATTTAGGAATACCTAACAGCCTAGGATTGAGTTTAGTTCATTGTAAGGAGCAGAGAATTGTTACATGTAGGTGGAATCTAGTCTGTGAAGGCTGCCGGCTGACCCTTAAACACCTATCCCCCGCTATCCCACACCTACACTGGATTACTAGAGCACTCCTCAGCAGTCAAGGCTGAAGAAGAAATCGGGGGCCATATGTGTGCTCCCAATGAAACAAAGATGCCCAGTTGTTTCTTATCGTAATCTAGAAGCAATGATGGGGATCTTTTAGCCTTCCAGATGTTGCACAACAATTCCCATCAGCCCCAGCCAGCATAGCAAATAAGTCAGGCATGATGGAAGGTGGGATCCAGCAGCATCCGATAGGCCACAGGTCCCCTCACCCCACCTTCTAGGCTCCTCCTATGCAATTGACAAATTCAGGATCTGCTGTGCGTTTTCCCTTAACCCTGCCGCTGTCACGGGAGACGTGGGGTGGGGACACTGCGCAGCTTTTTGCTGCTGCTCGAAATCATTATTATTGCTGCTGCTTGCTACGGGATCAGTACAGACACTTCGATGCTATGGCTTAACACTGTCGGAAAAAGTTTAGCTGACGAGTATTAGGGCTTGTCCTAACCACGTCGGCAGCGACGGGATGTGGGGAAGACGGGGACCAAAAAGTGGACGCTGACGGCTCTTCTCTGTGGAGCAGTTGCCCGCAGCGGCGGCGGCCTCAGGAGGCATCACGTGCGCGCGGCGAAGGGTGGGTCGGTGGGCGGGTTGCCTTCGGAAAGGGCTGCTCCGCGGCTCCTTCCCGTCCCTCTTCCCTCGCCTGGGTTTCGGGACGCCCTCCGTGAAACTCCGCCCCTGGATATGGGCGAGCGAACGAGGAAGAGGCGAAGGGAAAGAGAAAGGCAGGCGAAAGGAAGCGCAGGGGGCTCGGCTTTGTCGTGAGCTCGGGAGCTGCTTCGCCTTCCCATCTGCCGGGGGAGCCCGACCAACTCCGGGGAAGAGGCGGCGGCGGCGGCCGGGGGCTGGTTGGCTGGTTGAGGGCGCAGGAGCCGCGGCAGCCACCGCCGCCACCCTCCTCCTCCTCCTCCTCCTCCTTTCTCTCCTCCCCCAGCGCCGAGGCCCACTAGGAGGGACCCAGAGGAGCCCCCCGGAGCTCATTCCCTGCTGGTGGGGGTGGCACACGCAGCCCCGCCATGGCCACCAAGGTGAGCAGAAAGCGAGCCCTGCACGCGGCAGCCTCCCTTCCCCAGCGCCGCCCGCTTTTTGTTTGTTTTCAAATAACTCGGGTGGGTGGGGGGTGTAGTTTCTGAGGGAACGGCTCGCAAGTGGGGCGCGTTTCTCTGGGGGTTGGGAGGAACCGGAGGGCGTTTTGGCGGGACTCTTGGCTTGCCTGCCTGCGCGCCGGGGTCCGGTGCTGGCTTGAGGAGCGGGGCATGGCGGAGGGCGGCGTCTGAGGGGCATTCCCGCCCCCCCCCCCCGTTGAAGTCACTTGGCACAGTTTAATCTATTCCAGGCAGACGGGCAAACGTGCGTTTGGGCCTCCAGCACAACTCTCCGCTGTGGTCTCAGCAAACGGGAGGAATGGCTGGCGAAGAGCAGCCTTCAAACTTCTGGGTGCCTCTGGAAAGAGTTTCCTTTCCACTGGCGATATTTTCATTAATCCGTGGTAAACAGTGAAATGAATGACTTGCTGTGTTAAAAGGCTCCTCTCTTCTAGGAGACAAACTCTCTTGTTCCTCCATGAGTAACTTTTCCCCAAGTTCAGGGTTTGAAGACAGTAATATGTGTCAGTGAAGAAAGAAAAAACCTGCTTCCCAACTCCATTCCTAGGTGTCATCACATTTTGTACACAGTGCGTGTTAACTGGTTGTCCTTCTGGTAGTATCTGTTCCGTTTTGTAATTCTGAAAAGTTGCTTGAAGTAATGCAGACGTTACAACCGATAGTATCCTAACAGCCAAGTCCTCTGCATGTTTACCGGGAAGCAAATCCCATAGTGTTCAATTGGTCTTTCCTACTTGTGTGTTTTGAGTTACAGCCTACATGTGCTTTCTGGGTTGCAAGAAAACATTTCAAAAATACTTTTCTGGGGCGGGGAAAAGTGCTAAGATATCTCAAGGGAGCAGCAGCTGATTGATGTTAGCATAGTCTGTGTGGAAACTTATTTTTAAAAATCAGTACTGTTTTCATACTGTAAATGTTTAAATTCTACAGCTACTTCATTTGTTACTGTTTTTAGTTCTAAGATCAAGCAGTAAAAAATTAGCCACCAGGTGTTTTTAATACGTCCTTTTTCCTTTCCTTGATTACATCATATGTTAGTTTTGATCACGTGTATATTTAGAACTAGTATTTCCAACCTACACATGATGAGGGGAAAATGAAATGTGGTATATCTGTCCTTAAAGAGATGTTTGCTTCTCAGTTTATGCATATGCTTTAGAAAGGCATTTTAATGTTTAGTTTAGACATGCTTTTGGACTCTTCTGTTACCCAGATAAAGCTGTTGACTTTTTTTTTAAAGTGGTTTAATTTTTGAAGTTCTTAAATAGTCTTTCAGAAACTAAAACAAAAGACCAACAGGCCTAGCACTCTCTAAAACACTGTAATTATTACTTCTGCAAAAGTGTTTTTACAGAATTCATTATTATTGCAATATCCCTCAGGCAACTCATCCCTTTTTATAGATGAGATGCCAAAGCAAATATATCTGTGGATTTACTGTATCCATGGCATAAGCAGGTCTGAATCAGATCAATCACAATAGGCCTCAGTCCACTTCTTTATTGCAGACCAATTCAGGCCATATTGTGCACTCGTGTTACTTTTCTGACAAGTTTTAAAAAGTTGGTCCCAACTTCTTTTCCTTTTCCTGCTTGAATTATGAGTACTGAAAAAGGAAAGGTATATTAGAGAGAACTTGGATATAAGTACTGATTAAATTGATCCTTATGTTCAGAACTGCATCAAGTTCTTTGTAGTTTATCCTTTATTTTTGAGTACTCAGCATTCAAATAGGAAAGGAAAAAATGAGTAAAGACAAAGTTTTAAAAAACTAGTCACAAGGAACGATTGCTGAGTAATACTCTTACCTCATCCATGGCTATAGATAGCTCTTTCCTTTGAAGTGGTGTTTTTAGGTATAATAACCACAGAAAGAGTATTGAAACTCCTTCAGTGTGAGTTCTCAGTTTAAAGTTCAGTGTGAGTTTGCAGTTTAAAGTATATGACCAAGGTAGATTGTTTTCTTACACTTTCATTATGAAAATTATTGGTATTCTGTATTATTACTAGTCTAGGATGTGCAGTTATGAGGTCTTAAAAATAATTGTGAATAGGGCTGTGGAAATCAAGAGGTTTCCATTTTATAGCAAAAATTGGAATGGAAGAGTTTTTTGTTTAATTTGCTGCTCTGGACCTAGACACCGGATAATATAATATTAAAAAGTGTAATGACAGCTGAATAATGAACAAATCAACAAAAATAAAAATAACTGTTTTGATAGTTTTAATATCTTTTGGCAGTAGTTGAGTAAAAAGTTGATGAAGTAACATGCTTTTCTTCTTTAAGAAAAAGAAGAGCAGGAGAGAAAGGCCACTAATTGGAAATGCAGTTTTGTTTCACTTGCCACCACTCAGTGGAATTTGCTATAACTTTTTCTTTACTGGCTTGCTTTAAAATGGGGCATATGTAGATTTTTACTGAAGTACTCCGCCTGTGGAGAAGGAGCTGCTGTAAAGATAATAAATAATCTGCAGTCATTCTTGTATGCATTCCAGTGAAGAGATCATTGGGTGAGTGGTACTTGAGCTTGGCATGAGTTGGGATGAGAGGAAGGAAGGAATTCCTGCTGAAAGTTTTTAAGTCTCTCAGCCTCAATCTGTGAGTCCTTACGCAAAGTGGTGGACATGCTCACATGCACATGCTCACAGAATCTGTGCACTAACATGCCAGTCAGCTGAGGGAAGGGGCCAAAGGGTAGAGTAAGTTTGGAAGAGAAGCCAAAGTTTGAGATGCACTGTGTGCCTGTTTGATAGAGCCTGGGTACAGTGACATGTCTATTCATAAGCTATTTGACTTGCATAGGCACTTTTTCTCGAGTCTAATGCCTCCTGTGGGAAAAAAAATTATCTTAGTTATTCATCAGTGGAAGTATATGCCTAGATTTTGGACACTTTGAGGAGATCTAAAGCTATTGCTTAGTTTTGCAGGTTTATAGTGCTGTGCTCTGTTGATGTCCCTTTCCAGTATGGCATGGAAATATATTTACAAAGCACTTTTAATACCAGAGTGCAATGTGAATTTCCTCTTGCCAGCTGTTGAAAGCCAAAGCTATTGAAGGTTTTCCGCTTAGGCAGTAGCAGAAACGTAGTCCAATTGGTGCTTGCTTACTTCAGTGTTGAAAGGAAGTGAAGGATCATTGTTTCAGTGCCAAACAAATGCAACTTCATTGTGTAAACATAGAAGCTTGCTGCATCCTTTTATTTGGCTAGTTTTCTAAAGTCAAATGAGGATTGCCCTATCTTTTGCTTACGTGAAATTGTACTGTGAATAATAAATAAAAATATATATCTGAGATTCTGGGAAGCATTCAGGAATAATAAAAGGCTTAAAAATGGAAGGCTTGTGCTACATTGTTTCATAGTCTGTTTTGTTTACATTCTTGAATTATTGACTCTCAATATGAGTTGCAGGTACCTGAAGCAATGTTCACATTTTCAAAAATTAACTTAAAAAATTAAAGTGCTATTTTAAACAACTAATTGGATGATATTTAAACCTGGTTATTTCAAAAATTGAAATTCAGCATTTAAGTCCATGGATGATAAGATACAGGCAATAAAAATTGCCAGCCAGAAACTTAAAATGGTTAGCTGCGAATATGTGCTTCTCAAAGCTGAAAAGACCAATGGCTCTGTAAAGCTAAATGACAGACAAGTCAGTCTACCCATGTAATTCTCATTCACATTCTGTGTGAAATGAGTGTACTATATGTGCAATGATGTAGAATTTCCATGTATGTGTGTGTGTCCAGAGTTAACCTGAGAGAGGTGGGTGCAACTTGATGACCTGGCTCTTGCAACTGGGAAAACTATTTGCTTTAGGTGAGCAAGTGACATACAGAATAATAGAATTGCAGAGTTGGAAGGTACCCGAGGGTCATCTAGCCTAACCTCCTGCAATACAGGAATCTCAGCTAAGACATGCATGACAGATGGCCATTCAACCTCTTCTTAAAAACTTCCTGTTAATGAGGTAATGTTTCTCTTGCCATAATCAAGAATGGGGTTTTGCCCTTTTTGAGGACATGTCTGTTAGGATAGTCAGGATCTCATAAGGTTAGAAGAGACTAATATAGGCCATTAGTCTAGCTGGTTGTTGCAAAACTGGACCATCATTCCATCAACTCTGTCAGTAAATGTAAGAATTTACACTACTGTGATCTGAGACTAGGTGCCCCAAAAGCAAGCAAAGTCTCTTGCTTTTGTAAATAGCTAATTCTAGTGAGGTAACCATGCTAGTTTGTTGTGGCATAGTTTGATAACACCTCAAAACCTTGACATTTATTGCAGGGTTTTCCAAACTGTGGTCTATAGACTAAGTTTCATTTAGTTACAGTAGTTTGTTGTCTGTGAAGAACCTTTACAATGTTAATTCTATAGAATTCTAACTAATACAAGACAATACAACATAAGAAATAAAAGAAGTAATAAAAATGCAATTAAAAATCATAACAGCATTTAGCACAGGTTCCTACAATTGTTGCAAGAGACAGAAGAACCATTAAGTTGTTTGCCAAGACCCACCCAGCCAAACTCAAGTGGTCCATGGGGAGAAAAGTTTTGGATCCTCTTAATTTATTGTGAATTCACAATAGTTGGTATCTTTCCAATGACATGCTGAACAAACACAGTACAGCTGGAAGTGTTGTGGCACACCGAAAAGCTTAGCTTGCCATGAACCACGATCCCCAATTCAGACATAATGCTTTACCAAGGGGAGTCAACTGTGTATTTACTATAAATCATTAACTATGGTTTACAATGAAATGTGAATTGTGCCACATTTTGCCAATATCTTGTGTCAGAGAACAACAAGCACATTTTTTTCATAATTGTTGAGAAATGACCATTCTTAACAAGTGCCGTCGTTTGCATCCCTATGTAACAAGTTAAGGGAAGAGGATATTTCCATTATTGAAATGAAGTTATTTTTCTTTGGCATAAATTTGAGAAAATTGGAGATCATCTGGATAAAACATAATAATTTTTATGTAGAGCATCCCTTTTAAAGATGCCTTCCCATAGTTACAAATGGAGTCTATGAACAGGCATGAATTGATTTCAGATGATACAAAAATAATCTTCTTGGAACATGAACACATGACTTCAGTTACAATCTTCCTTTGTTCTGGCCAGATGGTGACTTTATACTTTTCAATTACCGTATATTAGAACTCATGATGGTGAGCCCTCCCCTTTCCTCCAGCTTGATACGAATGGACTCAGGGAAAAAAGGTTTGACACAAAGGAAAATCAAGCCCACCCTGCCATGCCAAAGTTCAGTCCAGTCAGGATTCTGGTGATGCAAAGAACTGAAGGCCTCCTTTCTCAAAACTTAACTGCAGCAGTGTCAGGTATTGTGGCAGGGCCTTATTTTTCCATGTCATATAAGAATGATCAGAACTATTTCACATGGTAGGAAGCATAGGACTTTGGAATGCTCTCCCCAGAAAAGTACACTTGATGTGCCTGGTGTCAGGTAATGTCATTTTTATTTTCCTTAGGCTTTTAAATTTTTGTCTTTTCTACTCTAATATTAATTTTATGCTGCTTTTATAGATTTTCAGTCTTTAGCGTATTTTATAGTGGCTTAATATTTTATTGTAGGCAGCCCTCATGTACTTGAAGGGGAGATATCAAACTTAATGAAGGATAAATAGAAAGCTGTGTTACAGTGAGTGAAGCCATTGGTCAGTTTAGCATACTTTTGTCTACTACGCCAGCTGGTAGTGCCTTTACAGTGTTTCAGAAGACTTTTCCAGCCATGCCTGGAGATGGCTGGGATTGAACTCTGGACTTCTTACTAACAAAGCATATGCTCTACCACTGAGCTATGCTACCCTTTCCTCATTGCTTGGGACTCTTCAATGATAATGGCTTGGTTTGCCCATGCAATAAGCCAAACTACGGCTTACAGGGACTCTGTGAACGTTCTGTCTCCTGGAGGCAAGCTTGCATCTACTTTCCACCCTCCTGGTCCTTTTTGTTCTGTGCAACAACTAAGTCAAAGTTTGGCTTAGTTTGTCACTTGAACCCAGGATCATGGTTAAGCGCTCTCCTTTTTAACCATGATCTGTAACACTAGGGCAATCCTTGACTACAGATCATAGTTAAGGAAGAGAGAGCTTAACCAAGATTCAGATGACATGCTAAGCCAAGCTGAGCTAAAAAGACCGGGGAACAGCAAAGTGACTGATTTTCTCCCTGGGAACAGTCTATTCACATTATGCCTTGGTTTGGCTTAGTGTTGTGTGTGAGTGTGGCCAGTGTGTAGTGCTTAATGGAAGCTTTATTGACAGCCCCATTGTTGCTTCTACTTCATGTGGATGTACTATGTATCCTAGACAGTCATTCTTTTTTCTTGCAGTCTCATCCTGTTGCAAGGATGAGCAAGAAAACAATTGTGAAAGTGCTGTCCTTTTTTCCTCCCATTATGCTACTGACTGATAGAAATAGTATATTTTGCCATATGGGGTGTTGTTCATTCCTGAAAATGGTTATCTTCCCTGCAACTTTAATGGCATTACTTGCTGTGCTGGTAACCCAACATTTCCATAAACATGGTTGTGTGCTGGATTCCACCCACCCCCCTTATTTCTTTTTGGTTAGGGCAAGGAATCTTTGCATGTAGGGAATGAAACTCTTTGCTTTGGCCTTAATTGACAGAACAGATTTCTTCCTTCCGTTTTTTAAAGGCTTGGTGAAGCTCAGCAGTTTTTTTTAAAAAAATATTCTTCCAAGATAATTTAGAACTTAAGAAAACAATGTAGGAGCAAAACATCTTGGAACAGTGCTCATTTTATTGACTCATTAGAGCAGGAGTCTTCAATCTAGAGCCTGCAGGACCCAACTGAGTTGCGAATCTGGCCCGCAGGGCCATTTGAAAACCCACTGAGAGTCCGCTTTTCCTTAGCGCAGTAGGGGGTGGCAAGCAACCCCAACATGGCTTTTCAGCAGCTCGGGGACTGATTGGACAGTCCCCGCACCGTGCTGAGGTAGACTGATGTGGCCTTTCATTCGTTGAGCCGCCGCTGACACACAGCTAGATATACAGTCCATTTGTAAAACAGTGGTTAAAACAGCATTAAAATATATTTTCAACAGGCATGTATTCTGCATAGTCAGTGAGATTTTAGAAACCATGTGGAAAAATATCATTCTGAGAATGTTTTTGTGTCTGGAGAAGACTTGGAACATGTTGCAATTACATTTTGCTGAAGAGTTTATTTCCACTCAACAGTGCTAGTAATTGTTTCCCAGAGTGGCATCCCTGTTTGTTTCTGAAGCACCCAGGCAGGTTTCCTGACAGTAATCCAACCAGTTTTATGTGCTAAGAATGAATTCCTTACTACAATATGTTTGTATATTCATAATTGTTTAAATAACATCTGTGCCTTGCACAAGGCTCACATAATCAATCATCCAGGCAATAAATGTGGACAATATATGGTCTACATAAAAATTAGGCAGAATTTATCATCTTTCCCATGCTACATTATAAAAGATGTAGTTAATTTGGACTCGTACTTTTCATAGAATCATAGAATTGTAGAGTTGGAAGTGAGCACCAGGGTCATCTAGTCCAACCCTCTGCAATGCAGGAATGTTTTGCCCACCGTGGAGCTTGAACCCACAAGCCTGAGATTAAGAGTCTCATGCTCTACCAAGAAATTAGTTTTTGGTTTTGTAGTGAACAAATACTTTCTGAACAAAAGTTAATTCTAACAATATTTCATTTTTGAAATGTGCAAAACTAGGGCAAGTTCTGAAAGAACATATTTAATGAACTTAGTAGAGAAGGAAATTGGGGAGCTCAAGGCAAATGGAAAGCACGCGCGAATTACTGGTTTACACTACTAATACAAGCAAAAAGTCCAAAACAAGGGAAGTGGAGTAAGGACAACTTTCTACTATCACCTGATCTACTGAATACTTTCATAGCATGATACCGGCAGAATGACAGTGTTCTTGTTAATACTTTATACAACACAACAGCATTATCAGCATGTGTTTCTGCTGTCAAAATTTGACTAGCTAGCAACACTGTCCACCACTGTGTTCCACAACCCATTAGCTTTCAAGGTTTCAAACAGCTTATGAGAAGGACACTGCTGCAACTTACTTTTATCATGCATAAGACACTTCAGTACAGTGGTACCTCGGGTTAAGTACTTAATTCGTTCCGGAGGTCTGTACTTTACCTGAAACAGTTCTTAACCTGAAGCACCACTTTAGCTAATGGGGCCTCCTGCCGCTGCGCCGCCAGAGCACGATTTCTGTTCTTATCCTGAAGCAAAGTTCTTAACCTGAAGCACTGTTTCTGGCTTAGCGGAGTCTGTAACCTGAAGCGTATGTAACCTGAGGTACCACTGTAATATGAAGATGAACTGCCCTGTTTTTCCTGACAGCAGAACACCCTCAGCGTTTTAGTCTACACTTAATAAAGAAGCAGTCAGGAATCTCTGACTTCTGGGTCAGTTTCTTGGTAAGTGGGACTTCCTGTCATCACCAATCAGCTGATTGGTGCTGCAGCTAGCCTTCAAAGCTGCTCAGTGAGCCCTTTTTAAGTTGTCATCTGACATAAAAATGATTCAGCTGATTGATAAATAGGTGCCCACCAATCAAATTTGGCCTACAGGGTTGGAGGAAACCTGCCAGTTGGATCAAGTTCCCATCCCTGACTAAAGCATGGAAATGAGCATGAATAGCACAGCCGTCTATTAAATAGTGTATGCCACAACTGAACGCATTGCTGGGGCTCATTTCTAAGAAACACACCCTTATCAGGACCAGATGCTGTGGAGTCCAGCAGATGAAGGATGGGTATAAGATGGCCAGAATAAGATCTAATTTTCAGCTGCTGATTCACAGCAACTTCTTAGGGCCAGTCCCTAATAAACATTTTTGCATTTGACAAAACCAGAAAACTGATAGTATATCTTATGAAGATTCAGTAAGTGGCTTTAATTTAATTTTTAAAAAACCAACTTATTCTTGTGTTTTTAACTGAGCAGGAACAACACAGAATGCACGATTCTTGTAAGCCACATTGGGGACCAATTTTGATTGAAACCAAACCTGTAATTAAGCCTAAGCACACGTAACTGAAACAACTGCATATTGCATTCCCATTTGCCTCCACCTCCCTTTCCCTCCCCTTTGTTGTTTTTCCTGTGTCCAGTCTTAGATTGTATGCTTGTGCGGCGCAGGATATAAGTATTTTTTATAATAAAATACAAAGCCCTGGAGTTATTGTTCCACTTCTTTGTTTGTGTGAAGTAATTAGTTCCATAGGGAGAAAAGAGACCTTGTTGACTCCTGTTCCCTACTCATGGTACATAAATGAGTGGAGAGCTGTAGATTTTGTTGATTCCTGATCTCAGCAATATTTTTTTCTGAACAATGCAAATAAATATTCATACAAAAACTAAAAGTGGAAATTGAAATGCTATCTTCTCATAGTAACACATTGCTAGTTTAAATAAGGATAGGACAGGGGATCAAATAGTTAATCCATTGCCGTACAGAAGGTGACAACTTCTCCTTATGGTGCTTGAAGCACCATGCATGACATTAAATTCCAAATACCAGAGATGTAATTCAATAACAACAAAAATCGCATATTTGAAATAATATGAGGTTAATAATATGAGGTTTCCAGGACTAAATTATATCTTCAACCACCAAGCAAAAACTTTCCTTTTTAACCAGGCCTTTGTAATTACCAAAACTTCACCCCATAAAGGTTTACAACTGGACAACTAGCTATACATCATGTGGATAAGGGGCCATATTTCTGCCCCATATTGCCCATCCTTGGGGATGGAAAACAATTTATTTTAGAGCTGTCATGCATCCATTAAGTACAAATTATTAGAGGTCTTTTTTTATGAGATCAATCCTCAGACTTAAGTGAGGGCATTTTGATATATAAGAGTGCTGTGAGCTACTAATTAGGTTGAATGTGGTATTCAAACTTCTGTTCTGGTCCTTGTGAAGGTGCTTTAAAAGGCTGGGTGGACAGTGTAGACTTGAGGTTGTTGGTTGGTGGTGGAGAGATTCCTAAATTTCCTCAGAAAATTAAACAATAATCAGTTTTGGAACTTGAGACCTGATTGTGTCTACAATTTAGATTTTTACTGATACAGGTTTTACATAAATTTTTGGAGTTCCAAGTTTTTCAAAGTGCTAACCGTAACAAGTGATGTGTCACCAATTCCTGTCTGCTGTTACGTCATTTCTTTTGAACTCTGGTTTCCTACAAATGTTTGCTATGAACCTTTAACTAAACACAGAAGTGTTGTCACTGATATAGTTTTTGCACATCTACAGGCTCGGGTTATGTATGACTTTGCTGCTGAACCTGGAAACAATGAGCTGACAGTTAATGAAGGAGAAATCATCACAGTTACCAATCCGGTAAGATGCAGTCAGTGGAAATCAAAGTACCATACATAAACCTACTTCCTGGAATTTTGGTATAGAAACATCAAGTATTTACCATATTATTGAACCTGAAACCTACAGATACACAACTTGTACATTTCCCTTCTGTCTTAGTAGATTTGCCATTACCCTCCAAGTTAATAGATACATTACTTATTTACTTACTTAAAAGGAAGTCATAAAAAGAGTTGGTCACTGTTATGCATTTTTCTAAGGGGGCAGGACTGGAATTCTATAGACTTATTAGTTACAAATAGTTCTTTGAACTGTGCCTCAAAGTTGCAAATACATCTTGGGCAAACATACATATGATATAATGATATTGGAGCTATAACTTAAATGTAGCCTTACTTGGAAGGAAGTCCCATTGAATTTTGGACTTGCTTCTGCTTAAGCATGTTCAGGTTTGTGTTTTGTTTGCATCCTTAGTGAGAAAAATTCATAATCTAATTTTTAAAAAAACTATGGAAAATTTAATAGTTCAATAGGTATATCTGCTTCCATCAAATCTGCCAGCTAAAATTGCTGGCAAGTTGAATAGATCCAACTTGAACTGCTCAAGCCTAAACACTGTCTTGCTGGGTTTACTCCAAAATGAACATGTGTAGGACTGCAGCTGTATGTAGCTGCATCAGGTTTTCATAGAGCCAACATGATGTCGTATGTTGGACTCAAATTCCGATTTTCATCCAGCTATGAAATAGACTGCTTAGCCTTTGCTGTCTCTCAACCTGACCTAGCTCCTATGGTGGCTGTGATAATAAGACTGCAAATGCTATCCCCTGACTGGCAGTGGTGGGACTTGATGGTGTGCTGCATCAACAGTCCCACCATTCATGCCAGCCAGGACAGAAGATGGGGGTGCAGGAAACAATACCTTTTTGCTGTGTCGGCTCCTAGGCTGTCATGTTGAAGAAGCCTGGAGAGCCCCTCAGTATCCAGCAAATCCTGTGCCAGCACAGCCCCACTGCTGAAATGCTGAGTTTTTTTGGAGGGGTGGAGAGGTCATCAACTGCAGCTTTTGGAGACGCCAGTGGCAGTAGCTTCTGAGTGAAGGGATACTTGTGCTGCATTAAAAACTTTCCAGCACATTGTATCAGGGGTTTAGATTGCTCTATTAATTGGGAGACCCCGTTGTGCTTTGGAGGAAGCTTGGAACAAAAACGTGATACTAAGAAAACATGAATATGCTAAAAAGACATTTGGAATGCATTTCTTTAAAATAACTAAACTTACAATTTATTGTCTTCATAATTTTAACTACTTAACACATTTGTTTTTATTTGTTGTAGGATGTAGGTGGAGGCTGGCTGGAAGGCAAAAACAGCAAAGGAGAACGAGGACTTGTTCCCACAGATTATGTTGAAGTAAGTTACAAAATGATATTCATCAGTGAGATAAAGTGAAATTACTACGTATTCTATAGATAACCATTTTTTTAAAACTGGAAACATACACTCTTGTAAGTCAGTAAGTGAGATACAGTATCACACCATTGTTTCTGTGTTTGTACATATAAGAGGCCTATAGTACACTAAAAACCAAATTGCAGTCTGCTTGGGGCTGCAATCCTAACTCCACTTACCTGGGAGCAAGTTCCATTGAATTAGGGTTGTTCTCACTTACAAGGAGCAGCTTGTTCTTACTTAAATGGAAGATGGAATGAAACAGGGCTTGTTCCCTTCTTGTATGTTCAATGCATGCACATAGATACAGTAAGGCAGTGGTTCGCAAACGTTTTTCACAGGGACCATTAGAAAATTGCTGAGCATCTTTGTGAATCATTTAATGGTTTTTCTGCCTCTTGTAGCAGTCACAGTGTGCTGTGCAAGATGCTGGATTATTTTTAATTGTATTTTTATTGCTTCTTTAATTTCTTACATATTGGATTTTATTGTATTACAGTTTGAATTCTGTATTATAGTATAATAGAATACAATATAAGCAATAAAAATACAATTAAAATCAATATGAGTGTTTAGGGTGATGGGTGTCCTGTCTCCTGTCTTCAGCCATAAACACACTCTGCCATCTGAATGAGTCTCACAGAGAACTTAAGTCCATTGATACCACTGAGTGTGTTCAGAGTGTGACTTTTCTTTAATATAAAGTTGACATTTTATTTTAGAAATGTATTTTCAGCAGCATTCTGTTTTTCAGATTCTACCTGAAGGTACCAAAGATGGAATTTCAGTAGCTGACCAAGCCTTTTTTGATGGTCTCTCTACTGCACAGGCTAATTTGCAAGCAGCAAAAGCCAATAGCCAGGTAGGTCTTGTTTCTTCAAAAAACCCTTTTTTTAGAGCATGTTTTCTTGAGCACCAGAAGCATGACAGACTGTATTGAACCAAAGAAGCTTGTTGAAGTCCCTTGTTGTGAGTTACTCTAACCTGCATGGAAAAGACAACCTCAGGTGTTCTTTAATCCTTTGAAAATTAACTCCTCATTTATTGACATAGTTGTAAGGGAAATGAATGGAAAAGTTCTGCTAACATTACATTGGATCTCTTCTGGGTCAGACCAAAGCTCTTGTCTAATCCAGAATCGCTTTTCTATGACCAACCAGATTTCTTTTAGGAAGCCATAAACAGCCAAAGGTTCTCCTTTTTTTTTATTTGCACTCCAGGTACTGGCATTCTCTGGGCATAGAGATTCCAGTTAGTTATCATGGTGGTTGATAAACCTTTTCTCCATTAATGTGTCTCATCTCTCTTTGTGGTGGGCAATTCTTTATTGTTCACTTGTATTAATTTTGCCACAGCTTTTGTTCCTTCTTTGTTCTTGTTTTCCCTTCTTTAAAATAAGACTTCCTTCTTCTCCATGAGGGATAGCTCAGTCAGTAAAGAATGAGACTCTTAATCTCAGGGTTGTGAGTTTGAGCCCCATGTTGGGTGAAAGATTCTGGCATTGCAGGGGGTTGGACTAGAAGATCTTCATGGTACTTTCCAATACTACAATTCTATGAATATGTATAGCTTCCTTTACTCTGCTTGTTAACCATGCTGGTATCCTCTTGGACTTGTCTTTACCTTTCCTAATATGTGCGGTATACATTTTATCAGAACTAGTCTTAACAACTGTCTATAACCACTGAGTCATCCAACTGTTCACATAAATATGCGTTGAATTTGATAGCTCTTTGTCAGCAGTTAGCAGTTGAAAATCTTGCACCAGATCTTAAGCACCCCTGTATGAAGATTGATCCCAGGTTCTCTCTTATCCCCGCTTGGATCCTGTGTGTCTTTACCACATCAACCAGCCAGCATCCTTGACTGCCCATGTTGGCAGGAAAGAGGAAACAAAATACAGTTTCTTGACCTGTTAGTTCCTGTGTGAGTTATTTCTGAAATCCATTTCCTTATTGGCCTTTCTGTTGCTCAGTTCTCTGTCTCCTCCACTTGTTCTTCCTTTCTATTGTAATGTATCAGCCAATTGCTGAGTTTGCTCTCTTCCTGTTTCTTCCCTGCCTCCAGATACCTAACCTCTTTTCATTCAGCCTGCATATCTTGGCCAAGTAGCACCATTTGTCGCTAGATCCATTGTCGTTGTCACTGCCTGAAACTCTTAATATTCCATGTTACCCATCCCATTTGGTTCTCCTAAACACGAGTCCCTTTCTCCCATTAGAGCCTATACATCCCTTGTATGTGTGAGGCTGAAATGGAGCTCCACTGGCTAGCCATGCCACCAACCACCACAGCAGGCCCATTCCAAATTTTTAAATATCTGGAAAGAGCAATATGTATAAATAGCTGCTGACATATAGGCCCCTCTTCCTAGATGTCATTGCTGAATATGTGGCCATCAAGGGAGCAGGCGCCAATTAAGGTGGGGCTAGCTCATTTGGTTTACATGCACATGTTAGAGGAACCTTTTTCAATTCGAGGGCTGAATTTACTTCTGGGCAACCTTCAAAGGGCTAAATGCCAGTGTGGGCAGGGCAAATGGCCAAAGTAGGTGGAGCTATGAATGTACATTTACTAGTTTCTATACACATTCACACACATCTCTCTAGCCTCCATCCAGACAAGCTCGGGGGCACATTCCAGCCACACAAAAAGCAGAGCCAGTGAGGTGTGTGGCCTGGAGAGAGTTCCAAGTGCCAGAAGCAGAGGTCTGGTGCGCCACACCTGAACGTACTATGACCATGTAAGCTCAATGGATAAAGGTGCTTTGAAATGTTTCAGTGTCTCATATCAGCCAAGTTAAAGTTTTGGTTGGTTATTTCAAATACATATGCAATTCCTTGCGTCTCCAGCTCTTGGACATAAGTCTCTCATTTCTCACCTATTTCAGTTTTCTTCTTCGCTAATGGCTTCTTCTCTTGCTTTTTCCTCTCCCCCCCCCCTTGTTCTTTGTTAGATTTTGAAGGAACTGCTCAAGTCTGTGGCACAATATGTTTTAGCTGTTTCTGCATCCCAAAGCCCCTAATATGTCTGCCTGCATACTCTGGTTCCTCTGGACCCTTCATTCTTGCTCATCCCAACTGTGAGTTCTTAAGTCTCTACCGTGCTGCTTTTTGAGTCTCCCAACTTCTGCTTCCCTCAGCTTTTGCTGTGCTTGTCCATCTTGCCCCTCGTTAGGGCCTGAGCAGCTCAGTTAGTGGGAACCAGAGACCATGAGGCTCAGAAAGCTCAGCCTATAGCAGTAGACTCCTTTGCAGCTCTGATACTAGAGCAGTTCAGCCAGTTATTATGAAAGGCCTCATGACAACTGTGACAACCCCCATGACTCTATTGTAATAGAGACTTGGATCTGGATAGGAATATCTTTCAACATGCCTAAATCTTTGTAGCAGTCCATAGGTCAGAGGCAGGTAGTGGTGGTCAAAGGTCTTGTAACACGAAAACAAACTTTTGAGTTGGTGGCAGGGTAGTTCATTCATTAATAACTGAAAAATTAAAATGTACTAAAATTCAAAAAGAAGCTTTTTAATTTCAGTGCAAGGATTTTTAACAAATATGAACACTGCTGTTGTACAGAAAAGCAAACTTGTTTGCACAGCTTTGCAGTGTAAATTTGATAAGCCTGTTTGCTTAGCTATTTAAAACAGTGAAGACTGAAAACCAGTGCTTTTTTCCTAAAAAAATATGTTTAGGGATATTCTCATTTTCCTACTCGTATTGAAATACTGCCTCTCAGTGAGGCCAAACTTAGATTCACAAAATGTTAGAAAAAAGCACTGCTGAAAACTATAGCGAGTAATACTTCAGTATAGTAATACAAAGCAATCAATCACTTGATAGCCTTTATAAAATTAAAATTTTAAACAAGTTGACCTAGCAGAATGGCAGATGAAATGTAAATAACAGCCAGTGTAGTTGTATAGGTAGAGGACTGAATTTGGACTTCGGACCCAGCCACAAGGTTGCTTCACTACTCCCTGCTAGAAAGGAAGTTAGGTTGACTGGGAGACAAATAGCAAAATAAATTGTAAACCAAAGAATTTTACAGAGATGGTGAAGAGGAGGTACATTAGACACAAAGGCAAGGAATACTTTTGGACACTGCCAGGGATCTGAAGAGCTTTTTAATGTATGCCTGGTGAAGTTTTTGGCTCTTTCTCTAAACTGTAGATTCTCATACCCTATCACAAACTACCCTCAGTTTCAAAAAGGATATGGCATGTATGATTGCTATTCAAGGCACATAAATTAGCTCCTGTAGGCACATTAAAAATTACATAGCTTTTTGGATTCCAAACATTGTATTTTTGTTCTTGTTGTAATATAATTTTGAAGCAAAAAAACAAGCAAATCTTTTCCTTGGACTATTGTGGCTGCTCACAAAAAATCCTGATGCACGAAAAAGCAACCAACTCATCTAGTTTTCCTTTTGAGACTCAAATTGTACTTCATTCTCAGAAGTGTTGGGAACCCCAAATCCAGGCTGACAATGGAATCTAAGCAGTGAACCAGAATAAGTTAGTCTATGAAACTTCTTCCTTGAGAGAAGTGGGAGCTGGCCAAAGCGAAGAAACTCCACAAGTAAGCAATCTCAGGAGATCCAGAAGTATCAAACGGTCTAGAGTATCAAAGGTTGTTGACATAGTGCAGCTTCAGATGAAGTCTGTAAGCCAGTCAGTATAGGGCAGCCATTATGCTCTTAAATCTCTGCTCGTTGTTTACCTTCTCTCACGTGAACACATTCCATTGACTTTCCAACTTTATCTTTTAAAGGAAGAGGTATACCACTGCCAGTAATACTTTTGCTACACTTAATAAGTTGAATCCTGCATGCAGTTTTCACAGCCAGCTTCTTCCATTCATGAAATGAACTGTGATCAAATGCAACAGTTTCTCCTTTAACTATACCTTTCGCTTCCTGCAGCAGGAGTGTCACAGAATCTAATTCAGTGTGTCCTGTACCAGTTCAAAAATGCTTATTTCAGACTCCCGAGCAAAATATTCAACTGATCACAAGGCAGATCTTATTTAATCATCGGACTGATAATGTAAAAGATTTTTCTCCAAAATATCTTAAATTGGAGCATGTCTGTTAAATGTGAAAAGTCAGATTTCATTTGCAACACATCTAAAATACTTCATTTCCACTGCTAATTGATGTGGAGTTAAATGCAAATAGTAAACAAAGTGGTAGTGATTTTCTTTGATTATAGAAGTAGGAGCTATGGCCCTTTTATGATGGTGTTTTGCTTATGTTGTGTTCAGAATTGGCATGTCTTAACATTTTTCCCATTTAGGCTTTAAGTTATTTTCTTTTCTTCCATAAAATTATTTGAATTTCAAAAGAAATCATTCCTGTTTTTTGTTTCATCTCTGATTTGTAAAAAATAAAACTTTTTAATACTAAAACAACTGCAGAAGTAAGAAAATAGAAGCCTTGTCCAAATGTGGGGAACAAAACATAACATAAATATTGGCACAAGAAATGCAAGCAGACAATAAGGGATACTACATAATAATTAGTATGCTAAACAAGAATGCTAAAAATCTAAATACCAACAATAATAAAAAATTGTTAAATACATTTGGAGCAGGAGACCAGCTAGAGAGGTGGTTGGACCGATGTATGATAAGGATGTCAAAGGTGTGCTAAAAGAGGAAAAGGAGGAATGGGTTAATTTCATCAATCTTCAGAGCAGCATATATAGAGCACAGGAAGGGAGACAGAGGAACTGAGGCAAATAGGCAAGAGACAAAGTCCTAGGCCTCGTTGACAAAATAAAAACTTACAAATCACTGTGTCCATGTGGCATCCATCTGAGAGGCCTTAAAGAACTCATATGGGAAATAGCTGATCTTCTAGCAAAAATATGTACCTATAACTTGTTCCCAAGATCAACCTACATATCTGTTGACTACAAAGCAGTTAATGTGATATAATTTTGTATAAAAGGGATCCAGGGGAGGATTCTGGAAATTACAGATTAGTTAGCTTAATGTCTGTTCTGGGAAAATTGCTACATATATCAAAGAATAAGACTTGCTGAAGCATAAGCAGCATGGCTTCTGCAAGGGTAAGTCCTGTCACTATGTATTGGAGTTCTTTGAAAGTATCTACAGGCATATAGATAAAGCTGATACTCTGTATTTGGACTTTCAAAAAGCTTTCGACCTCACCAAAGAGTCCTGAATAAGGTTAGCAGTCATGGAATAAGACGAGAGTTCCTCCTATGGATCAGTGATTGGTTTAGGAGACAGAAGCAAAGGGTAATAAGTGGACAGTTCTCGCTGTAAAGAGATGTAGAAAGTGGAGTTCCTGAAAGGCCAGTGTTAACATTCTATAGCCATCTAAATGTGTCTGGGGAGGCTTGGGTGTTACTGGTTTGTTTTGCCCCACCTAATTGATCATGAGATGTGGCACACACACACCATTTGAATGGCAGTGCCGTCAACTTGGGGGGGGGCAGCCCCCTCAAATATTTCAGGGGGGCAAGGGACCTTGGCCCCTAGGAGTTGGCTCCTATGCTACTTGGTAATAAGCATGATTAAGCATTACATTTGCCCTAAGGTCTAAGTACAGTGGTACCTCGGGTTACATACGCTTCAGGTTACATACGCTTCAGGTTACAGACTCCGCTAACCCAGAAATAGTACCTTGGGTTAAGAACTTCGCTTCGGGGTGAGAACAGAAATCGTGCTCTGGCGGCGGCAGCGGTAGCAGGAGGCCCCATTAGCTAAAGTGGTGCTTCAGGTTAAGAACAGTTTCAGGTTAAGAATGGACCTCCGGAACGAATTAAGTACTTAACCAGAGGTACCACTGTAATTGACTTTAGTATTGGTTGATGGCTTCATACATTATGTTTAAATTGTTTTTAGTACTTATATGCTAGCTTTGTGCTAGCAGAAGCCAGCACTTGGATTCATGCTCCCCTCAATCCACTCTGGAGGATTAGGAAATCCCCAGAACGACTCATGAGGGGAAATTGTTTGTCTTGCAAGCAGAAATGCTTGTACTGATGGGACATTCAGGAGAGATGTTGAAGTCCTCCCAGAATGTAAATTATTTCCTTCCTTCCGACGATACTACTTTAGAGGAGATTTGCTTTGGACATGAAGGAGAGCAACAACAAATTTTTTATTTGTGCCCTGTCCATCTGACTGGGATACACTACTATCATTTCTAAATTAAACATGGCTGAACAATATACAGTGGCTAAATAATTGTAGTTATGTCAATTCCAAAGTCTTAGAAAATACTTTTGTTTCAGGAAAACCAGTAAAAATTAATGAGGCAAGACATAGCCAACCAAGTTACTCAGCAAATTACTTAGCGTTGTGAGCTAAGCCTAGGATTTGGGCTTAGTAATTCCTGTATCATTTATATTTTTCCAGTGACACTTTCAAGAAAATACTCTAGTATGTGTTTTGATTGTTATAAATGCATGTGAACAAAGGCTCCCTTCATATGTTAACCACACATGTTGGTTTCACAGTTTCAGGTTCTCTTAATGCTTCTGATGTGATGAATGCCATAAAAACACAACAATATATAAATGCTTCCATTTGAGGAATAAGAATGCTGAATGACTTCATTGATGCCAATACAGTGGCAACAAATGCTTTTAAGACCGGGTGTTCATGAATGTCATTGTGATACTTGGTATGAAGGCCCTGTAGATGAAGTTCATTTGTAAGCAGATCAGGAAGTATTTGTTGTATGATTATTTCATAATGTGGGAGACATTGCTTGGCTTTTGGAAGTTATGTCTCATGGCTGCATGGTTTTACTTAAGTTTTTTGTTGTTGTTTGCCTTTGTGCTTGATGTAACATCTAGGATCTGAACACAATAGTGTAGTTTGAATAGGCTATGGGAGAAAAATCCTGCAATCTTTAGAGAAGAGTTTTTATTTAGATGCATGCTGCTTCTGATTATTGTGTGGCAGTTGTGTGGCATGCTTGCATTTCAGCAGTTCACCTTGCCTGCAAGAATCTTTCTATGCTGCAGAGCTGAAAACTACATCAGGCTTTCATACTTCTGCCTTTCCCCCTTTACTGAGTGCTTCTTATTTTTAAGGTGGATTCTCAGGCATCTGCCACTCATACTTCTATTTTGGAATTTTTTACTCAATCTCCACCTTCAACTCCTTCTACAAGAAAGGTAATTCTTAAAAAGTTACTAAAAGGGTATACCCTTAAAAAGTATACGAAAAGTATACCCATATACTTTTGATCTCTTTCTCACTTTTTTTATTTTAAAAAAATCTCATCTGCAAGTCTGAAGTTTAATAACACTGCTGGAAGATGTTACACGCTACCTGCATAAAGTAGAATTTACAGAAATGTCTAAATTTAGTCACTGGTGAGCTGCTGGTATTCTTGTGAAGATACGCAGAACTAATGACAGGCTTTCTTCTCAACTCCTAAGGCAGTGGCTAAATCATTTTCAAAACTTTGCTACATCTGTAAGCAAAAAGAACCTGTGAAAAAGAACCTGTGAAAAACAGAAAAGGGCATCTCCAGAGAGTAGGCTGGTTGGTATGGGAGTAGGCAGTCTCTTTGGTATCCTGGACTTGAGCTGCTTAGGGCGTTAAAGATAATTACCAAAAACTTTTGAGTTGCCCCTCAAATCAAATTGACAACCAGGGCAATGAAACAGTGTATCTTAGATGATTATGATTATTATAAAATGTTTGGGCTTGTATATCAAAGTGGACATATTTGTGGCTATAATGGCTTCTTTTGTTACCTAAACATGTGTTTGTGTTCAAAGTCTGGGTAGAACCACTGTTAGCCTACTAACAGGTTCTGTTTTTGCTGCTTTTAAATTCCATTGAAAAGAATAACACTTGCTTCCAACTAGGATCAGACTGTTGGCGTCTAATGAGCTGCTGTTTTTTATGCCATAGTGTTATCTAAAAGCATAAAAATGTGCCTTTTATATTTTAACTATTTAGAATTGCTTTTTGACTTTTTTTTTTAGATTTAAATAAGGGAGTGCAACTACTGTTTACTCAGGAGTAGACCCATTGAAAATGATGTGCTTACTAACTTAGTCATATTAATTGCAGTGGGTCTGTTTTGAGTAAACTGTAGTTGAATAGCACCCTATATGTGCACCTGTGTGGAAAATAATGGAATACATGCTTTTGCCTTCCAACAATTTCCCCTATTTTACTTTAAAAGGGAATTTATTGGTAACATTTGTGACTAGAATTTTACTTTTTCTGTGCTATTTTTCAAAAAACACATATATCCCACCTTTTTTCATTTTTAAACTTAGGCTACCAGCAATGCAAACGACCCCTGGTCAAGCTGGGACAACACAACAGGTGGTGATGGCTGGGCAGCAAAACCTGAAAATAGGCAGAAAAACAGCGCTTCAAACAACTGGGATGCAGCAGCATTTGGTCATCCACAGGCTTATCAAGGTCCAGGTCAGCTGAGTGTTTCCATAACCATTGCTGATTATTGGGGTCTGGTAGGACTCCAGATAAACATAATTCAGAAAGTAAATAATGATATTTGATTTCAGAATTCTGCTAAAACTACATGGTAAACTTACTCAGAGACCATCAGCAGATTATTGTTGTGTGTAATAATAATAATAATAAGAAGAAGAAGCCATTTTTATTAGATGTCTGTGTGGGTGTGTTGATTGGGACTTCTTACGCTATACCCTTATCGCCAGAATGCTCCAGAATGCTGTTTAGTCTTGACAGCTATTTGAATGTTGCATTAGGATACTGTAGAACTGAAAGATGCCAGTTAATTAGATGCACTGTTGTTCGCATTAAGTGTGGTTTGGATATTATGTATGCAACTAGTATTGTCTCTTCTTTAGCGGCTGCTGATGACGATGACTGGGATGATGATTGGGATGACCCAAAATCAACGGCTGCACCCTATCTTGGATATAAAGAGGCAGAGCCTTCAGACCCAGCAGGGCTTCAGCGTGGCAATAGCCGTGGAGCTGCTATGAAGCTACCACTTAACAAGTAAAAACTGCAGGACTGAATAGGGTGGGGGTAGGGGAAATAGAAATTTAAAGAGGAATTTAAAATGGAATAGTTGACTGTGTTCACAAGCTGTAGTGCATTTTCCATGTAAAGTTTACAAATAATAAACTTGTTTCAGTGGGAAAGGGTAACAAAATCAGTATTCAGCTAAAGAAAATAGTAAAAAACAAAAACAAAACCTATTTATAAGTCCCAAACAAAACTTATTTCCTCAAATAAAACATGCCCTTCAATTGAGCTTTATCATCTCTTTTGTGTGGACTTGTTGGACCAAAATGTTGGTGTCCCTTAGGTGGTTTTGAACAGCTGGAATGATTTGACAATATAGTTTATTAGTTTTCACATTTTCTGCAGTAAGTGGATTTTAGTTAAGTGCTTTGTCTTGACAGGATAGTTCTTGCTTACAGCCAGAGATATAAATCCTTTGCACTCCTTTGCCCCGTGGGGCTTTTGTATGCACCTCCACCCCCACTCTTCAGCAGCCTCCTTCTGCCCAGTTGTCCGGCTCTGCAATTAGATATACATTCTGGATATTCTGTTTGTCTGTCTGTCACTTTTAAAAAAGAAAGTTAGTAATACAGTCAAGAGTGAGGGGGTTGATTGGGAAATGAGGAGATGAAATTCCTGCTAAGGACTGGGCCTTTTCATGCACTTGAAATGTTTCTGGATTCTGAACTGCAGGAGAATGTAACTGTCAGTTTATCAAATGACAGAAGAGAATTCAAGAGACCTCTCATATGGTGTTATAGTGACAGTTGGTACTAACAGTTCCTTCACCGTTTGTTCTGATTGGCTGAATTCAGCCACTCAGCAATGACTTAATTGTAGGTGCATATTTATTTACTCTTAATGCAGTTGTTTCCCAGTCTGTAACTAACTAGATCATTTCAGCACCATTGTTTTAGTAACAGACGCATTTACCTTCTTGGATACACCAAATGTCTATAAAATATGGCAAGCAGTTCTGAATCTGCCAAAGAGCCTGTGAAAGAAGGATTCACTCACTTAATTTCTCTGATCAGATTTCCTGGATTTGCAAAACCTGGAGTGGAGCAGTATCTCTTGTCAAAGCAGCTAGCAAAACCCAAAGAGAAAATTCCTATAATTGTAAGTTTAAAATATTGTGTGTGTGTGTGTGTGTGTGTGTGTGTGTGTGTTGTATTCATATCTATCTTTGGCAACTGCCTGTGGCATTAGTGTGTAAACATATACATACTCACTTTTAGCCAAAGCAGTATGTACTTAGGAAAGTGCTTCTTGAATGAAAAGCCTGTCTGGCCTTGAACATGCTGAGTATGTTGCATACTTCCATGGGAACTGTGAAGCCTCAAGGGCACTCTTACAGAAATTAAGCATGTAATTCACAGGGACCAGGATTCAAGTCTTTGTTCATCACCCTACAGCACAATAACGCCACTATAACTTTTTGAGCAATTTTCTTCCTAGGCAGCTATTTGTGCTGAGTAGTTGAAATGGTATACTATCATTGAGAGATCCTAAAATGCTGTTTGCAAAAGGTGCTTTGGGCACCTGCTTCAAACTGGCATCCAGGTATAAAGTTCTGTGTGGCCCATTTCTGTATTATGCCTGATAATGCAGCTTGCTAAGCCTCTGGATTGCTTATTGTAGTAATTACTTTCAGGTATAGAATGGATGCATCTTTGGTTCTACATGTAGGTTTAGTGTGCATTAAATGCAATTGCATATTTTAGATTTGTGTAGCATGCCTGGAGTTAATAAATACTTTTGTTGTTCTGTAGATTGGAGATTATGGGCCAATGTGGGTGTATCCTACCTCTACATTTGACTGTGTTGTGGCTGATCCAAAAAAAGGTTCTAAAATGTATGGTTTGAAGAGCTACATCGAATATCAGCTTACGTGTACAGTAAGTGCGTACCAGAGAAGTTTCTTTAGGTGACATCTCAAAATGTCCCAATTCTTTTGATCGTTTATCTATGATTTACATCATACAGTTAAATAACCCTGACTTATACAGACATAGTAGTAAATATATTTTGGAAGTCATAAGCAAGAGTGTTTTGTCTGCCTATCTTACAGAACACTAATCGAGCTGTCAACCACAGATACAAGCACTTCGACTGGTTATATGAACGTCTCTTGATTAAGTTTGGATCAGCCATTCCAATTCCATCTCTTCCAGACAAGCAAGTGACAGGTAACCTTCTCTAAATTGATGGTTCTTGAAACAGGAAGTTTATGATTAGCTTAGTTGTTTTTCTGAAAGATGATATTAATGCAAGAGGGTCACTCTGAAAATGAGGACTTCTCAGCGTAAAACTGACTATCCCCTTAAATTTCATAAGAACAGTGGAGGAATAAAAATGTAGAGCGGCTACAAAGTGGTTGAGAACAGAGTATGCTGTTGCTGGTTTGTTTAAGAGCCTGCACTAGTCTTTTTTTAATCTGCCTCCTAATGCTACACTTCCTGAAAAAAGTAGATGTTAATATTTTGTTTATACTGCCTTGATAGAGTTGAGGCTTTGTCTTTCCATTCATTATGTGCTTGATTGGGCTATTCTGAAACCAAAGGAGTGTTGGAATGTGGTCCAGTTTTTATAAAATATAAGATTAAAGTAATTCAGCATGTGATGTCCAAGGATTATGCTGTGGAAATCATAGGCCTTCTTGCAGTGGGGCAACTAAGCTTACCACTTCTGTTCTGATTAATTGGCATTTCTTTCCATTTGACTCTCTGTACCCCTGAAGTATGATCTTTTAAACAGATATCTTAAAGTCAGCCAATAAAAAAGAATCTGATGTGCAACCTGCTCTATAGCTCTGTGTAATGCTGGAAATGCAAACAGCATACTGCGTGAGAAGGAAATTGAGCATTGATGTGTGTACTACGATGCATGCCAAGGAAGTGGAAAACTAAGGAAGTGATTTACTTTTTCCTTAACTAGAACTTCAAGCATAGAATTCCAGCAGTTTTTTCCTGAAGTGCACACATGAGCTTGAAAGAAAGCCATAGCAGACTAGCACATTGGGAATCACTGATTAAGATTTAGAGAATTTTTTCTCCATTATTTTGAGTATTGTGAGATTGAAAGAAACTTTATTTTCCAATCAGTGTTTATTCTCCTCTAACCTTGTTAAATGGTAATATAGAAAAATTGTATGCTTCTTGCTATTTTCTTTGGTAAATGCACTGGGGTTTTTTTGTTATTTTTTTAAAGTATGTTTGCAGTGTTAATGTCGACAATTAGCATATGCAAAATAAATGAGAGACTTAGCACTGCCTTATATTTTATTGTGGCGTTTCTCGCATTTATCTATTGCTTTGCAGCCCAAAGCAATAAAAACAATTAAAATAGAATGCATGCACAGAAACACTTCATTTTTCCTTGATGTCTAGGTAAACGTTGGATCCAGTAGATTTAATCTGAACTTTGAAAAGCACATAAAACTGAAAGAGAAAGTAGGAAACAGTGTTGCTCTTCCAAATTTGTCCTTTAGCTGTATGTACTTTTTAAAGGAAGGAAAAAGTTGCCACGCCTCAATTTATGACTAGGGGGCAGGCTGTGGTGGGGAGCCTTCAGGCTTCATGAGCACTAGGAGAAGACTTCAAGGGCACCATTGTACCTATGGGCACAATGTTACTAGCTTCCAGCATCTTGTCAAGGACTCCACTGCCTCCACTGTGACTTAAAGAGAAAATTAAGAGTGAATTTATAGCATGCTGCTGGGTGTGGATGATTTAAATAGAACTCTTACCCTTCCAAGGGTCAGTAACTGCTGGGATTGCAAATGGCACACAAGTTGCAATTACCACTGCTATTCTTTTATTTTCTTTGTCATTGACCATAGCTTTTCTTTCCCTAACCTTCCATACTTACCACTTTCTAAAACAAGCAACCTAACAATTCACCACCGTTATTCAAAGGGAGATTAAGTGTACCTAAGCCAAGTGGATTATCTGTTTTAAATTGAAGTACATCTTAAGTCTCACAGGCAGGTGTGTGTGTTATAATAAATTGAAACATTGCATAGAATCTGTAAGCTGACTAACTTGCAGTTTACGCAAAACCAAAGAATTAACTATATTCAGCTTTGTATAGGGTCCTTGAGATCTGGTGGTGATGTCCTCTTAACAGTCTCACATAGCATGCAATATGTGGTCGTGTATAAGAGGGCAGTCTTGATCATCACACCCAGGTTGTGAAATGTCCCCCCCCCAATATACCATATTTTTTCGTGTATAAGACTAGGTTTTTTACCTTAAATATAATGTCAAAAATTAGGGGGCGTCTTATACACGGATACATCTCCCATTTTCTTAAATCTGAGTCCTCCCAAAATAGTTGGTGCCAACCCTGTTGTGTTACAGACACCTTTTGAAGATCCTATTTATTTCCCTAGCCATTTGACTGAGCTATTTTCCTCCCTTGTTGAATTTCATGTGACTTGGATGTTTGCTGCTTGTTTTAGATTATATTGTACCCTGCTCTGGGATTTTTAGTGAAGGGCTGGCTAAAAGGCTTCAAATAAGTAAATAAGCTAAAAATTGCTTGTCTTATTGGAGGGGGAGGAGGATAGATGGCATTAAGTGTGAATGTCAGTATCTGTTACTAATTGGCCTGCAGGGCGTTTCGAGGAAGAATTCATCAAAATGAGGATGGAGAGGCTACAGGCATGGATGACCAGGATGTGTCGTCATCCAGTTGTTTCAGAAAGTGAAGTTTTTCAGCAGTTCCTTAGTTTCCGTGATGAAAAGGTATTACTTTCCATTGTTTTTAATTGCTTTGAGAGAAATCTTTCTAGACAGTGCCATTAGATATACATCTCCAAAAGCAGTAGCGAGTAGTCCCTGGTTTAACATTTATTTCATAAAATTTATATACAGCTTGATTGTGAGAAAGGGGATGACGCCTATGCACCTTTTGGTGCATAGTTTAAAAGGGGATAAAATGGAATACTGTTATTTTTAGAAAACCATTTTCCCAAAGGCAGGTGGGAATATGGCTTTTTGTAGAAGCACCTCGCTTATGAACACTAACATTTTTCAAGCAGCAATTTGGTAAAGTTGTTACCTAACTTAGCTTAAGTCTAAAGTACTGGTCGATAGAGAGTGCTAAGCAATATTATATATGTATGACTAAAACAACAAATTAACATGGTTTCCCTTCTGGAAGATGTACGAGTAAGTTTGGGCAAGATATTTTTCCAGGCCAGGTTATAATGCAAAGAGCCCCTTTATGTGCATGGTCAGGGCTTAAGCTGTTGCTGCAGTTATTTGGATCATTCTTGTTTTATTTATTTCAGAGGATTTTTATACCTCTTGATTGTAATAAAACCTCAAAGCGGTTTATGAAAAGCATAAAACAATAAAATTACCCCCAAAAAAGTTTTAAACAACTTTTTAAAACATAAAAAGTTAAAATAATAAGCTAAAAACCAGAGTAAAACACATGCCAACATTCTACACATCCGGATAGGCTTGCATAAACAAAAATATTCTTGGCAGGTGCCGAAAAGAGTACAGTGAAAGAGGCCTACCTTACATCAATAGGCAGGGAATTCCAAAGTGTGGATACTGCCACACTAAATGATTGATTTCTTACAAACGTGAAGCAAGAGTTATGTGGCATCTGTAACAGTGCCAGTTTTGCAGGTCAAAGTGGTCGAGTAGGTATGTATGAAGTTAGGCAATCTCACTAGTAAATGACCTCAGGCTGTTAAAAGTTTCATATATTTATAGGAACACCTTGAAGTTGGCCCGGCAGTAAATCTGCAACCAGTGCAGATCTCTGTGCAGGGATGTTCTATGCTGGCAGAGTCTCACTCCTCTCGGCGATCATGCTGTGGCATTCTGCACTAACTGCAGCTTTCAGATCAAGCACAAGTGAAGCCTCACATAAAGCACATTGCAGTAATCCAGTGCTGAAGTGACCAGTGAATGAGCTACACTCAGCTTTCAAATAGCTACATTAAAAATTCAGTGTGAAACTTCCCCAAGATTAAAAAGATATTTTTGCAGAAAGGAGCTTTCTGAAAAAGAAGCTGAAGAATAATAGATGTTAAGTCACATATGTGGCTGTCTGGATCACGGCTTCTTTTATGCTTGATTATTGTTTTTCTTACCAGTTTTGAATTGAGGACTTGGGGAATCTGAAGATCTATGGCAGGCCCCTGCCCTGCTCAAGAAACGTATGGGAGCAGGCCAAAGACCCTATGTGATTGAGACTGTTCAAGATGTCACTGCAAGAGTGTGTTGTCTCACATTACCACACTTGTTCTTTTCCCTAGGAATGGAAAACCGGTAAAAGGAAGGCAGAAAAAGATGAGGTTGTGGGTGTTATGGTCTTTTCTACTATGGAACCAGAAGCACCCGACTTGGATTTGTTAGAAATGTAAGGTGTTGGATTCTTCCTTTTCATGTCTTATTTCAAAATTGCTGTTGCCTGCTTTTAAAAAATTGTGCACTTGTTTTTAAAGCATATTTAATCTAAAATGTAGTTTTCACTTTGCAAAAGGGATGTAAACTGTGCTGAGGGCATGTGGCCTAGTCAGTATGCAAAAAGGAAAAAAAATCCAGATAAAAAATGTTCACAGTAGAAAATGAAAAAAACACTGTATAATTCAGTTCTTTATTATACAGTGAACAGAAATGTGATACAGTTGGGAAGTTCACTAAAGCCATGGATGATGGAGTTAAGGAGTTGTTGACAGTGGGCCACGAACACTGGAAACGCTGTACAGGACGTAAGTGTTGGAATATATTTAACACAATGAAATTTGTCATTTCTTGACTAATTTTTTAATGTGTATACAATGTGTTTATACAATGTGTAACAGGACTTACTTTGGCAAAAGACTAGAACTACTAGTGCAGTGTTCATGAAATGAATGAATCAATTGCATATAAAATATGCAATCCACAAAAGTGACTGTGCTTGCCTCATAAACACTTGAAAGCTCTGGTTCTGACAGACGTTGCTTTTGGAAGTTGCCCCACAGCTTATGCATTCTTATTTTTTAATCATGCTTCTTCTTTTTTTAAGATGTTTGAATAAGTTCTCAAGATCTGGAATGGGTGTGGGTGTGGGTGGGTGTTCTGGGTTTAAAGAGCTCTTACAGAATGTTTTTTTCTCCTTCACATGATTTTGCAATGAGCATGTGTTTATCTACTGTAGGCAACTTTATTTACAGAATACTTGGCGAACAAAATGAATTTTCAAAGCTAGTAAATGTTTTAGATCTTGGTGTTTTGAAAGCATAAACGAGCTTGCCAGAAAAGATCACAGCAGAATAAACAGAGTCATCCAACTTGGTATAGCTGGATTAATGCCAATTTTCCAAGATCCACCTTTTGAATGAATTTGGAAATGAACTATTGTTCATATTACTGGTATGGTTGTGTAGTGTGACAGTTTGCATACATGATTCATTAGCCATTTGTAGTATGTTTTTTAAAAGGCACAATTTCTCTAGAAAAGCATTTCTGTGTGAAAGACTCAGACTACTTAACTGATCTGCACCAAGCTGCCATTTGAAAAGTAAATACACCACAGAACTGTTTAATGTAGCCCCATACACCTTGGACTTCAGAAATGAGTTTCCCATTAGATCTTGAGGTCACAGGGGACACTGCAAGCTTGGGCCAAGCAGCTGAAGCACTTGTATACCCACTGATCAAAGTAAATGAACTAATGGCACCAAGAGGGTAGTGCAAGTACTAGTAATCAAGCCAGTGGATGTGAAATACAGTGGTACCTCGGGTTACAGACGCTTCAGGTCACAGACTCTGCTAACCCAGAAATAGTACCTCGGGTTAAGAACTTTGCTTCAGGATGAGAACAGAAATCGCGCGGCAGTGGGAGGCCCCATTAGCTAAAGTACCTCAGGTTAAGAACAGGTTCAGGTTAAGAACGGACCTCCAAAACAAACCAAGTTCTTAACCCAAGGTACCACTGTAAATGTGAGGAGAGAGGTGGAGAATACAGGGACTATCAGAAAGAACTTTGGCTGCCTGCCATACTGGTGTTTATTTAGGTCAGGGGTCGGCAACCTAAGGTCCATGGGCCAGTAGTGGCCCACAAGGCTTGTCTAACCAGCCCATAGTGACCCCTGCCGCCCCCCACTCTTACCGGCACGGTGCAGGGACCGACTTCCGGGTTGATGGTGCCTGTGTGCATGCGCACGGGTGCTGCTCCAACCCGGATGTGCACCGGAAATAGCATGTGCACATGCGTATGGGATGGAGAAGCGCCCGTGCACATGCACACACACTAATTCTGGCGCACTTCCAGGTCGGAAGAGCGCCAGAAATAGCGCCTGTGCATGGGCGCTCCTCCGACCCGGAAGAGCGCACGGGCGCACACGCTCCAGCCCATCCTCTGACAGATGGAGCGTCGACCAGCCCATCCTCTGATAAGATTGCCCACCTCTGATTTAGGTAGTGTTTTGTAGTCAGTTATTTGCTGAGTTGGCTCCTGCATAATGCTACATGCACGAATCTCAGCAAGCCCAAGTGAAGCACTGAGCTTGTGCACTCATCCTTCCCCTTGTCTCCTCCTGTTTGTGCCAGGAATGATGGATTAAAGCAAACAAATGGTTTCATAAACAAGCCAGCTTCAAGTAAAGCTGACTGGTTTAACAAACTATTGCCAGTAAATCAGGATCTATGATACATGCGTAATGCTAAGTCAAGCTTCTTTGAAACAAAGTAATCTCAGCAGAAGTCCTCCTCTTTGCCGCATGGGAGGTGGTGGCAGGGCGAGCCCCCCACGGGGTGCCTTCTTGTCACCCCCTCAAAGATGGCACCCGGGGCGCCCTGTCCCCCCTTTGCTCCGCCCCGATGGGAGGATGGGGAGGGGAGTTGTATGAGATGCATACTGTACTTCACTTGGGCTCATTGAAGCTCATCTACGTAACCCTGCATAGCCACTAAACACTAGCAGTGCTTTTAAACAAGCTCATTGCATTTTTCTGGCTTTACCAGATTATATCTTAACGTTAAATCCTTTTTTTTCTTTCAGCATTGCCCAAGGAATACCAGAAAATAGGAAAAGCTTTACAGGGTTTAGCAGTGGTTTTCCATAGCAGTGGTTATCAAGGTATTTCATTCTAGCTCTGTTTTGATTTGTCTTTCAAAGCAACTTCACCTGTTTCTAGTATTTGGGCTGCATTAATTGGATGAGCTCGGAATAAATATTTTGGGTTTTTACTGGACTAAACTTCCTTCAAACATCAGGTAAGCTGAACATATGAAAAGAGCCCTGCTGGATCAGGCGAAAGACTTACATAGTCCTGCCACTGTTCTCTTAGTGGCTACCAAGATGCTTATGAGTCCTTCCCTGTCATGCTCCGATTTATAAGGATTAGATATTGAGGTTAAATATTTGTTTTAAGCAAAGGCATCAATACTAGAAATACGATTTATTAATATAATCTCTGTTTGGAGAGTTATATTGATAGTGATTTCTTAAAAGATCAAAATATTATGGTTAACTGTTGTAACCTCCCTTCTAGTAAGACTTTTACACAGGACAGCCTCTCAGACCAACTCAATCACTGGCACCCTTCTGATTTTTTTGCCAGACATGTATTAAGCACACATTGTGTATTGATACTCAGGCCTTTTCCACACACCTGCCTCAGCTGTTTGCTTCTCATCCAACTCCTCAACAGCCTTTCCCTAACTGATAGCTAACTCCCAACTGTCTGGAACATCCAGTTAATTGTTGTGACCCAGAGCAATCAGACTAAAATTATGTGATCCAGGCCCTGTATAATGAAATCTTAAAGCAGCTATCTCTCTCCTCTCTCCAATATCAGCTCTGCAGGCTTTGAACTCTGTTGCAGAGGTCACAGAACATGTTTTCATTCCAAACATAAACACGTTTACAGCATTTCTCTGCAACAGTAAACAAAGAATAGGTGAATTAGACTACATGAAAGCCCTGCTGTTTTGCCCTAAAACTTAATGTGCCAAACTAAACCCCAGCCTTGTGTTGATGTGTTCAGCAGAAACATTTGAACATGTGTGGCTAGGGAAGGATATGAAAAATATAAAGATGCTATCATTTAATTTTGTCATCTTAGTCCTGAATAGTTTGCCAGTTTCAAATTTATAATTACTGGTATAATTAAAGGCGGTTTTTTTCCCTCATGGATTGGTTTATTCTTCGCATTTGAAGTAAGTCTTAAGTAAGATTTTTATATTAAGTATTGATTTACTTCCACAAATACTTATAAACCTTCTACTATAGGAATCACTGCATGTACCAACAAACACTTATTTTAAAATGTAGATGTTTCTACATGTCCCATTTTTGTTTGTTTCAGCGACTCATTTTGACGTACTTGAAAACCTCTATGTCTCATTTGTTTTTAGGAGAGTCTGACCTCCATGAAGCAATAACAGAAGCAGGAAAAACATATGAAGAAATTGCCAGTCTTGTAGCAGAACAGGTATGTCATACTACTACATTGTGGGGGGAAGTCCATGGGTGAGTTCAAATGGAGCAGGTGTTTGCTTACATGGTGAGCCACCTTCTTCTGGAGCTGGTTGGGGAGAAGAGAAACAAGAGGTCATGTTGTACAAGTGGGCAAAGCTCATTGGATGGCTGTCTCCCTAGGAATGCATAGCATACTTTGAGTGATTACAAAGGTGCTAAGAATTTAGCAAGAGTCGGTGATTATAAAACACTTTGAGGTTCCCCCCCTTACAATCATGCAGTATATAAATTTTATGAAATAAATAAAATCTACCACCATAGTCATGGTATGCAGAAGCCTGCTTCTGTATCAGTAAATGAATGGGAAAATTTGTGTGTAACTGGGAGCTGGGCATGCAACTCCTAACCTGCTAGCTCTATAAAGTGCAGGGGGCAGCGGCTAGATTCAGCCACACCAACACATGATTTTCAGGATATGTGCCTCTTTTTAAAGGGCAATGGGCAAAAAAACCCCTGAAATCTTACACCCCCTGTTTTATTAAAGCCTATTTGTACAAAGATTGGGTAAAATACAGTGATTTATGTTCACTGATTTTATATTTGAATTTGCTATCTTTTTTTAAAGTAACAATTTCTTACATGTCTCTATTTGCAATTTGTAGGTGAGCTGCCATTTTTCAGCACTCAAAATTTCATGATCCCCTCCCCATTGGTAGTCTTCTAATTTTCAGTTTAGATGTGGAGTTTGTATGACCTATTGTTACGGAGTCAATAACTGGATTTCCCCCCTCTTTATCAGCCAAAGCAGGATCTTCATTTTCTAATGGAAACCAATCATGAATACAAAGGATTTCTTGGTTGCTTCCCAGATATCATAGGTGCTCACAAGGTAAGGAGCCTTTTTCACCATGACTTTTAAAGAGGTGGGAGCTACTTATCATAGTGTAAGTTATGCAGACTCTCGGCCTCTTCAGGAAAGGAAAAGGGGTCTTGCTACTACCTGCTAAGTTTTGGGATGTGTGTATTTTAGTTGGTTTTTGTATTTGATTGGTTGCTGAAGTGGATGGAAGTATTTTTCCTGCTTGTTTTTAGGGTGAAGGGGTGTTCTGTCTGCCCTTTTTTGCATTGTTTGGGGAATTGCTTTACACCTTGGAGGTTTGGCATTTGATGTTTGCTTTTTTTGGTAGGATGTATGTGTTTTGTCTGCAGGGTGCTTTTTTGTGGGGGGGGGGCAGTCCTGAGCACCACTAGTTTTTCTACTGGGATATGGGTATTTTGTGTTGCCCACAGCAAGTTCTTGGATTTCCAGATGTGCCTGCAGGCCAAGAAAGGTTGGGGGTTCTTGTCCTAGGGTATTTGGAGAAGGGCTATAGCTCAGTGGCAGAGCATCTGCCTTGCAGGCAAAATGGCTCAGCTTCAGTCCCCAGGTGGGGCTGAGAAAGATTATTTTCTGAAATACTGGGGAACCACTGCCACTGAGTTTCAACACCACTGAGCTAGATGGTCCAGTGGTCCAGCTCATAACAAGGCAGCTTCCTGTGAAGACCAAGATTAGAAAGCCTGCATAGAGTATGGTGCACACTGTATAGTTCTCACACTTGAGGAAACCCAAAATAGTCTCTGTGGTTTATAAAGTGTGATGGAAGCTGAGAGCTTCAGTCACTATTTTGAGAGGACTTTCAGGAGCACTTTTCTGTGGAAGAAACTATTAGGCAGCAACTCAGCATAGCATTATGGAAATAGCTCCATCAGTGCAAGCATTTCACCTTGCCGGATGAAACAATCCTCCCTCTCCTCCGCCTGCATATGCTGTTCTAGGGGTTTTCCTGACCACCCAAAGAGCCAGTTGAGAGGTTGGCAAGCTGAGAAAATGCTGTTGAGCTAGCACAAGTCCTTAATTGAATCTAGCCTTAAGACATTAAATATCCACATAGGCAACCTCTAATTTCGGTTGATTATCTGCCCCACAAAACCCAGGCATTTTATTCAAAGTCAGGCTGATTACGACAAGTTAGGTGTTAACAGTGTTGTAGCTGTGTTGTAGCTGTGTTTACCCTTTGTGACTGCCCCCTCCAGGATACATGAAAATGGCTAAGCATCTTTTGTGGCTATGCTTTAATGTATTTTAGTAGCTTAAATTTAAACTTAATTTTGAAACTACTGATGGCAGATTCATAGTCATCTGATGATGACCTGAAACTACTGCCCACTGCCTTTCCCAAGCCAGTTTTGCAACAGCGCTGCTTGCTGTGCAGAGGATTGCAGTTCTGCATGCATAAATAGCAGCACAAAACTAGTGTGCATTGCAGCTTGGTTTTATAGTTCCCATAGCATGCCCCATGATTGTGTGAATTGGTTTGGAGGAAGATTAAGTATGTGGTGGTTGATCCTAGCATACAACACTCCTCCTTCCAGGCTTTGTAAATTTTTGAGGGAGGGGAGGGAGTCTTAGGAAATAGAATGAACGCAGATACAACACAGGCAAATGAAACTAATTAATTTAATTTGAGATGCTTTTCCGTTGATGCTTTATGTGATGTTTTGTCTTAACAGGGAGCAATAGAAAAAGTGAAGGAAAGTGATAAATTAGTTGCTACCAGCAAAATCACCCCACAGGATAAGCAAAACATGCTGAAGCGTGTAAGCACCATGTCATATGCACTACAAGGTAAAATGTACTTTACATTTAAATGACATGGTTTCCCCTGTTAATTGGGAATGGGGATAGAAGGGGATTGGTGAAAGGGAATTTTAAGAATAATTTTAGTCACATTACAAATACGTGATGTTTATATGGTTTGGGGTGCAGGGAGCGAAGAGGTTTTCCCCACCTGTCTGAATTAATTGGTGTTCCCTCCGTCTCTCTGTGTGTGTGTGTAGTCAGAAAGGAATCCCTTTCACTTGCTTTCTGGAACAGTAGCAGTATTCGTCTACTGTATTAAATGAAGACTTCTCTATGCTTATGTAAGAACAGCAGTGTCAAACAACATAAGGCAGGCTTCGGGGTTGACCTGCATATGATTGGGGAGTGTAATCTGTGGTGACATTGGGTGAGATACTCAGTCTTTATTCTTGATTAGTTAAGACAAAATACTTCAGTCTCAAATCAGCCTTTCATTGGCTCTGCCAGTTGGGTGGGGTATAAATAATAAAATTGTTTTTAGTTGTTGCTGCTGCTGCTGCTGCTGCCATGCCTTCAACAGAAAAATGGTTTCCTACCCCTCCACTACCATAAAGTGCAAATCTGGCATTTTGCTTGGATTCCTAAATGAGTAAAATTTATTCCTTTTTGGAGTCAGACTTCAATATGTGCTCTGGTTTTGATTTTACAGCTGAAATGAATCACTTCCACAGTAACCGAATTTATGATTACAATAGTGTGATGCGCTTGTATCTGGAGCAACAGGCACAGTTCTATGAAACAGTAAGTTGCAATGTGTCTTGAACTCTCTCTGTCTGCACTTGCTTATTCTTCCAAAATTTCATATTTTTTCATAAAAATTATACAAACCACTTGATTGTAAAAAAACAACCTTCCATGGACTGTTTCAAGTGCATTTGTGCTCAAATACTCATCATGTGCTTGAAATTGTTGACTTGAACTATGGTTAGTTCAGAAACACTTCATGTGGTGAACAAATTTATTTTTAAAATACAGGTTTATGAAGTAATAGTTCTTTCATCCCCTCATTGGAAAATGCTACTTGGCACTGCCAATTCTTCCTCTACCACATACTTCGCATGACAAGACTATGCAGCTGCTGCTTGCTTTTTGGCTGGGATTCACAATGAATTGCATTTGGCAGTTCATTAGCAATTCTTTTCATTCCTTTCAGAGAAGGGATAATGATTAAGCTGTATGCAGTTATTCCGCTTAATTCTCTCTAATTTCATCCCTTTTATACCTTGGAAAGTGAACACGTGTAGTGTTAGCCTACTGTCGGGGGGGCGGGTGGCAGCTTCTCTTTTCCTCCTAATAGTGACTCCAGCATTTATTTATGTATTTGTACTGCCCTTCACCAAACGGTCCCAGGGCAAGTCACAAAGACGTTACAGTTAAAACAAGTACAGTGTATGTTAAAATCATAAAACAAAACTACAAAACAAACAATAACCAAGTAATAAAGCATCAGCACCAAACAGCAGTACATAGCAAAGCAGGAGGAGCGACGACCCTTACTCACCCAAAGGCCTGGGTAAGAGGTGCATCATCACCAGTCGCCAAAGCATCCAGTGGATGCACAAAGAGGGAAGGTCATTCTACAACCAGGGTCCGCCACACAGAAAGCTGTCCCTTGACCACAGAGATGGCAGCTCCTCTAACAGGACATCTCCTGTTTATCTTAATATCCTGGTAGGTCAATGTGGAAGGAGCTGCTGCTTCAGATATTTGGGACAAGAGCTGTTTACAGCAGCAGCATTATTATTATTATTATTATTATTATTATTATTATTATTATTTATTGGTGACACTGTGGTCTAAACCACTGATCCTCACTGATCAGAAGGTTGGCAGTTCGAATCTGTGTGATGGGGTGAGCTCCTGTTGCTCTATCCCAGCTTCTGACACCCTAGCAGTTTGAAAGCACACCAGTGCAAGTAGATAAATTGGTACTGCTGTGGCTGAAAAGTAAATGGTGTTTCCATGCACTCTGGCTTCTGTCACAGTGTTCCATTGTGCCAAGTAGCGGTTTAGGCATGCTGTCCACATGATCCAGAAAGCTGTCTGTGGCCTGAAGCAAGATGAGTGCCACACCCCATGGTCGCCTTTGACTGGACTTTACCTTTACCTTTTACCTAGAATTACAAAAACAAATAGTAAAAACTACAGAAAAAAATCCCAAAGTGTACTCACACACACACAGAGTGTGCTTTTTTCTGAGGGAATGCCGGGGTATGCATACCCCTAAACATTTTGTGAGTCTACGTTTGGCCTCATTGAGGGGAAGTATTTCAATATGAGTAGGAAAATGAGAGTAGGAAAATGAGAGTATAAAATATTTTTTATAGAAAAAAGCAGTGTGTGTGTGTGTGTGTGTTACAACCGTTCCCACCCAACCCCACTCCCCAAAAAGATAAGCAGAAAATTACAATCCCAAAGCCTGAGTAGATGTTTTTACCTGGTGTCTAAAAAAGATAGTGATGGTGCTAGGCATGCCTCCCTGGGGAGAGCTTTCAATGAACAGGAAGCTTAACCCCTGAAATTGGGCTCTCCAGCTAGTTGGAAACTATTGTTGTACATGTCCAGCCAGAGACATCCACCAGCAGCCGCTCAGCTGCATTCTGCACTAGTTACAACTTCAAAACCATGTTCAATGGCAGCTCTATAAAGAGTGCATTGCAGCAGTCCAATCTGGAAGTTACCAGAGGCCGGCTCACTATTATCAAGCTAGCCCTGGCCAGGTAGGGCCAGAGCTGGCAAACCAGCCATAAGTGGAAATAGACACTACTAGCCACTGACTCTACCTGGGCCTCAAGTGACAATGATGAATCAATGTGTACAAGCCTGTTCCTACCAGGGAAATGCGAATCAATCAAAGCTTCAAAAATGTGTGTGTGCATATAACTTGAAAGATGGAAGTTAATGTTTCTAACCACACAAGTAGGTCTAATCACCAGACATTGTTGCCACTGGAAAACTCTGATACCTGTCTGGAAAGAATCGCCATTTTAGGTAACACAAGACAACTGTTCATACTTTCTCCTTTGGGACTACTCAGTAAGCAGATTTAATTATTTGGTAACTTGCCTTTTTAAAAAAGTCATCTATATTTTTATTCATGATACAGCAACCTTTAAGAGTGCTAGAATATGCTTCAAATGGACAAATGTTTGAGCTGTCAAAGATATCAGGTTTCTTGAACAGCATGCAGAATAAATTATTATAGTAGGTCTATACAGTTTGTTTACCTTTTCTATGTTAATGGAATGAATTGCTTTAAATGTTCTCATAAGTTCTTTGAGATAAGGTTTATTTTATTTATTATAATTTATATAACAGCTGTAAAAACAACCACCTCCAAGCGGTTTGCAAAAACAAACAAACCTGAATAATTCTGAATATATAGGGTTATCTCGCTTTTCATGTGCCATATTTGTTTGTCTATTTCAGATTGCACAAAAGCTGAGGCAGGCTCTCAGTCGCTTTCCAATGATGTAGATACAGAGACAGATAATGAAGAACTCCAAAGTGCTTTTCTGATTTTTGGTGGGGCAGTGCAAATAAGTTAAGTCTTCGCCATCCAAAAAGCCTTTTTTTAAAGAAATAAAATGCAAAAGAAAGTGAAAACTTCAGGAGTTTACTTTGTTAACCTAAATGCCTTGGATATTTATGTATATTTTTATCCTATATGCTTTCCCCTCCTACCCACTATCTTAGTAGAACTGGAAAATGCCCTATATTAGGGAAGGGTAATCTATGGCTCTCCAGTTGGAGCTAGCTCCCATCCTCAATTGACCATTGCCTTGGTTCCAGGGCTGTGGGAGTTGGAATTCAATTACATCTGGAGGGCCATGGGCTCCCCTACTCTGCTCTATGATAGGGCTTCAAATTGCCAAATGGTTTGTTGCCAAGGGTTACATACTCTATAAGAGTATTCTGTGTCACCTGATTAGATTTTTTAAAATACTTTATCCTGATTGCTGAAATGCTTTCTAGCATATACTTTTTTTGTTACGAGCCTGCTGTTGAAAGCAGTTTAGCTTCCCTCTCCTGTAGCAATGGTATACAAAATCTGAAATAAAGTTGCTGACGCATATGAGAATCTTTTAATATCCTGTCCTTGAACCACAGATGCCTCAAAACATGAGGGCTAGATTATTTTTTTCTTCCTATATGAGAAAAAAAAAAGAGCTGAACCTAAAACAGCCATTCCAAACATCTGGAAGATATTGTTCCATCCAGTAATTCTGAGCCATGCACTTTGGTTAACTACCCAATAGTCATGGTTGTGTGTTTGGAGCCTTTTTGCTCTGTCCTTACCAAGTGTGTAGCATCAATAGTGTCTCATGTCCCATCACCACTGCCATGATAGAAAATGTTTCAAGGTCACTGCCAGATTCTGGGTGCTTATATAATAGCATGATACTACATTTTTTATCCACTTTAAAATGATCCCATAATGGCCAAAATTCTTTATTTTTTACTTCTGGAAAACAGACCATTTATTCAGGTGTTAAATACAACATGGGCTTATAAAACAAGTATCTACTTCAAAATGCAACTATGCTTGAAATGTTATGTTCAGGCCACTGTTGTTAAAACAGCTTTTGCATACCAACAGTGGGCAATAAAGGCTTGAAGGTATGTTGCCACAAATTTTCTCACTATACCACACACAACTTCCATTAGAATTAGTCTTCACTGCATAAATAAACATTCTTTCATCTACCAAGTCATTCTAAGAGAGTAGTACTCCCTATATGTTCTGTTGACTTGTGCGCTGTTGTCATTTTGTGTGTGTTAGAGTAATAAAGAATCTCTGTCTGCCATGATAATATAATGCCCCCCCAAAAAAACACAAAATCCCAGAAGGTAAACATGGCTCAATCCTCTCTATTGTCAGGTATTTAATTATTTTTCTACATTTTTTTTTTGTTTTCCTATTAATTTAGTTTGTCTTCCAAAATTCCATAAAGTGTTATGATACAGCCATTCAGATATGTACAAATTGTAAAGAATGTGTATAAATGTTTTATGCCAAATGTAATGAGATCTATCTTGCATGTAGAAACAATTTATGAAGTTAATGCAAAGTGTATAGTAAATTCTAAGGCACTTTTTCACAGCACCACTTTTCCAGCATTTGTATATTCACTTTTTGTGTCAATCTTTGTTACTGGTTCGCTGAGGATTTCTTTTTACCAAACTTTAAATTGATCCTGATGACAGAAGTTGCAGACTTACCATCTTACCATCTTTAACAGACAAACTGGGACAGAAGAACAGAAGAGATGGTTTCAGTGTGGAAAAGCCATGTATGTAGCAAGACCATTTGAAAAGGCAGATCTGTAACTTCCCAGCAAATTAAGTCTTTAAATTGATAATAAATATTTATACATAAAAGAAACTTTGTGCCCCCCCACATTATTTTGCTACTGTATATAAACAGGTGTTTGCAGGTACCACCACATCTGTACTTTTCACCAAGGACACATCTCCTATTTTATTTTAGGATGCAGTTTTTGAACCAAAGTTGCAATTTTCTCCTGGCAGTAAGAGGCTTCTTTTAAGTGCTTGAAATCTACAAAGCTTCTGCACAAATATCATTCTTGTTACTATATTACATCCTGAAAGAGCTTAAAGTTGCCTTGAATCTTGGTAGCGTGAAACCTTATGTACAAACATCATCTCCAGATTTCCTTATATATCTCATAAGAAATATATTTAGGGGCATATATCTGCTTCTACACAAAAACTCCAATAATATATAGTAACTTTTTGTCTTTTTTATTATTAAAGATTTTCTTGATTTACAAAAGTGTAACTTTTTGTCTTTTTAGGAGAGTTGTGTTTAAACTCCACCCTCCATATCTAGGCTAGGTACTGCTCAAAGTTAGCCAGAACAGAGGCATGACTGGAAATCATTTTTAGCAGTCGGTTATGAAATTTAGCTTGGGGGCTACTTTCTAATATTGCACTTCTGCCATTATTAAAAATGGCAGCAATGATAAATGAGATGAATAAATGTTGACATTTCAGCAACTGAAGTTGATTTTAATTTTGTTAAACAATCATGAGTAGCTATTGCAACAAAACTTCTTTTTTAGTTTTGGTTTTAAACTATGTAGATTATGCCAACCTGCAGGTAACAAAATGACAAAATTTTGCTGCATAATGTCTCATTGTTTGGTAGCCCTCAGCCTTAAAATTAAAAACAAAACCCATAATTTCTGAGCGTTTTTGCAATAATAAGAGTACTTATTTCAAGGGTGAAAATTTTATCATTTGTATCTGCAACTCAGCTTTAATAGTATTAACAAAAAGCAAAAACTTAAGGAACACTCTTAAGTTAAATAAACCACTACAACTCACACTTGAAGCCAAGTTTGTTGACACAGCTTACACTGGATATTCTTAATACAGGTATTTTTTTGTATCACTTCAATTGGCTCTTTAAAGAATATTTGGTTGCTACTGTTGATTAATTTAGAACTCATTAGCTTTAATTGTGCAGTTCTCTAATGTATTTCCTGTAGTATAGATAATTATGCATTTCCCTTCATAGCATCTGAGATATCTCCCTGCACTTTGAGACTAGCTGCATTAAAAGAAAGGAAACACACTATGCTGAGAGGCAAACACATATCAACCAAGAAAATTTCCATCTATATCAACTTTTTTTAACCTCTTGGGACTGCAGTTTGTCAGTTAATTTTCAAACTGTTAAACATTTCAGCCAAGGTACCTAAAAAAGTAGCATACCTATCCATAACTTATGGTGACCAGATTTTTTTTCAATGAATCCGGGGACACTTTTTTTTTTTTTTTTTTTGGAAGCTGAGTAGCAACAGGGAGTCAGTAGTGGGGATGGTGAGGCAAAATACCCTGGGCCCAAGCACACATCCATATTGTACAGTGGTACCTCGGGTTAAGTACTTAATTCGTTCCAGAGGTCCGTTCTTAACCTGAAACTGTTCTTAACCTGAAGCACCACTCTAGCTAATGGGGCCTCCTGCTGCCGCCACACCACCGGAACACGATTTCTGTTCTCATCCTGAAGCAAAGTTCTTAACCTGAAGCACTATTTCTGGGTTAGCGGAGTCTGTAACCTGAAGTGTATGTAACCTGAAGCGTATGTAACCCGAGGTATGTAACCCGAAAGTCCCCATATGATGTGTTGTGCACAAAATGGCGGGCACCACGGCAGCGAGCAGCCCATGAAGGCAGCCAGAGCCAACTGCGCTACTAGGCTGGCTCTGGGCTGCTGAGGCTGCTGCCACCACATTTCCCGGGGACAGATTTGCAATCTGGGGACTGTCCCCGGGAACATCTGGTAATCCTACTTTAACTAGAACAATTTCCCCTTTTCAAAGCAGGACTGCTTTGTGGCTGCCTCAACAGTTGACGCTGTAGGGAGGCAGCTGCATCAAGCATCTAGCTTAGTAAAATAATAATTGCTGGCTGCTGCCCTGCTTAGCACACTCTCTGCAATCCAGCAAAAGTGGCTTAACAAAAAGTCAATTTAAATCCTGCTCTCAAGTGAAAAACAAATAAGGGAGATAGATAAGCTCCCAATACTTAAGTGTGGGGGTGGGGAGTGATTTCCCAAAGGAAAGCATTTATCCACACCTTGTCCTATGGGGCACTCATCTTTTTGAGCATCAATTCATGCCCATGTATATAGTGAGATTTCTTATTTTTCCATGATAGTTGTTATGCGTCTTATGCTTCACTCTCTAGAACAGGATCTGTTGAAAAGACAGATTTGACCTGGGCTGCAGGAAGACCAGAGTAAATTAAACATATGACCATCTTGCAATGGCACTGCCCTGATTAACAACCATCTTGAAAGTCCTTTTAATTACTCCCACTGCTTAGACCCACTGGGATAGCTCAGTTGGTAGAGTATGAGACTTAATCTCAGGGTCATGGGTTTGAGCAGCATGTTGGGCAAAAAGATTCCTGCATGGCAGGGGGTTGGGCTAGATGATCCTCATGGTCCCTTCCAGCTCTACAGTTATAGGATTTTATCTTTTTTTAAAAAAGAAAAAAAGAAAAATGTAAGCACTGTTACTTGAATGGATCCTCAATCTTTCTAAATGTTTTTACCCTAGATGTGAGGGTGATTCCCCCCCCCCCCGTGAAAGGACTCCTGCAATGATAGGAGGCATTTTCAACATGCAGTCTGTATTCCAAGTCTGTATTCCATGGAGCAATGTAGGCTCATGCACTGAGTGTGTGCTGTCCCATTTTCTGCCATATTGCAAACCATTTGCAGTTTGTCATGAAGTTGCGGGTGGGGAGCAACCATTTGATAAAAATAACTATATCTCTCTTGGGCTCACCTTGGAGAAGCTAGTTACAGGTGGGTAGCCGTGTTGGTTTGCCATAGTCAAAACAAAATTTAAAAATTCCTTCCAGTAGCACCTTAGAGACCAATAAGTTTGTTCTTGGTATGAGCTTTTGTGTGCATGTATCTGAAGAAGTGTGCCTGCACACGAAAGCTCATACCAGTAACAGACTTGGAGAAGCTAGTTTAACTGTTCTTTAGATCCTGGCCAAAATATCAACAACTCAGAAGGCTAATAAAGTCAACATCTCATTGTTAAACTCAATGGCTCCAAATTTAGAGGGGTCACATACTGTACTTGTGAGCAGGAGCAGTTGTCAGCCAGGTATTTGTGATGCAGCCTTAAGTGTCATTTGTTACTACGTGGATTTAGGACTCTAGCATTTAACTTTCTTATAAAGAGCATGAAAGGACCCATCTTGAATTTGGCAAATATAAAATAAAATATATACTTAATATACCAAAAACTCTTGCTCAATGCATTTCCCTACAGTGAACCTGGACTTTCTAAAAGATAATCAACTTGATCATTAATGTACTTGGGACAATGGGCAATACTTAACTTCTGCATACCTCTTTTTTCAATATACTCATGCAAAAGTAGTACGTATTTGTTTGGATGTGCCTAATTTCCTTATTTGAATGCATGCATACAATGATCATAGGAAAGATAACATCAACAGAGTCAACATTAAAAATGCAATATTCTATTCATAGGGTTGTTTTGGTGGTTTTGGTTTTTTTTTAATTTTAGAGGTATTTTAATAGCTATCATTAATAGAGTTTAATTGAAACTCAGTGGGTGATTTCTCTGCTGATTGCTTGTTCATGCAGAGAGGAGGATACAACTCAATGGGATTTAAATAAATTGTTATTAATGGGAACAATTCATTAACTGAACAAGAAAGCTTCATTCTCACCACCTCCTGTTTGACGGATACAATCTCCCCGAGTACTTCTACAGATGTGATTTTGCTTCTCCTTCTATTATCTTTAATACACGCGCTTAGCACATTTTTCAAAAGTCAGATGAACTTATAAAACATGTTAAGAAACCACATTAGACATGTTAAAAAACATGTTAAGAGTCTGATGACATGTTCTGAACCAAGAAGTTCTTGATTCATAGTTTAGCCTCTAAGCCACTATACTATACCAGCTCCTTTTGGAGAGTCAAAACAAAATAAGACTACAAAAAATATGGTTGTCTGTTCACTCTCTCTGCCTAAATAAATATGGTCTAGCTAAAATTTACTCATCTGCAAATAGTTTTGGGATGAAAGGAGTCAAGCTTTTAAACAGCTGCTGCTAAAAACAGACTTTTAATAGGAAAGGTTTTGCATCTGTCATGGCAAGTCTGTTTTTGCTAAGAGATTCTACGTTTTTAAAGTACAGAGGTAAGATCTAAGAATATATAAAGGATGCAGAGAGTTTTTCTCTTTGGGGGGAGGGGGGAGCCCTGCATTTCTTCCAAATGCCAAATATAATTATTCCAACCCTAGGTTAGGCTAGGAAGATGGCAGTGGGCTGGAATAAACTAAACAGCAGAAGGCCTGCTAGTGCAGGACTTGGCCCCTTTGGAGTTGGCTCCTATGAGGTCAACCAATCATGTTTTAATACCAAATCGCCACCTGAACCTATATTCTAATTAGCCTTGATAATCTGTTTCATCCAATAGCACCCTGGTGAAATCACCATCACCTCTCAAGGACCTTGCCAAAAGGGGGTGTTGGCAAGTAGCTGATAATTGTTACAATCTCCCAGGTGTGGTCTCAGAACCATCTACTTCAGAGTGGCAAGAACCATTTCCTCTGCCAGGGCAGCATTTATAACCTTCTGGAGCCATTGAGCTCACTTTGGCTCCAGTAACCAAGTTGAGAAATGGTTGAGAGTACATGTTACTGGGAAAACCTCTCCAGGCACCTTGGCTACATCCTCAGGCTGCAGCAAATGGAACTGGAACTGTATTAATGATGATATCTAGGTCAGAGCGCATATGAGCAACATTGCCTTCTAAGTGCTTAGAAAACATGTCACAGTAGGCCTTAGATGACTCACCACTCGGCTTGCTTTTTTAACCCCAGGTGACATACTTCCTTCTTCCTGTATCTACTGAAATAAGGTCGTTCTGCCCTTTCATGACCTTGCTGCCCCAGCACATCTTTGTCATTCTCCAGAGGAAAGGCAGGATACCTAAATAAATATGAAGCTGCCTTATAGTGACACAGACCAAGGGAAATTCAGGAAACATGTGAAGACTTCCTTATTTACCCAGATTATTTTGGCCAATAATGTTATGAATTTTTTTTATACGGCTGGTTTTAACTGCTGTCTGTAATATATTATAATGTTTTGAATTGCTTTGTGTAACTTTATTGTTATGAGCCATCCTGGACTCCCCTTGGGGAGGAAGAATGAGTTATAAGGACAGGTTGGAGACCGTGATGCTTCTGAATACCAGTTGCTGGAAGCCACAGGAGGGGAGAGTGCTTGTGTGCTCAGGTCCTGCTTGCCAGTTTCCCACAGGCATCTGTGTGTGGCCACAGTGAGAACAGGATGTTAGACTAGACAGGCTTGATCCAGCAGGGTCTTCTTATGTTTCTATGAAATAAGTAAACAAAAAAGAAAAAGAGGGACGGGAAGTGAACTCTGTGGACACTCCACAGAACATCTCTCTTCTCACACAGCCAACGGGGGATTGGCAGGCATGCCATGCTGCTTTTGTCCTTCACCATGGAGTGTGAACTCCTGTTGCATGTTTATGTGTGGAATCCTGAGGCACAGGACATTTCAGTAGTTCTGAGAAGACAAATGTACACATAACACAAAGCCATAGTACTTTGGCCCTATCCTGCATGCCTTATATTCTGAGTTGTGGTGTCCCTATTTGGGGCTTGTATACTGGTGCTGGTGTGTTGCAACTGGCTGTAATTGTTGGCCATAATACTAAGAGAACAAGGGAGAAGTTCATGGTGAGCTCTGGCACCTCTTTTTCTAGAAAAATGCTCCAATCACTGCTGTGTGATCAGAGCTAAGCTCACAGCTATCCATTTCCAAGTTTAGGCTGCCATCTCCTTTCTTTTGTCCCCCTCTCACCACAAAACACTTGTCCATGATCCAACACTACATATAAACCATCATAGCTTCAATTTGTTAACTCCCACTGAGGGATTAACAACCCATCATCCCTTACCATTAGCAAGCAAACAGATGGTAAATGGCAGCTGTAACAGTATGGTGTGAAATGGTCCCGACTGAAGGCATTCCCCCCTACCCCCCCCCCCATTTTCTTCTACCAATAAGAGAGTTGGATTGAAAACTGGGCTGGAGCTGATATGGACAAGACACCATCACTAGAACAGCTCAAATGAAATTATATTATACAGTTTGACTGTAAAGCTGTACAAATCTACACTCTGAACCCAGCAACACGATATGTATAAATATTGCTGAACAAAAATTAATAAAATGTGGAAATTAATACCTCTTTCATGAGTTCAGTACAGAGTGTGCAAGAGAGGGAGCACATCTAATTACCCCAACATCTAACACCTACTGAAGCACAAAGTTAGGGTATGGTGGTCAAATGCTCTGATTTCTCTGTTTGGTTGACATTTGAAACTGGGAATAGCAGTCTACATTACTAGATTTCTGTGTGAACCTTCCCATCCTAGTGTACACACAGGAGTCTTTCCTGTGTCTACACTCTACTGAACATGTAGGGAACTTCTGCATCCAGCCCTATATGCATATACTCAGCAGCCCTATGCATGAAAGAAATTCAACACTTGGTTCATCACAACAAAAAGTGAACAGCTGGTGAGCAGAGCTAAAGTATTTCACTGGGGCAGGAAGTGAGGAAGAATGCAGGGGGGGGGGGACTGTAGAAATTCTGGCTGATGGCCAATCCAGCTGCCTTGTGTCCCCTCCCTTTCAGCCTCTCGCTTTGCCAGCATCTGCCTGTCCCTCTGACTCTCTCTGTTTGGAGAGAAAGGAGCACCGCAGTTGCCTCTCCTCTTGGGGGAGCCAGTGTGATAATCTTGCAGCTCTCTGGGAAGGGAAACAGGGCGGAGACACATCGCCTCTCACCTGTCCCCCGAGGAGGAGAAAGAGGCGGAGACTCGAGGAACTTGAACTCGTCCAGAAAGTTTACGCAGGAAAAAGAAAAAGAAAAAAAGGGGGGGAGAGAGAAAGAGAGCGGCGTGGAAGAAAGAAGACGACGACGTCGCCGCCGCCCTGGGCGGTAGCGGGAAACAGGGAGGGATTTTCCAACAAGGAAACAGAAAGTCCGGAAATTGGGCAAGAACAACTTGCGCGAAGGGGGGACGTTTTTCCAATGCCCCCCCTCTCTTTGCAGAAAAAAGAGCATTTTGACCTCTCTTCCTTTCCTGCACCGCCGGCCGGAGGCTTGTGACTAAAAACTTGCTTGACTTACACAAAGAGGAGACTCAGCTGCGACTTGTCTTCAGAAGATGCTCAGGGCGCGCGAAGGAGGCAGCTAAGTACTTTCCAGCCTCCCACGAGGCGGACAACTTTCCAGTCGAGGGAACACCTCAGCGGCGTGGGGTGGTGTTTTTATTTTTTAATTTTTTAAAATATTTTGTTTGGAGATACCCGTCTCCTCTTCTTTCAACGTCTCCTTTCAAACCTTTCTTAATTATTTAAAAGCACACACCACCACCGGGAAGCTGTTGCTCCGTTTTCCTTTGGAACGAACTTCTGGCAGCTGAGAAGTTGTGGGGAGAAAATTCCCTCACGCCGCCCAGTTTCTCGTGACTGTTTTCTGGGGCGTGTGTGTGTGTCTTGTTTCAGAGGAGGAGGCCTTCCTTCCCACCCGGCTGCCCTGGTGTGACTGACTTTCCCCTTCCTCTCCCTCCTTCCCCCTCCATGGAAAGCGGCTGCCATGGCTCTGAGCAAAGGGCTGAGGGTGTTGTGGAAGCAGGAACCCACGGCGAGCGCCCTGCTGGAGGCGCGCGGCCGCCAGGACTGCCTGCTGCTGGAAGCCGGCACGATGGCCACCCTCAGTAAGTGCCTCGCGCCCAAGTGGGTGGGGCGGGGAGAGGGTGGGGAGGTGGGCGACCTTGCTACTCTTGGAGCCCCCCACCCACCGGGTGGGAGGTGGCGCTGCCAGTCCAACATCCAGCCATGAAGACAACGGGCCCTCCCTCGCCGTTTGCCTCCTGCCCCCTGGCTGCAACTGGCATTCCGAGAGCTACACTGCTCCCGAGCTTGGAGGCCCTGTAGGGCAGCCTCCTGCCACCTGGCACCTTCCAGATGTTTCTGGACTCCAACTTCCATCAGCCCCAGCCAGAGTTCTCAGTGCTCTCAGGAATGATGGGAGTTGGAGGCCCAAACCTCTGGATGGCTTGCTAGGCAGCTGTTCAGGTTACTATGGCAAATCCTTTGGAGAAAGGGGGAAAACAACCATTTGAAGCCATTTAGGTCTAAGGCTATCGCTGCATCTTGTTGCCATGGGTTCCATAAATTAATAAACCTGTGTTTATGTGGTGTTTTGGGTGCTGGTACAGGAGGAGACAGAGATGTGAATTGGATATTGTAAGAGGGAGGACTGTGTTTTGTCTTCAGACTTTCAGCTGTGTTCTATGGCTGTAGCCAACTTTCAAAAAGGAGAGGGAAATGCAGCCTCTTTTTCCCAACTGCAATGACTCCACCCCTTATCACCACCCACTGTTGAATTCCCTGCTAAAAGGCTACAGAAGTAATGGCCTAACTCAGTGGTTCCCAATCTTTTTTTCCCCATGGAAAATTGCTGAGGGTCTTTGCAGAGCACTTCATTGTTTTTTTGCCCACTTGTAGCAGACGCTGCATGATTCTTTAATTGTATTTTATCGCTTTTTTATTTCTTCTATATTGTAAGTTGTTATATTTCATAACAGTCAAATTGTAATGCAGTAAAATACGAGATAAGAAATAAAAGAAGCAATTAGAATGCAATCAAGACTCAATATATTTAATGTGATGGATGTGCTGTCTCCTGCCTCCCACCACAAATCTACAGACATGCCGTGGACCACCTGAATTAAGCTGCCTGGCCACTGGTGGTCCATGGACCATAGTTGGAAATGCTTGGCCTAACTAAAGTCACGTGTTGTCTATCTGCAACCAGGAGCTTGACAACTCTACCAAGCAGTTTTACACTTCTGGGCCAGGAACAAAAACAGGAAGGTTTATTGAGTCAGTTTTGGGAAATCGTATGTGATTGGTGGACTGCAGTAAAGAAAACCTGATTTGAGATATTTGCAAAGCATTTATAAGTGAAAAATGAAATGGTCAACATGTCACACAAATGTGAGCTTGATGGCCTATTTATTTTATCAATAAAACAAATTATTTATGTGTACTTTAAAGATTAATATTGGATTAATATTTTAAGATACTCTCTCCGTCCCTTTTCTATTCTTCCATGAATCTGTTCTGCTTCACTTGTGACTTCTTGAAGGGATGCAATCCCATCTACTATGTATCATTGATATTATCTGTCCTGGGCCATACGTATCTAGAAAACGTCTGTCTCGGGGTAATGTTAATTACAAAAAACATGCATACTGCAGGACTTGCGCACTTTGAGATAGGAGAGGGGAGTTTGTAGAGCAATCCTAACCATACAATGCTGGTGGCTGGTGTGTAAGTGTTAGGATGGTGCACAATCACCTCCCCATTGGTCTCTGTCAGCCAAGAAGAGCTCCAGTGGCAGGGGTAAGCCCTAGCTCTGCTGAAGCAGGTTGTGTGGTATCACGGTGAGTCATCAGTGGAAAGACATGAAAGTAGACATTTTGGAGAAGGGTGCTGGATCTGCTGGGGCCTGATGCTTAGAACGAGCAACTAAAATAGTTGCTCTCACCCTCCTCTTTGGTTGGTAGGAGCTGACTGGACTCAGAGGTACTGGAGGATCTGCTTGCTGCTTGCCTCCTTGGCCCCTCATTAGGATTGCTGTACTCAGCTTTAACAGTACAATTCTGTGCATGTCTGATGAGATGTAAGCCACCTTGGCTGTGAGTCTTGGAAGAACTGCTCTCTGCCTTGCAGGCCCTTTTCCACCTGCCCTGGGTGGGCAGGGCCCTGACAGACTCCAGCTGCAAAAGCTGAGGCTGTTGAACAGGTTGGTGTATTGCTTAGGGGTTTTTTGTTGCTGATGGGATTGTTGCTGTTATCAATATTAATTTTTGTACCTTTTTTATTAGATCTGATGATGTTTTAATGTGGAAATTGTTCAGTTTGGTTGGGTAGTTTTTGATGTGTGTTGTTTATTGTTTATGACTATTTTTGTTATACAGTGGAACCTTAGTTGTCGAACGTAATCTGTTCTGGAAGACTGTTCGACTTCCGAAACATTCGACAACTGAGGCGCAAAATTAAATTGAGAAAATTGAGAAACGCACTTTGGAAGCCATTCGACTTCCGAGGTGCATTTGAAAATGGAAGCAATTACTTCCGGGTTTTCAGCATTTGAAAATCGAAACGTTCGGCTTCTGAGGTGCTCGAAAACCGAGGTTCCACTGTATTTGTAATTATATAATTTTTTTCCTCATGTTGTAAGCCACCTTGAGCGTGGTTTTATCTATGGAAAGGTGGCATACAAATAAAATGATGTATGTAAACCCTGCTGAGTTCAGTTGGACTTACCTCCCATGTAAACTTGTATAAGATCTATATTATATGAGATGGTATTATAGACTATTAAGAAGAAGAAGAAATGCAATACAAAGTACCTGTGAAAAATGAAGGGTTTTGCCATTGGTTCTGTTAGCATAACTGCTAGTGGAGGGGAACAGGTCTTCTAGAATTTTTAACCTCCTGACATAATACATACCCACCCAGGGGCAGGATTGTGAACGATTCTGGCCACAGCCTGCTCCTTAGAGAAGCCAGCCTCAGATTGAGAAAACTTGGATAGTGCCCTGCATTACATTGCATACCCATGAGTATCAGCCTCATTCATCTTAACTGCAATAATATTTTTTACAAACCCAAGTATTTTTTATTTTTAAACGTTTGATACGTTTAAAGTGCAATTGCTTTGCAATCTTCTGAAGGCTCAATGATATCTGAATGTTGTGGGTTTCTGTTGTTGCTTCCAGAACGTTAAGCATATGTTACTAATTCGGGACAAACCTTGGTATAAAGGCTTTGTTTTCTGTAATAACCAAAGTGTGGGTGTGTATTCTGAACAATACAATATCTCTACATGCATAACCTTACATGATCTATAGGGTTACAATGAAGAAAAAAACATTATATGGATGGATATCATCCTCATATTTGTCATTCCAAAATTTCATAAACAGTGAACAATAACCAACATGCTGTTTAAAGCTTATTTCTACTTGCTGATTGAAAGAAGGGAATGAACTCTTTGGTTTCAACCCTCTTTTCTCTTAGGAGGCATGATTATGACAAAGTCCAAACACTGCTTGCATTCTTCAACACTTGCCTACGTCTTTAAATATCATTACTTTATTTTTACAGTTTTACTGTAGTCTATTACTACAGTCATTCCTTTGTCTACTTATGCATTTCCTGATCCAGTGACTCCATTGTACTTTAATTGGGAGATAAAGATGTGAAGATTTGCAGAGGGAATGGCTCTGTTATTTCTTTCTCTCCTACAAGTGAGAAAGCTCTAGAATCACAGCAGGATTCCCAATTGCATGCATAGAGAATTATCTTCAGTTAGACCTGCCTTAAAGTGTATTGGATAATGACTAAAATATATTGATAGTACTGTATGGAAGAACGTAGCCAAGATGTAGGGACACATTCCACTGCACACATGTTTATTGGGCCCAGAGATAGAAGGTTGATGCAAAACTGTCAATCTCTGAAATGTATTACAGTGTTACCTCGGGTTAAGTACTTAATTCGTTCTGGAGGTCCGTTCTTAACCTGAAACTGTTCTTAACCTGAAGCACCACTTTAGCTAATGGGGCCTCCTGCTGCTGCCGCGCTGCTGGAGCACGATTTCTGTTCTCATCCTGAAGCAAAGTTCTTAACCCAAGATACTATTTCTGGGTTAGCGCAGTCTGTAACCTGAAGCGTATGTAACCCGAGGTACCACTGTATTAGCACTGTATGTAAGTTTGTAGTCAAGTTGCTCAACACATAAGATAAGTCTTCTTAGGGAGACATCTCTTTCTGGCCCTTGCAGAGCATATATATCACACCCCAACTTCTCCTACTCAGTGCAGCGTAAGAGGTTGTGAAAGAAGCCAAATGGCCTGACCCTGTGCATATTTACTATGGAGTTAGTCTCACTGATTTTGTTGCAACTTACCTCTGAGTAACCATGAGTAGAATTGGGCTGTAAAAGTATTGTGGCATCTAGATCACTTCCTGGTGCAACTGGACTTCTCCGCGACCCTTCCCCTCTGCAGGGAGGTGGGACCAATTCGGATGGTCTGCCCCCGCCATTGAATGGATCCAAATGGTTTCCAGAGAGTGGTAGGGGATGCTTTATCCCATGTTGATGGCCTTTCAGCTGATTCCCTGGTGGCCCACTGGAATGCGGAGTTAACCAGGGCTATCGACTGTCTGGCTCCGAAGCGCCCTCTCCGATTGCATGGAGCCTGGACAGCCCCGTGGTTTTCTTCGGAGCTGAGGGCGATGAAACAATCGCTGAGACGGCTAGAGCGTCGGTGGCAGAAAACTCACTCCGAATCTGACCGGACACAGGTTAGAGCTCAACGTCGAGCCTACCAAGTGGCGATAGCGACGGCGAAGAAGACTTTCTTCACCGCCTCTATTGCATCTGCACAAAATAGTAGCAGGAGACTCTTTCAGGTGGTTCGCAATTTAACGGAACCACCTTTACCACCGGGGCCTTGTAAAGACCCCAAGATTTCCTGCAACGATTTTGCAAAGTTTTTGCAGATAAAATCACTCATATTCGGAAGGAGCTAGACACCACCGTGGGAGCAGGGCTGGGGTGGGAGAGTGCTAGAGCCCTGTCTGGTCAAGTTGCATGGAATCAATTTCAATCCGTTACCCCCGAGGATGTGGACAGGCTGCTTGGACACATAAAACCAACCACCTGTCTCCTTGATCCTTGCCCATCCTGGCTAATAAAAGCAAGCCGGGAAGGGCTGGGCGATGGGTTCTGCATGGTGGTAAATGCTTCCCTCTGTGAGGGAACATTCCCAGATCCGCTGAAAGAGGCAGTCATTAAACCGCTTCTTAAAAAACCATCTTTAGACCCGGCCAGTATGGCCAACTATCGCCCAGTCTCAAATCTTCCATTCTTGGGCAAAGTGATTAAGCGCGTGGTTGCTGAACAACTCCAGGCACGCCTGGAGGATGCGGACCATTTGGATCCCTTCCAATCGGGATTCAGGCCTCATCATGGGACTGAAACTGCCTTGGTCGCGCTGGCTGATGATCTCCGGTGAGCTAGGGACAAAGGTGAGAGTTGTTTCCTAGTTCTGCTGGATCTCTCAGCGGCCTTTGATACTATCGACCATAACATCCTTCTGGACCGTCTAGAGGAGCTGGGGGCAGTTATACAGTGGTTTCGCTCCTTCCTCCTGGGCCGTGTTCAGAAAGTGGTGTGGGGGATGAGTGTTCAGACCCTTGGGCCCTCACTTGTGGGGTGCCTCAGGGTTCCGTCCTCTCCCCCATGCTTTTTAACATCTATATGAAGCCGCTGGGAGAGATCATCAGGGGGTTTGGACTGTGTGTCCATCAATATGCAGATGATACCCAGCTCTCTTTCAAATCAGAACCAGTGAAGGCGGTGAAGGTCCTATGTGAGTGCCTGGAGGTGGTTGGAGGATGGATGGCGGCTAATGGATTGAAGTTGAATCCTGACAAGACAGAAGTACTGTTTTTGGGGGACAGGGGGCGGGCTGGTGTGGAGGACTCCCTGGTCCTGAATAGGGTAACTGTGCCCCTGAAGGACTAGGTGCGCAGCCTGGGAGTCATTTTGGACTCACAGCTGTCCATGGAGGCGCAGGTCAATTCTGTATCCAGGGCAGCTGTCTACCAACTCCACCTGGTACGCAGGCTGAGACCCTACCTGCCCGCGGACTGTCTCGCTAAAGTGGTGCATGCTCTAGTTATCTCCCGCTTGGACTACTGCAATGCGCTCACCTTTGAAGGTGACTCGGAAACTACAACTAATCCAGAATGCTGCAGAACTGGTGACTGTGGGCGGCCGCCGAGACCACATAACACCGGTCTTGAAAGACCTACATTGGCTCCCAGTACGTTTCCGAGCATAATTCAAAGTGCTGGCGTTGACCTTTAAAGCCCTAAACGGCCTCGGCCCAGTATACCTGAAGGAGCGTCTCCACCCCCATCGTTCTGCCCGGACGCTGAGGTCCAGCGCTGAGGGCCTTCTGGCGGTTCCCTCATTGCGAGAAGCAAAGCTACAGGGAACCAAGCAGATGGCCTTCTCGGTAGTGGCACCCGCCCTGTGGAACGCCCTCCCGTCAGATGTCAAAGCGATAAATAACTACCTGACATTCAGAAGACATCTTAAGGCAGCCCTGTTCAGGGAAGTTTTTAATCTGTGATATTTTAGTGTATTTTTGGTTTCTATGGAAGCCGCCCAGAGTGGCTGGGTGGGGTACAAATAATAAATTATTATTATTATTATTATAGGAGACTTAATTTTATCATGAGTTATTGTACTTTAGCACAAACTATAGGCTTAAAGAAAAGTAAATATCGCCAGTTTCTGTTGGCTTGCTGTATTATCAAAGGATTAAAAATAAATAAGAATTGTTGTCTTTTATTGTGCAATTCCCTTAGCGCCTGAAGAAAAGGAAGAAATTAAAGGGCAATATGAGAAGCTCATGGATGCGTATGGGTGCTTAGGAGAACTCCAGTTAAGAGCTGGTAAGTACCTTAATATCATTTTTAGAATAATAAGTTGAACAATGTGTCCTTCAATCCGACACAATGAAGTGAAACTATTCTTTGGTTAACCTTCAAGGACTAATTCTTTAAAATGAGTTGTGTGGTAATGGTTTTAACTTGAAAACAGCTTCTGTTTCTTTTTACCAGATTTGTTGTGCTCCTTGTTGGCCTTGGGTAGCCCTACACAAGGGCATCTTCCTTAGTAAATATGTTTAAGATTACAGCCTCAGTGGTTGGGTACTAAGTCTTAATTGACTTACCTATCAGTAAATGCTTAGGATCATGAATAGGTTTGCCTGCTCCTATCCTTCATCTCCTGTCCTGCCTTTGTGTTTTGTTTTTTTAATCTGTTGGGGAAATGATGCTCAATAGGTGAAAGATCTCAAATTGCATTGCTGCAGCCACAGAAAAATGATACCCTATGAGCCGCTCCCTGACAAGTAACTATAAAAGACAGATTTTTGGGCTGCTGCTTTTATTATGCATTGAGGCTCAGGCAGAAATGCAGCAAGTGATCCCCTTTTTTCTGGCGTGGAGATACAGTGTTAGGGAAAGCTGCACTTGTTCCCTTTTTGGCTTGCACATATCTGTTAAAAGCACAGAGCTCCTGCCCATAAAAATACAACAATTCTAAGGAAGTCAGCCTTTTCAGGCCAAGAATAAACAGCTCTACTGAATAGCACTTTTCCCTTTCTTTTTATTTTGAATGACTAGCTTTATTAACAGCAGTAGTTCATGGTTAACTAAGACTACAGCCCTGCAATTGACAATTTTCTCTGTTCTGGTGACCTTCTAATTTGGGTTTCCTGAACCTAGCATTTTCATCACAATGAGCATGGTTCCCTCCTTGGATTTCATGTTACAGCCATCTAATGTGGGCAAGGATAGACAGGTCTGCACTAGGAAATGGTGACTATTCCTTTAACAGCTTGGGGGCATTGAGAGAGCATATAGTCACTGCCCCTCCCAACCTTTTCTCCAACCTCTTTTCCTGCTGACTGAAGGCAATGGTGTAGCCCTGCGACAAGACAAATGGAGCCAGGGAGGTGAGTGGCATGGTAGTTGCTGCTTTGCATCTTGGTGCTTTGGTATTTTAAAGACGCTAGCATATCTCTGGAGAACCTGCTATGGCTAGAGTGAATGTGGTATCCAAAATTGCAAAATGCAAATGAAATAAATGGACTATAGCTTTGCCTCTTCGTTGGCTGGCATATGGTTTTATGCACATAAAAGCATCTGAAGTATTTAAACAATTTGTGAGGGAGGGTATGATGGAGTGTGGGCAGCTGAATGCAAGATCATATGAACAAGAAGTCAACTTTCCAACGTCCAGTAACAAGGAATGTCAGGGGATGTGGTTATGCAAAACCAAAAATAATAATAATCCAAGAATTCTGTTCATATTTAATTAAGGGTTGTGAGAGCATGAAAGAGGCTGTGCCACAGACCAGAGGCTCAGCCATGGCCAGTCACAGCCCTTGAAATTTCCATAGTTGCCCTAGTACTTTGACAACGCATTAGTTACTTCTGAAGTCAACCCATGATAGAAAAGGTTTTTGTGACTCCATAGGATTTGTGCAGATACTGTCCAAACCATCCCACCCACCAATTTGTGGATTTCCTGACATATACATGGTGCCAGTTTCATTTCCATAATATGAATTTAAAAGAGTCTGCCTAGACACTTCGCTTCTTGCCGCAAGAAGTGTTTGGCTGGCTGGAAGGGAGAGACAGTGTCTTCGTTTGGCCCTTGAGACAAGTAGGCTCCCTAAGGAGGGTAGTAAGTCAGTAAGAGCATGAAAGATTTTTCCAGAATGCCTGATGATAAAGAAAGTTTATAGCGATAGCAGCAATAGCCTGAACCAGCTACTGGGCAGAAAACTCCATAAATCTTCTGAAATATGAATTAGTCACCGTGGGGAGACAAGACTGGTTTAAATCCAAACATTTGGCTTAGTTGGCTTATAAAACAGACAAAAAAGGAAGCATGACTGTTCTGACTAGCTATTCAGACAGTAAGCAGAATAGCTAATCACACTGGTTTTTCAGTCTCACTTTTTGGCACTAAAGACCTCCTGGGGTTTTAGTAGGAAATTCTTCCTTTTTGTCATACTGCAGAACTTGTGTGTGAATACTTTGTCTTAGTTCTTTGTCTGGGTTAGGCTGTCAAAATTGATAGGCTGCAAACCCAACCAATTTCCCATGCAAGACACTTGCACTATAAGGCTGGTGGGTTTTGCCTAGCTGATTGTCTGGGTAATGTTTCTCAAAAGCCAGAACTCATATTGGGTCTGATCAGCTGGAACAACTCACTAGTTCCCATTATTTGCCTTTGGGATGGGCTAGAGCAGAATGAAGAGCCAAGTATGTTCTGGGCTGGGCCTCGGGGGGGGGGAGTGTTTTGTATTCATTGGTTCAATCTCCTTAATGAATTCTAGTCTGAATTTATATTGGCACATAGCACGACAGTGTACAGCATTAAATGTAAGATGGTCCAAATGTTTTGAAATGCATTAGATGATTTTTTAAAATTAGTTGGGAAGTTTTTTAGGTGGTTTTAAAATTGTTTTTAAATGTTGCATATATGTTTTTATTTCATTTTAAACTGTATTATTTTAACTTCTTGATGTTTGTTGCCCTGGGCTCATTTGGGAGGAAGGGTGGGATAGAAATTGCATAAATAATTGCATAAATAACAAGAAGGTGGTATCCGAAGAGCATTATTAGTGTGTAGATTTGTAAGATTCATGGTCAAATTGCATAGAAACACAGATTATGTGAGCAGCATTCACTTAACACACCCCATCAATGGAAACCCTCTGCAAAGATTTCCACTTGTGCAATGGCGCTTCTCCCTGTGTGCTCCCTGTGCCCCTCCCCCCCAAAAAATGACTGGGGGGCGGATCAGGAGAAGCCCAGCAGCAGCACACAGAGGGAGTGCTGGGGTTTTTTGTTTACTGCTATGTTGCTTATTGACTGATTGTATTATTTTATTGTATTTTGCCTGCATTGTACTCTCTTTTGGGATTATTTGATAAAGAATAACAAGTTTTATGATAAAATAAACTGTTGTAAGCCGCCTTGAACATTTTTTTTAACTTTGGAAAGGTGCCATTCAAACAGATTGACTGATAATAACATCATGAGATCTACCAGCAGATTTAAATCTATCTTCTGACCACCCCACATGTTAATGAGCAAGGTTGTCTGAATTAGTGCAAGGCAGCTTCCTATATTGCATGTGGCAAAACACTAGGCTCTCAGCATTCATACCAAGCACGGCCAGTCCAGACTTTTCATGCTGCAGACCATTATTCAGGGCCCATGAGGCTTACTGCTATTTGGTTTAGAGCCTGAAGAGGGTTCTGAGGCCAGCATATTCTCAATATATAGGAGAACATTCAGAGGGTCCTTGCGCCTAAGGTTTCCATGGTGATGAAGGGCTTTGGGAAGACAGGGTTAACTAATCCTTTGGGCTCCAATACTTTGGCCACCTCATGAGAAGAGAAGACTCCCTGGAAAAGACCCTGATGTTGGGAAAGATTGAGGGCACAAGGAGAAGGGGACGACAGAGGACGAGATGGTTGGACAGTGTTCTCGAAGCTACAAACATGAGTCTGACCAAACTGCGGGAGGCAGTGGAAGACAGGAGTGCCTGGCGTGCTCTAGTCCATGGGGTCACGAAGAGTCGGACACGACTAAACGACTAAACAACAACAACAATCCTTTGGGCTGTGTGTCATACCAGGGGTCTCAAGAATAATGCAGAACTTTGTGATGAGGGAGAAGGTTATTACCTTTATTTTTCATTATACCTCCCCATGAGGTAACCTCGTACCCTGAAAAATTGTTCAAGGAAGTTAGCTACAGTCAGGATGAAAATAATATATAAAAATAGTTCACTCATCCTGTTGAAGAGCATGCGCTTTGTTCTTCTCCCCCTCATGTACAGGTCTGCTTAAGTGGGGCCTATTCGGCACATATTCCTCTGTGACCTTCTTGAGTATCCCTATGTTGAAAACTCTCCAGGGCAACTAAAGTTGCTTTGGAGATTATGATCGTGATGATTCACAATCGGGAGCGTACTTTAAAGTTCCTGTTGTTCATTGGCAGCTGTGTGTTACATATTACATATTACAGCTGATGTTACATATGACTTCAAGGATGGGGTAGGTGGGTGTGGTTTGAGAAAAACAGCTAAATTTGAATCCCTCACAGGCCACATTTGGCCCACTGGCATGCAGCCCCTGGAAGGTTGCCCATGAGAGAATGTGGCCCTTGGGCTGATGAAGGTTTTCCATCCCTGTCCCGGGGGCTGCTCCTTCCTTATTGCTGTAATACATATGTTTTCTCTGCCTTTGTCGCAAGATAGTTTTAAAATGTTACTCTAACTTCAAATACTCTTAAGGAGAAATTTATATAATGAGCAGAAACAACAGTTCATTTTGGTTTGGGTTTTTTTAAAATATACAGGAAGCTTTTCTTGGTTATTGAAACAGTCAGCAATGCAAATTGGAAGGTGCTAAGCACAGCTGGAATCATGGCATAAATATTCAAAATGAGCTATCCAGTGGGGAATAAACTGTGGGTTTACTTGCTGGACTTAAATTTGCATTTCCAACCTTTCTTGTGGAAGCTCCTTTTTTTTTTGCTTTTGAAGCTATGGCTGAATGACAACAGACCTCTTATTTTCTATTTAGTGCCTCATCAAAAGAAGAATAGGCATTCTTCTTTTACTCCAAGATAACCAGCAGTTAGTGTTAGACTACAGCTTCCATAATTCCTGCCCATTGTCTGTGCTGGCTGGAGCTGATTAGAGTTGGGAGTCTATCAACATCTGGACTACCTGTGTTTTCTATATGTCTTAAATAATGCATCCCGTTACAAGACATTTTTCTGATTGACCCTTAGCATCCTTTATGAGCATTTCCCTTGAGAGGCCTTTCACATTTATTATCAAGCAAGTGGCAAAATATCTGAATGTTGTCATGCCTCTTAGACCAGCTATGTTGGTTAGTTTTTTGCTTGTTATTTTTTTAATAAAACATTTTATTTAGCTATGAAATTGTATTTTAGACATAGCATTGTGATTGACTGACCCACAGACTCACTGTTAGGAGTAGAACTGACTTGAACCAAAGCTTAAGTACCTAATAGAGGAGTTCACAGATTGACTTTTATGAGCTTGCCGCTTGAAACAGCAGTCGTAGATGTCTCCTGAGAGTGGATTCAGTCACAAATAAGTGCTCTTGCTTGTCATTCCAGGTGGCCAACTTGTTAAGAGCAATGTTTCTCCTGCCATATATTTTCAGATATTATGATGGATACTGTGGAGGGAATAAGTACCTTTTTCACAAAATACTCCTTTCCTGCCCCAGATGTTCCCCAGCTTGGGGGGGGGAGGAACAGCTGATGAGATCATGCCCTTAGACTAGATTTTCTCCTTGTACAGCAATGAGGATGGCTGAGTTGGCAGTTAATGCAATATTTCTGTTCATACTTGTATGTTCTATGTGAGAAATGTTTTCCTTTCACAAATTTACACATTTAATCATGCCAACATAGGTTTCTGCCATACCTACAATTAGTCCCAGACCAATGAATTTAATCTGGTATCAACTTGACATTGTCACCTTCTGAAACAAAAAAACAACAACCAAACAAAACATATTTATGAGATACAGTGATACCTCGGGTTAAGAACTTAATTCATTCTGTAGGTCCGTTCTTAACCTGAAACTGTTCTTAACCTGAGGTACAACTTTAGCTAATGGGGCCTCACGCTGCTGCCGCATGATTTCTGTTCTCATCCTGAAGCAAAGTTCTTAACCCGAGGTACTATTTATGGGTTAGCAGAGTCTGTAACCTGAAGCGTCTGTAACCCGAGGTACCACTGTATTGACAGGCTGCCTTTACAGAAAATGTCTAGAATGGAATAAGCATTTGTATTCCCATGTAATTCTAATGTGTCTGTCATTTTCTAGGCAACACCACCCTTCATTTTCTGGTCCTTGTGACAGGCTGTGCATCAGTGGGGAAAATACTTGATGCTGAAGTTTACAGAATCACGACAACAGAATTCTGTCCTCTCCAGGAAGAAACTAAGGAGGAAGATCGTGTTTCTGCCTTGAAGAAAATTCTTAATTCTGGGGTGTTTTATTTTTCTTGGCCAAATGCAGGGTCAAATTTTGATATCACTGTCCGAGCCCAAAAACAGGGTGATAACAACTATGGAACTGCAAACTCATTCTTCTGGTAAGTGCAATATGTTACATCCTATATTTGGTCAGTCCTTAGCTAATATGTCCTAGACTTCAAATCCATGTGGATTTCTGCTTCATGAAGGACTGGAATCTTTTTGGGATCTTCTAAAGCATAGCAATAAATGCATTGCTATTATAGCTAGAGAGTGTCCTTTTGTGGAAGGAAAAATGTCATACAGTGGTGCCCCGCAAGACGAATGCCTCGCAAGACGGAAAACCTGCTAGACGAAAGGGTTTTCTGTTTTGGAGGTGCTTCGCAAAACGAATTTCCTATGTGATTGCTTCGCAAGACGAAAATGTCTTGCGAGTTCCTGCAGGGGTTTTTTCCTTTTCCCCCCCCTTTTCCCCAAGCTGCTCAGCCGCTTATCAGCTGATCGTTAAGCCGCTTATCAGCTGATCGTTAAGCCGCTTAACAGCTGATCGCTAAGCCGCTTATCAGCTGATCCGCTAAGCCCGCTAAGCCGCTAATACTGTAGCGCTAATCCGCTAAACCGCTAATGGGCTTGCTTCGCAAGACGAAAAAACCGCAAGTCGAAGAGACTCGCGGAACGGATTCTTTTCGTCTTGCAAGGCACCACTGTATTTCTAAATATAATATATATGGGAATAATTCCCACTAAACGTAGCGAAACTTATATTGGATTGGATTGCCAATGTATAAAAGGCTTTAAGAGCTGGTTCACACATAGCTCAGGTGTGCTGGGTTGTTAAATTTATTATTGCATTTACATCCCACTTTTTTCTCCAGGGAACTCAAGGTGTTGTAGATGTTTCTCCCCCCTCATCATCTAATCCCCATTACAACCCTATGAGGAAAGTTAAACTAAGAGGCAATGACTGGCCCAAGGCCACCAAGTGAACTTCATGGCCAAGTGGGGATTTCAAACCTGTTCTCCCAGGTCCTAGTCCAACACGTTAATCACTGCACCACATTGGCTCTGTAAGTGGCAGGGCACAATAGTGAATTGCAGGCTCACATGCTTCCCCTCCCCTTGGTGAATGGAATCTTTCATGTGAATCAGAGTTTGTGAGCCTGAGATTTGCCCTTGGGCCCTGCTGTGTATGTGAACCAATCCTGGATGCCTAAATATTTGTGAAGCAACCATTTCTGAGTGTTTACACCTCACTTTAAGCAAATCCCGAGTACCTGCAACTTGTACAGTGTGCAAATTTAATTTTTTTTTGTTAAATAGAGAAGATCAATACATTTTATTTTCAACATTTTAAATAATATATGGCAACTTCTGCATAATGTATGCAGTGATAATGATACCAAGCAAAATGAAAGTTAGCATCTGCTTCTGTGCATGACGCTCCTCTTGCAGCCCATTGAAGGTAAATACAAAGCCCAATGAAAAATAATTGAATTGGGATGATGGGGCAGGCCTATGTCAATGTAAGCCTGCATGAATTATTTATCTAACTAAGTTTTAAATGCCCTGGCACCAAGCTATCTTGGCCAAAGTTTTGTTGTTGTTGTACATGTACTGTAGATGATACTGCAGTTCTGAACTTGTTAAAGGCTTTCGGGATACTTAGCTCTTATTTTTCTTGACGAGTTTTGCTTGACACATAGTCACAAAGCGAAGGTGGGCAACAGATCGAGTGAACATTCTCCTGGGTACTAGTCATGACAGCTGAATGCACCATCATAATTACTGCTGTATATGGCACTCTCCATGTGGCCTTCAGGGTTCCATTATGCCAATAAGAGCATCAGGACAGCTCTGCTGCATCAGACCAAAGAGCTATCACATCCAGCATCGCATTCTCACATTGGACAACCAAATGCCAATGGGAAGCCTGCAATGAAACCATGAACCCAAGAGCACTCTCCCATTTGTGATCCCCAGCAGCTGGGTTCAGAGGTGTACCGATGCTGGTGTTTCCATGACCCACTTCTGGGCTTCTCTGAGACCCAGCAGGACTGCTGTGGGAAGCAGGATCCTGGGCAAGATGGCTATTTGGTCTGACCCAGCGTTTCCCAATCTGGTGCTCTCTAAATGTTTCGGACTGCAACTCCCATCATCCCATGCTTTTGGACATGCTGGCTGGTGCTGAGTTGAGTCCAAAACACCTGGAGGGTACAAAGGTGGGGAAGTCCAGTCTGTTCCATCAGGGCTCATCTAATCAATTTTGGCATGTTGATTAATAGACCTAAATATATTCAAAACAGATTTTGTGTAATTTTTCTTGACTCAGTTCTCCTAAATGCATTTGACACAATTTGGCCAAAAGTCCCGCTGGTTTAAATGGGAGAGATTTAAGTTATATACTTAACTGAAATCAGTGGGACTTTTTAAAAGCATGCAACTTTTACCTGGATCGTGCCCACTATCTGCATCATGTGGTGGCATTTTGGGATGCAAATGGCTTGCAAGAGTGATATCAGTACAGAATATACTTTCACAGAGAACTGCTGACTTCATTCAAAGGAAATTGTATTTAATGAATTAGTCTGACTGAGTAGTAAGTAGCTTCTATCCAAATATATTCATATTGGCAGACAAACAGTATGGAATATTAAACATAGTCAGATGCAGAAGTGACTACATTGCCTTTACTGGTTATATTTCCTTTCAATAGTGCTGGGAAATCCAACAATAGCTGTAGACTTTTTGAGTGGTATCTAATGGTAGCTTTGTCTTAGCAAAATGTACTTCTGTTCCTGGCGAGGCAAGGCACCCAATTTTCACTGCCTTCCCTACTGCTGTGTCCCATTCTGTTCTGGAGGATTACATGATCCCAAGGAACAGCTTTTAGGGAAATTTAAGTGTGTTAGAGAGGTTGGCAAAAATTGGGTGCATCCATTAAGGCAAAACCACAACTGAATACAGCCCAAAGTTTTTTAATATTTATGATCCTGGAAGATTACATATATTAATATAGTAATTGTAAGCCCAGGGCATGGGGAGATTCTGCCTGATTACAACAGTAAAAACAGGATCTTTCAAGGCCAAAATATCTGATGGGCTGAATTCAGCTTGGTTGGTCACAAGTTATGCAACTTTACCACACATTGTGGTAAAGTTGCACTACATTTATTTTTTTCAGATTTGATTGCAAGCAAGGATTTCATAACTAAAAACTATTGAACCTGCACTGCAGTTTTTCAGGTCACAACCTGAACTGTGAAATCCTCCTATTAAAATGTCTGTGATTCTGTGAGTTGCTACCTTAACAGAATATTTCCCAAGGTTTATCTTCACTGTAATATTGGCGTTCTGGTAAGAAACAAGCAAGACTGGAATCCTTCCAGTGCCTTGTAGCTTGAACTCAAATAAATTATAAAACCTTACCAAGGGATAATACTTTAAAGTTAGCTTTGTTAATAATATATAGTGCACCTAGTGAGTGATTATTATTGAATCTTGCAGGAACCAGCTACTGCATGTCCCCTTTAAACACTACCAGGTGAATTGCTCTGATTGGCTGTTAAAAGTGATCTGTGGTGTGGTGGACATTCGCACTCTGTACGCTTCTCACAAGAAGGCAAAGGCCTGTCTCATCTCCCGGATCAGCTGCGAGAGAGCTGGTGCCCGGTTTCACATACGAGGAGTCAATGATGATGGCCACGTTTCTAACTTTGCTGAGACGGAGCAGGTAAGGGCTGGATCCCATGTCTCTAAATAATTGATTGCATTTACACAAAGTGGGGTGGCAGTTGAGGGATCAGGATGACATCTTTCACAGTGACAAGTGACATGAGAGAAGCTACCAAGTAGTGTCTAACCGCCCACGGTATATTCATTAACTCTGCTTTTTTCCTTTTTGTTCATTACACATGTCTACAGAAGAATACACCCACTCCATTCCCTCCTCTTCAATTTGTTTGGCTTGGAGTTTGCATTCCCCCCCCCCATTTGATTTACAGTTGAGAGCTTGTGTATTCTGCGGTTGCGGGGTGGGAGTGTGATTTTTCAGTACATTAAAAAAAATCCCTGAGTGGGGAAGAATAGAAGCAAAATAAATTCTTCTTGTTCATTATCACACACTTTCCCCATAAGGATTTTGGACTGGACTAGGTTCTAATCAGAGATTCTTTCCTGAAGCTTTAATAGTCCATACCAAACATCTCATGCACAGGTAAAGGGAAATGTGAGTTTATTTGTGTTCACAAGGACACTAACACCAACCCACTCGAAAATGTAAAGTGTATTTTATGACATATTTTAACCATTTTCCTGTGGTATCGTAAAAGGCAATTTATTTTTTAATTATGGTGCAGGGTTTGATTTTGAAATGATCATATATTGCTTTTGTGTCAATCTCTTCTCCGTTATCCTTTCTTCTGCTTTAAAACAAAAATAAATCATGAATTCCTGTCATCAAGAGTGTAATGTTTGTCACCATGATACCATAACTACCAGGCAGGTGGTTCAATTAACCCTTTTTCCTGTGACTGGATCCCTGCATTCTTCAGTGACAGCACAGTGCAAGAGGGCAAAAGTATAAGCCTATCTTTAGTCACACCCCTAAGCATTGGGGGTTAGCATTCTGGCTAAGAAGTATTGATGGCCCTGCCTTCTATACATATATCTAATTATTTGGCAGCATTATTTCCTCTTACAGCTAAAGAAGGAATTATCATCACCACCACCATCATTATTATCTGTCTCATTAAGCTAATGATTTGAAATACTTTGCTGTTGGGGCCTTGTTTTCACAGTGTAACTGAGAGGCCTATTTTGCACATAAACCATAAACATAAACCATGTTTTAACAGTATATGCATGAGCAGTAGCAAACCTCTTCTCTTCTTCCCTCCTCTGGCGTGGCCATGAGGAGAGGATTAGAAACAGACACTTCCTGTTTAGACTAACTAGAGATTTTCATTGCATCCAAACTGGGGTAGTGTGTCAGGGAGGACAGATCTCTAGTTAGCTTATGCTTAAGCTCTGTCCAAATGTTCCTTTTGGTATCTAGCTATTGAGATACCATCTGCATAAGAAATGATGCTGTGGTATGCAATGTGCTAGAAGATAGATAGTTGTTTCGGGGGGGGGTAAGTAAGAAAGAGAAAATGCACTGTTGGGGAACTCTGGCAAGGGGTAGTGTTTGCTGATCCGGGATTGAAATGCTACTCACTAAAAATGAAGCTGTCGAGTGATGTTCATGCACCTACTGTCTTAAAGAGAAAAACTGGGAAGGATACTAGACATTTCCTTAGCATTGTTATGGAAACTGAAGAATTATAATAGAATCATAGAATTGTAGAGTTGGAGGGGACCATGAGGGTCATCTAGGCCAAGCCCCTGCAATGCAGGAATCTTTTGCCCAACGTGAGGCTTGAACCCACAACCTTGAGATCCAAAGGGCACCTATGTTTGTTGGACTTGTGGCCTATGAAAAGCCTTTCAACAAACAATGCAAGAAAGCAAAACAGAAAGGACTAGCAGCACCATACCATTTTATTTCTAATGACTAAGAAATACATTCTTTTGTGAGGAATGGCTTTCTTGTTATGATGGATGAGGAGCTAACATGTCGTTTTGTATGTCTCTCTACTCAAAAGGACAGGTGATAACTTTAATCACAACGTGCTGATTTTATAGACCTTACTGGCATCATAAGCAACTTTTTTATTCAAATGCTTGCATATAAAAGGCAAACTGTACCTATATTCATACAACATACTTAATCATTTTGCAAAAGGGAAAAAGAGTGCATGGAATCTTGTTCTACTAGTACCTGACTTATGGGCTGCAGGCTGCATGTACATTGCAGTAGCTTTTATAATTTTCCAGACAGTTTTAGTTATTTATTATTCCCTACATTTGTATCCCACCTTTTCTCCCAGGAGCTCAAGGTGACATACATGGTTCTTTCCCCTCCCCATTTTATCCTTGCAACAACCCTGTGAGGTAGGCTGGGCTGAGACATTGCGGCTCCCCCAAGGTCACCCAGTGAGCTTCATGCCCGAGTGCAGATTCAGTCCCTGGTCTCTCTGGTCCCTGGTCCAACACTCTAACCTCTACACCTGCCTGGCTCTCAGCCTTGATAATGTTATGGGGATCTCGGCATTATTATTTTCTCTCTTTTTTAGTTATGTAGCGAACATGATTTCTTCTGTGCATGCTAATGTTCAAATAAGACAAGTCAAATAAAAACACTGTTTATATGATGCTGAGATAATTTGAGGCCTGGAGCAGAGTAGGAGGAAGGGAGCTGACGATGATTTTCAGCATTAAGGCTCCTGTTGCCTGGGATACAGTGACTGAAATATAGTTTGCATACTGTCGGGTATCACTATTGTCACATTGCAAGAACACCTGCACTTCTCTTCAGGGGTTAAAAATTGTATAGAAGCGTTGGATTTCTGCAAGGGATTTCTCATGTTCATTGTCCAACTCGCCATTGTATCAGCCTTGAAGGGTAAGCATCCTCATGAAGGATAAGGCTGTTGGCAGCTATCAGTTGCATTTTTCTCCCTCTCTCATAATAGTTGAAGCCAAGGCCATGCAAAGAAGCTCAATGTTGGACAATTGAGGACAGACCAAAAGGATTAGCAGTTGTTTGCTGAAGCTTGAGAATGATTGCCGAGCAGGGATGGAGAATCATTTCCAGTTTGCGGTGGGTGGGGGGCTGGATGCTGCAGTGACCTGTCCCCTGTGGACCATTCACCTGTCATTTACCTGATGTCACCATGACATCACCTGAAGCATTTTCCTTTGCCCACATGGTTTGAAATCAAATCATGTGGGGAAAGGCATAATGTTTTGCAAGCTCTGCCCATCAGCTGATGGGCAGAGCCTACGAAACTCTGTACATTTGCAAACACTGACACTTCACAGACACACTTGCAAGGGCACAAGGCTTTGTAATCAGCACAGAGCTGCATCTTAACCTGCTCCGCACCTGATGCCATATATATGTAGGGCAGGTGGGCACGGCTTGACCAAAATGGCCTTGCAGGCCAAATGCAGAGGCCTGCCAGCCTTAATAAGGTTTGCAGGCCAGAGGTTCCCCACCACTGCTGGAAAGCATTGCTTCCTTTATAGATTCAATTTATCCTTATATTTATGTTAGGAGATATTTGAAACTGGAAAAAGGGCATGGAGAAAAAGGAGTGATTATGCCTTTGCTGCTCAGTGCACTTGAGTGAATAATGGAGCTCTGTATTTTTGTTCCATGGAACTTCATTCAGTCACTTTAATATGGAATATAAATTTTACTTTAGAAATAGTAATGAGTACCATTTTTAACCTGGATCACCGGTACAGGAATGACACGACTTAAATTTTGGAAGGAGTGAAGATATTGAATCTCTTGTAACTGGGGACTTAATCATGTGGTCATTCTGGAACTAGGCTATCAAAACATGATAATTGGCTCCATCTTGTCTGGGGGGGGTATTCATATAAACAGCTTAAAATGCAGTGAGGTCATCCCCCCCCCCTTGCATTTCTAGCCACATATTTACATTGTTTTTGCATTAACTTTTTTGTTTCCCATCCTTTGAATCTCCCCAGAACCTCTATTAGTGAAGCTCTCATCTGCACATGGGGCAGTGACTATTAGGGTATGCTCACATTACTGCTTGCCCCACTTCCTTGGCAGAGAGTGATAGTTGATAGGTATGAGATGGTTATTTATGCAGACCCAGAAGAAAAATAAATCTGCACTTGCTATCCTCTTGTAAACATAGATCTGGGAAAGGTATGGGTCACCTAAAGAGTCAGCAGAAACGCTTTTTCTAATGCTGACATTGGAAAGTGGCATGTATCCATGTGGTAGCAATAGTTGGCATTCTGGCTTAAAACACACCCAAAGCATTGGGTGAAGTCACCACCTCCCCCCCCCCCCAGCCTCTTTCTCATTCACTTATATATGCATCACTCGCAGCCGCTGCACTCTTTCCAAACAGGGCTGTACCTCAGAATGGCTGAAATCCAGTCCAGTTTGGAATGCACAAGCCTAGGAGGAAAATCTCTCCTGCTTTCTTAGCAGACTACTGGATAATCAGTGATGAAGTAATAACTTGGCTGCTTCTAATTCAGTGGAGAAAAAATTGTTTCCACTTGCTTCATAATGACATGCTGGCTCTTCCCTTTCATGAATAAATGGCACCCCAGGAACCTGGATGCCGAGGGAAGGCTCTCTGACCCCTTTACATTGCATTAGTTCTGACATTTTCCCCTGGTTTCAGGAGAGAAAGAAACAATTAGCTTTATCTCCAGGCAGCTCTTTTATACATAAATGGTATTCCTTTGTCTCCCACTGAGTTAGCCTTCTGGCATTTCAGCTTGGCTATGAGTCATCTCTTCTTCTTTTTTTTCTTTTTTTGGTGGCTGGAAATGACTCACTGCAACAGGCGAAGAAAAGAAAACAAACCAATTTCAAGTCTTTTTGCTTTCTAAGCCAACACTTAACGTTTTAACTTATTTGGCCATTTTAGTTTACAAGCCTGATAAAACTAGCAGGAACACACAAAACTGCAAGACTGAGAACTGAAAGAAGTTGGGGTGGGGAGGCATTTGACAACCAGGGTGCAGGTCATATGAAATTGGGGCTGCCAGCGGGGGGCGGGGGGAGCGAAGAGCAGTGGCAGAGGAAGGGGGTCCGGTCCACCCCGGGTGTCATCAATGAGGGGGGGTTGACAAAATTGAGTTTTTAAAAAAATGGGTTCACGAAATTTTTTAGGAGTGACGTGGTGGCTTAGGCACCTGCAGGTTCCGCGCTGCCTAAAACAGCAGCGTGGGACTTGCGTCTGCCTACTGCCTCTCCCTCAGCTGCCCTACAGCTGAGGGGGAGGCGGCGGAGAGGTTCCAAGTGTCAGAGAGGCTTGCCCCACCCCCATGGGCAGATCGCCCCATCCCCGGCTCCAGGACCCGCACCCGCACCAGGGTTAGCTTTGCCACTGGGGAAGAGTGCCATTTTCCCACTCAGGGTGCTGCAGTAGGGCACTTGGTTTGCATGTAGAAAGACTCGGGTTCCATCTCTGGCATCTCTAGGTAGGATTTGCTGGGAAAGACTCTTGTCTCAAAACCCTGGAGAGCGTCTGCTAGATAGTGTTGACAATACTGAGCAAATAGACCTAGCAGCCATCTAAGGCAAGCAGCTTCCAGATCCATTGGTAGACTCTTTCACATTCTTTTACATATCTCCAGAAAGAGCCTAAAGTTTTCCTTCTGTGGCATATGAACACAGGGGAAGAATGGGATTTCCTTTACGGGATTTCTTACAGAAAAATAGAAGTTAATTCAGATTCCCCTCCCTTTCTTCCCCCCTGCCTCCACTTAAGGCATTTAGTTTGTTCAGTGTGATTCATGTGCCCAAAGAAGTGTTTGATTTAGCAATTCCTACCTTTCCCATCACTTTAAAAAATGGCATTTAAAGTGTGCAAAAGACGGGTGTTCACTTGTGCATGATGTGCACATGTTACATATCTGCTGTGGGGAAATGCTGCTTTAGCAGCAGCCGGGATTACAGCAGCCGTTGTAATATTTGGAGCTGCTTGAGTGGTCAGAACAGAGCACAAACCTGTGTGTGGTCCTGGACATTTTCTCATAGTATCCTTATTAAAAGGAAGGAAATAGAAAATTCCCTTGATGAGATGGGACTTGCCCATCATGAGCACTCTGGCACCCACCATATTCATGAACTCCATTAATTAAGTGCAGTTATACTGTTCAAACCAGTGATGGTCCTTGTGTTCACATTTCCCCTATGGGCATTGGTGCTGATCCAGCTGTCTGCCTTCATCCTGAGCAATGCAGCGTGCTTATAAAAGAAGGCTCTTGGGTGACTTGTCTGATACCCTTTCTTTGCTGAAAGCTCATTGTGATGAACAATGACACCACTATTATATATCGCAGGTGGAAACGGGCCAGGATTTAATTGCTAAATATAGGCCAACGCTGTTAAGTTTGCCATTGTGCTGTTCTTTCCAGGGCCGTGCCTTGCTATCCGAAGCTTCATCTCGGCTTTTAGCTGGCCTAAAATTGGATATGGGTACTGGGGGAGGCAAAGACACAGGCACTCACAGCCATCCATCCATACAACCAGTGTGGTGAAGGCCACCAAGTGACCTTGGGTCTGTTAGAATCTTTCAGCCGTAACCTACCTTACAGGGTTGTTAGGATAAAATGGAGAAGTGTATACACTACCTGAACTCCCTGGATGAAAGGCGGGTATAAATGTAGTAAATAAATAAGTATTGGTGATACTGTTCATTCTGAGATAAAAAAAATTTTTTACAGATCATCACAAAAATAAAAGTGGTTAGGGAGGGGAAGAAAAATAGTGAATTCATCATGGGAAAGGAGATGAATACCAAGTTAGTCAGCCCAACTATTTTGTTTCCCTGATGGTCCTCAGACTTTTTGTTACTTAACATGTTGCCAAGGCACAATGTGTAATTAACAAAAATTAGGAAGTGTTGTAAGTGAAGCTAATACAACCACTTACCGCTACCCAAGAGTGGTCCTAATATGTGTGACATTTCCGGGGATGGGGGGGGGCAGGAGAGAAAAGAGATTCTGCCTGCGTGCATGTATGTATCAGGGGTAGCTAATATTTTTAAAAATAATAATCTATATTAAATTTTAGAATAACTAGACTTTTAACCTTAGGACTCATGTACCTTTAGTGTTTGCATATAAGAGGGCATTGCAGCCAGTGAAATTCCTGTATTGCAGTCTGCAGGGATTTGAAAATCTTCCTCAGCCAAAGCTTTCTCATTCATCCAACTATTAAACATACATAAACCCTAATGTTGAAAGACTGGCCATCCCAGATTCATACTTGTCATATCAACAGCAAGTTAGCTGTTCAAATCTGTCCAGTTGTCTAAATGGCACATATTATTTTCTTTGGTCCAAATAGATGTCTTATTTCCCATGTATTTTTGCCATTTTTTAAAAAACAAACAAACCTGAAGATACCTCACATTCAAGCTGAAGTGATATCTAGCTTTGCATTTCAATCAATATAGTCATACACATAGTTGAGAAATGGCCAAAAAAATTGCATTGATCTGAATATGCTTTATCTCTTTTGTTTCTGTAGACTATCTATTTGGACAATGATGTTTCTTCCTTTGTTCAAATCAGAGGCTCAGTTCCACTATTTTGGGAGCAACCTGGGCTACAGGTAAATAGCAAAAATCACTAAGGCTGCAATCCCAAGGCGAGAGGAGGGATTGAAGGCTGTTTAACCACCATATCAAATGCCCTGCCAAGCGTCAAGGCAGAAGCAAGAACAGAGGAATGTTATCCATCCTTTTTTTGCACTTTGATTAGTTATTATTTAAGAGCTTCCTTCCCACTGGGAATAATGGGAAGAAAATAAAGAGTTAGAGGGGCTGCTGAACATGTCTGTCTTTCTCCCTGGTTCTGGATGTGATGTCTTTGAATCTAAGCTGCTTCCTGGTCCTCCCTTGGCATACCACCTTTTGGCCCTACTGATGGTTGGAGTTCTGGCATCAACTGGGCCAGGACATCCCAGGGTCCAGTTGCAGGGAGGAAGTACCCATCTCCCTCTCCAGTATTGGTGCTCTGTCTCTGACCTTGTAGAGAGAGGCGTGATCTATCTTACAGCCCCTGAGATGTCAAAGAGGCCTGATGCTGTGGTTAAGGTAACTTTGAAAGTTGCTATGCCAACATTGGAGACATTAATATTCAAGGTGCTGAGATTTGAGGTTGTGTTTTTTAAAATGATGCAGTGATGCAGTGCTTCTTATAAAGGCCACCGTCTAGCACTATTGGCTATGAGAAAGGGAGGCACCAAAAGCAGAGTTTTGTCAGCCACAACCTGAAATGGATGCGTACAGATTGCATCAAAACTGTTTTTAGAGAATAACTCCTTTATTTGAATCATGAATGGCTCCATCTCTATATGACTCTGGAAGATCATATGGTCTGGTTTATACAAAAAAGCTGTTAACTTGAAACTTAATATGTATATTTAAAAAAATATTGATTATTCAAAACTGGACCTGTTTGTTTTTGTAAGCTCAAATATTTTTTATAAGCTGATTCTTTCTTCTTGTTTATTTTTTAACTGCAGTGGTTCAGGCATGGTCTGTGCTTTAAGACAGCAGTTATATCTGTGTATGTGCAGAATAGATGCTTACATGAGCTCTGGAATGTGAGTTAGGGACAGATTCAAGAATGCAATGAATACAGTGGTGTTTCCCTCAGCAGCTATGCCTGTTATATTCATCAGTGGCCCAAAGGAAACTCACCTTGACAACTGGAGGGTCAGTTAGATAGAGGATTCTGGGCAAGGTGAACCCATGGCCATTCACTGGGTGTTAATATGATTTTGCATTCATTTGTCAGTGTTGTTTGCTAATAAAATGTGTAATTTGTGCTTTGAGTGCCATATGGGGGTGGCAGTGTGGTTGCTAAGAGATAATAAAGGAACATTTTCTTTGAATGAAAAAGGGAGACATCTAGTGACTCATATTTAAAATTATTGCTTTTCATTGTTATCCACTTAGGTTGGCTCCCATCATCTAAAACTCACCAGAGGCCTGGAAGCTAATGCTCCTGCTTTTGACAAGTAGGTTTAATTGCGACGCTGCTGATAACTCAGTAAAATCAGATGTTACTGTTTGCATTCCAGGGTTTCCCAGAACATCTTCATGGTGTCACATCTTTCTTCTTTCAAATCCCACTTCAAAACTCACCTTTTTATGAGAAGCTTTTTGGTTGAATCCCTACAAGTACAGACATAACACTTAACCATAGAATGATAGAATTGTAGAGTTGGAAGGGATCCTGTGGATCGGGTAGTCCAACCCCCTGCAATGCAGGAATATGCAGCTGTCCCATATCGGGATCGAACATGCAACCATGGCGTCGTCAGACCAGGCTCTAACCAGCTGAGCTAACCATATATAAGGGATCAAATACTGGCTGTGGGGTCAGCATGTTGCTCTCCACTTCCCTCTTGTTCAGAAACTGCTGCTGGTCATTATGCCAGCATCTGACTGTGAAGCAGGGACAAATGTCAGGGGTTTCACTAAGGAGAAAAAGAAGCTGTCTGCATTGTGGCTGCTACATCTGAAGACAGTAACGCTACTAGGCTTATTGAAATTATTGTCTTAATCAGAGTTTAGGTCTGGCGTTAGGAGACCTTTTTTTAGTCTAACCCTCATCTCCCAAAGGTACACATACTAGTGACAGGTGGGGCCAAATGAGAAGTAGGTTTTGGGTTTGGCTGGAACTGGTGCACATGCAACTCTCACTGTGAACACATACAGCACACACAGCATAGAATCATAGAATCATAGAATAGAATCATAGAATCATAGAGTTGGAAGAGACCACAAGGGCCATCGAGTCCAACCCCCTGCCAAGCAGGAAACACCATCAGAGCACTCCTGACATATGGTTGTCAAGCCTCTGCTTAAAGACCTCCAAAGAAGGAGACTCCACCACACTCCTTGGCAGCAAATTCCACTGTCAAACAGCTCTTACTGTCAGGAAGTTCTTCCTAATGTTTAGGTGGAATCTTCTTTCTTGTAGTTTGGATCCATTGCTCCGTGTCTGCTTCTCTGGAGCAGCAGAAAACAACCTTTCTCCCTCCTCTATGTGACATCCTTTTCTATATTTGAACATGGCTATCATATCACCCCTTAACCTCCTCTTCTCCAGGCTAAACATGCCCAGCTCCCTTAGCCGTTCCTCATAAGGCATCGTTTCCAGGCCTTTGACCATTTTGGTTGCCCTCCTCTGGACACGTTCCAGTTTGTCAGTGTCCTGTGCCCAGAACTGGACACAGTACTCCAGGTGAGGTCTGACCAGAGCAGAATACAGTGGCACTATTACTTCCCTTGATCTAGATGCTATACTCCTATTGATGCAGCCCAGAATTGCATTGGCTTTTTTAGCTGCCGCGTCACACTGTTGGCTCATGTCAAGTTTGTGGTCAACCAAGAATCAACCAAGCATGCATATACACATCACATGCCAAACACTTGTATAGTATGCACACATATGCTTGCAAACCCACCCATCCCGCTCCCCAGTTGGAACAAAAAATGAATTTTAGGTTTTTGTTTGTAACACTTCAAACAGCGCTGGATGCTTCAGTTGAGGGAAGAATCATGTTTTCAGGAATAGGGAGGGGAATTCAGTTTGTGTGCTAGAAAGGGTGGGATATTTTGTAGCACTAGTAATACCTTGAAGGAAGATATCTTGATCTGCCACCAAAAAAAAAGAGTTAACTGTGCATTTGCTACCTTTATTGCACAGTTGGTTTTGAAGACTAGTAGATTTCCCCCACCCCACCTGTATAATAAGCTGTTCTTGCATTTGCACAACCTCTTAGGAACTTCTAAAGCCAAGTAAATGGCAGAAGGCTGTGTGCAAAGAGTGGTGAACGGCTATTCAAATAGATGAAGATCCCACAGGTAGAGCAACTCAGGTGATATAGGAGGGAATCAGTCCATTGTAATGCTTCTCAGAGAAAGTTGTGTGTGTTTTTAAGGCCGTCCCTGCTCCTCATCACGTGTTTTAAGAAGAGTTCTAGGACTCGGCTATACAGCTGCAAATAAAATATTTTGAATGTGTTGTAAAGTGCAATATACAACTGTGACGCCAGATGGAAACTGTGAGCTATAGCAAATTCAATGCATTTTTCAAAACGATTTTTTTAAAAAAACATTTCCACAATCTACTAGGGTAGATTTCACCCGAGATCATGTCGAATATTTATGAAACCAAAGCAATCTGTTTCTACTTTTGCAGGCATATAATGCTCATGAAAGAACAATATGGTAAACAAGTGATTGTTAACCTGTTAGGAAGCAAAGGAGGAGAGGACATCCTCAACAGGGCTTTCAAGGTAAAAACAAAGAGCAAAGACATGTTTGTTTAGTATAACTGGGATTCTTGGGAGACTTCATAAAGTTTGTATGTATGAATGTTTGCTAGAAAGACATTCCTGTCCGGCCTTTGCAATTACCATCACAATGTCAATTGTAAATGTCATTGTAAGCACATCAGTTAAACGGATAAACCAAACCATTCTTGGTTAATTAAGCCTATACAGACATGTAAATTTGACATGTATTTTAATATGCTATTTTATTTTACAATTTATGCTTTTAAAATTTCTGATTTTATTTTGGAAAACATTGACTTAGCTTGATTTTTAACACCTGGGTTTTATAGATAATTCAACTTGCATGCTATATTTTATATAACTGCTGATGATAAACCCCGTTATATAAAATATTTTAAAAATCAGTTCTTTTGAAAATCATCAACATTTCCAAAGGAAGGATATTTCCACTTAAATCAGAGATTGCCAGGTCATATTATTGGTATTTAAAATATTTTAAAAATTAAATAGCAGTATGCCTTTGAAATTCCAACCATATTTGTCACTGAGAAAAGAAAGAGGAACACATACCCTTAACTACTGCAATTGTCTCTTATCTTCCCACCCAAGGAACCTTTTTGACCTGGCAACCCAGATCTTTTATCTCCTTCCCCCCTGCAGGCAAACTTTGACCCATAGGTAGTTTTGCCCACCTGTTAAGAGTTGGCAGGTACAGGGAGATAATGAACAGATTTCAACTCCCCACACAACAGCTGTTGCACGGGGAGTTCAATCCTGCTTTCTGCAGGCTTCTGGTATGCAGAGGCATTCCCTGCAGGAGACTCTCTCACAGACTCACATACAGCAGGAGGTGTTCAATGTGATCATTGTCCATGCTGGCTTCCCACAGTGAACTAGGGCACACAGCCATATGCCACCTCCACTGTTACCCACCACGTGACATTACCTGCCCATCACTGTGATGTCACCTAATTGACAGGTGGGCACAGTTTAGAATAAATGATTTATTGGACTCAAATTGGAACCCCAGGTGGATCTGAAGTCCCCCTCCTTTTATTAAAAATATATATATTTAACAATTGATATTGTTTTGATATACCACTTGATTGTAATGAAACCTCTAAGTGGTTTGCAAAAATACGTGATGCTGTGCTGTGTCTGAGCTGTATCTCCCTCCTTCTCCAAGGGGGAGACACTGTTCCTCACAAGCAAGTTGATCAAAGATCAATGCCTGTTGATCAAAGCCTGTTGACCAAGACTGGGCACTCTGCTCCAGCCACTACAACTGATGCTGGCCAAACCCTCATTCATTCATTCCATAAAATTTATACAGGCACTACAGTCTCTACTTTCTTCCCCATGGGGAGAGGAAGTTGAGGCATGAGCATGGACTGAGCCCTCAGGTGGTTCCACTTCTTCTCCCTCACAAACTCCCACTGTGCATTGAAGTTCATTGTCAGTATTATTCCCCTGTTAGGTCCTTTCCTCCCTCTCAGTATCACCTGTAATTCCTGTTAGAGATGATAATTTGTCATTTCTCTGTAATGTTAATGAGTAGCCCAGCTGCACAATTGGGCACAATACTTTGAACAATGATTCATGCTGAGATAGTAATGGTTTAGTCTGATATCATTCCCAAGTATGCTCCCTAATGCAGCTGTCTGTAAATAGTCACTGAAGTGTGGGCAGTTACCAAAGAAACAGATCCAACGGCAGTAACAGACTGTGGAAGCATGACTCTCCTCTAGTTATAAGCAGTTCTTAACATCGTCAGTGCCTGAAGCACCTCTTCTTCTGAATTTATTTTGGAACTTGGCCATTTGAACTTTGAAATGAGCTTGATAATAGTTCTAAGTGAGCAAACGCAGGAAGCAAGAATGCAGCCATGTTTCATATCTCAATCTGAAACATTTGCACCAATACCTCTCCCTGTATGCAATGCAGCTTAAAAGGCAGGGTAGAAACACTAAATAAATGTACAGTATAAGCACTTTGCCTCATGTGGCTTTCTGACAGTGCACCTGGAGTGTTTTCTGCTGGTATTTTTTTTGGGGGGGGCAGCAGCATATCTTGCATTCTTGCTAAGGTAGCAGAGCTTCCTTTGAATTCTATGGCCTCTTACTTCAGATATCTTCAGCACAGGATTACACCCTGAGTATGTGCTATTATTCATACTTTCAAGCTGGTATAGTGAACTGGATCACAACTTAATTTTTATTTTTTGCATTATTTCATGCCCCTTTGCGGGGAGGTGTAATTTTTATTCTCTGTCATTTCTCCCAATCCACAGGAGAGACTTAGGAATGGGCATTTAGGTTGTGAGTACAAAATACATATTGGCATGCAGCTGTATTCTGACAACACACAACTACATACTAATACTTTATGAGACATCATGTGGCAGACACATGATGTGTGGGACACAGGCCCACACAGTCTAACTGAGGCCTTAGTTTGGGTTATAAATTGAGCAGTACTGATTAGTGCAACAACAAAAAACACCTAAGGGAATTGAATTTTAAAATATGCAGTGAATATTGTTGAATTTACAACTAAGCATCATGATTAGGTATAAATGGTTCAACAGCAGTTCAGTGCATATTATCATATATATTTTTCTGCAAAAAGGTTTTCCTCTCTGTCTCTTTCCTTTGCAATTAGAAGTTGCTCTGGGCATCATCCCATGCAGGAGACACACCCATGATTAATTTTGATTACCACCAGTTTGCAAAAGGTGGGAAAATGGAGAAGCTTGAGAATTTGCTGGGGCCTCAGCTGAAGTTGCATTGGGAAGAATTAGGCATCTTCACCAAGGGCGAGCATGCAGGTTTCCGGTGAGTGTCTTAACCCTTTGATACCAATTGCTTGTGCTTTCCTTTTCGAGCTTCCAGATGTGCATTGACTCTGCATATGAAGGTTGCATCCTCATTGGATCGGGGCAAAGGAAGCTAACAGTAAACAACCCAACTCTCTACATATTTATGTGTCTGCTTCTTCCCTTCTTCCCTTTTCAGTAGGTTTTTAGAAAGTAGTTGTTTTTTGGGATTTGTGGGAACGCTAAATCATTTCATTCTTTGACTTGATTTTTGAAGTCAACAGATAGGTACCTTGCGAACCAACTGCCTGGATTGTCTGGCTCGAACTAACACCGTTCAGTCCTTCATAGCACTTGAGGTGAGTGATCCACCAGACATTTTACAGGAATGCTTTCCCCCTCTTTTTCATGCCTGCATTAAGTCAATCTTGTGAAAAGGTGAAAGATTGTGTCTTTCTCATACATACCTGGTTGGCCAAAGTGAGGACAGGATGCTTGACTCTGGTCAGATCCAGCAGGGCTCTTTCTTATGCTTTGGGATTAATATCCTGAGCAAAATCCTTAATGTAACAACCAGCAGCAAGTTTTTGGGTATGATGAGGGCAGTGATCTTATCTGTTTCTCTCAGGCTTATTCCTCTTTTTTCTCATCCAGGTTCTGTTCACTCAGCTAGAGAGCCTGGGATTAAACTCCAAGCCTATAGTTGAACGTTTCCTGGAGTCTTATAAAGCAATGTGGGCCCTCAATGGACACAACCTAAGTAGGATTTTTACAGGCAGCCGTGCCTTGGATGGAAAAGCTAAGGTAGAGGAGAGAAGTGATAATCGTCATATTCTTGGAAGCTGTCGCTGTGAGTTAAATGAATGCTATTAATCCTTTTGTTACACAGGTTGGGAAGTTCAAGGACGGGGCGCGCTCAGTGTCACGGACAATCCAGTCAAACTTTTTTGATGGTGTGAAACAGGAAGCCATTGACTTGCTGCTTATGGGTGATTTCTACAGTGAAGAGCAAGCGGAAAAAGAGAGGATGCTCATGGACCACACGGCATTGCTGAGTAAGTAAGAATTAGCTCTGACTATTTTTGGGATTGGTGTGTAAAGGAATTAGCAGCTGCAGCTCAGACAAAAGTCAATGAAAATAGTACCTGTAAAAGATAGGTAGACAGGCAGACAGTTCCAACTCTGCCCCATGACAGAAAGACAGATAAGACAGATCCAACTCTACCCAACCCCACTAAAATAAAAATTCAAAGGCCTAGATGAACAAGAATGTTTCGCCTGGTGCCTAAAAACAGCTAGGGATGGTGCCAGGGGAGGGCATTCCACCAATTAGGGGCCGCCACTTAAAAGACCCATACTCATGCCTTCAACCGCTTTTTTAATTTAAATTATTTATAGTTATCATTTATATACATTTCAGTAGTTTAACAATAATTCTAACATTTCAAACCTCAACTTCCTTCCTCCTCTTTCTGCAGTTTCCTTAAATTTATTTTATCATTTCCTGCATATTCTAAATTAACTTAACTTATTCTTTAATTCATCATTTTGATTATATATTCTTTTGAAACTGCAGATTATTACAATAATCCTGTTAATGTCTTTATCTGTTTATAATTTGTAGATATTCAATAAACCATTTCCATTCTTCTATTAAAAAAAGTTTGTTATCTTGGTTTCTTATTCTTCCAGTAAGTTTTGCCATTTCTGCATAATCCGTAAGTTTTGTATCCATTCATCTCTCGTCAGGACTTCTTCTTTCCATTTTTGGGCAAGTAACATTCTTGCAGCTGTAGTTGCGTACATAAATAAATTTCTATACTGTTTGGGTAGTTCTACACCTATAATTCCCAAAAGAAAAGCTTCTGATTTTTAAAATAAATGCTATTTTAAACATCATTTTCAGTTCATTATATATCATTTCCCAGTAAGCTTTAACCTCACTACAGGACCACCACATATGATAAAAACATCTGCACCCTTTTCACCTCCCTCATAGGGGCCTTTGTTGAGGAATGCAAGGCTTGGGTTGATTCTTGTGGGGAGAGATGGTTCTTGAGGTATTGGGGTCCTGAGCTGCATAAGGCTTTATAGGTCAAAACCAGCACTTTGAATTGGGCATAGAAACTAATTGGTAGCTGGTACAGCCATGCCATAATTTGTGCTATGTGCTCAGACCATCTTGCCCTGGTGATCATCAGCATGAGACCTATAATAGTAAAACAACATCAGAGAGAGAGAGAAACTACACACCTGGGGAAGTAGCTATATTCAAGGCTAATCCAAGCATCTAAATTGCACCAATAATTAAAACCATATATGCAGGATAGAATGAACCCACCCTCTTTTTCTTTCACCTTTTGGCGTTCAGGGTTTTTGTCCCCAGTGCATATATTTGGGCTTTCTGTAACACTGATTCAGACACTTGGGCATTTGAATCTGAGTAACCATTTCATACTCCTATTAATAATGGCTTTTTAAACTTTTAAAAATAATATAACTATGTGCATGAAAACAAAAATAGATATAGGTTGGTTTGGAGTCTCGGGTTGCAATTCTGTGTGTATTTCTTGGGAATAAATGCTGCTGAACACAATAGAAGTTTACCTCTGCGTGAACATGCATAGGATTGCGCTGTCAGTCTGCAAAATGCCGAACAGCAGATGAGCACTAATGCCTGCTTAACGTTTCCTCATAAGCTGCCCAGTTGCTCCCAAACTGTTCATGTTCCTGCTTATGAACTGTGAGGAAGAGCATCACTTGTGGCTTGTGGCATAGCCTGAAATGTTTATCCCTAGTGATTTAAGGCATGCCAACAAAAGCAATTATCAGGAGAGATGTTGGTATTCTGATGATTCATATGGTCCATTTTATTTCATGGCAGAAATCCCACTCCCCTTTCCCCCCCTTCTTTCCATCAGTGACCCCTAGCATTTTGAAAGCCATGTCAGAGCATCAGTTTGAATTCACAAACTTCAAGAGAATTCGTGTTGCTATGGGGACTTGGAATGTAAATGGAGGCAAACAGTTTAAGAGCAATATCCTTGGTACCAGCGAGTTAACAGATTGGTTACTGGATTCCCCGAAGCTTTCTGGTGTTTCAGAATTTCAAGGTAACAAAGAGCACTAGTCATGCAGTGACAAGCGTATTTGTGCTTATATACACACACATTGTATTCCTGCATACATGCATGCATATGTATCTATGTTTGTATTTGTTCTAACTCAGTTTGTGGGGCATTAAAATTGTTAGGGTACTTGCATACCACCTAGAAACCTAGTTTTGTTCATAAATAGTCCAAGATAATGTAAATAAGAGAAGTCTGAAAATGCAGCATTTGTATATTTTCCACTCAAAGGGAGGGACTTTTACCCCCAGTGGTCTAAGATACTTCCATCCCATCTGAAAAGCTGGAATTTAGTTCACATTTAAGGCATCCCTGGTGGGATTCACCTAATCAGCCCTGTCAGTGGAAACCCTGTACAAGCTACTTCCATTTGCACAATGGGTTTTCCCCTTTTCCCAAAATTGATTTTGGGCGTCAGGAGAACCCCTAGAAGTGTGGAGGGGGAGGAATCTTTCCACCTGGCAAGCTACAATGTTTGTGTAGATGGATTGTTTGGAAGAGCACAACACAGAATTTCACCGCCTGATTGGTAGAAAAGTCTGAAAGGGGCATTCTGTGATGAACATGCATGTGTGAACAATATTTGAAAATCCAAGTCAATATTAGGATTATCATATACAGTATAATAATAGAGGGAAGCATTCCACCACAGAAAAAGCCAAAGCTCCACATGGGAAATAATACTGGGCTTTGTGAGTTCTGTTGCCTTTCTCTATGGCAATGTTCTGCAACCTTGGGCGACAGGCTATTGGACTAGTAACTCCCATCATCCCTAATCAGTGACTAAGCTAGCTGGGGTTTATGGAAGATGCAGTCCAGTGACACATGGGAACTCATTGATGAAGAACCCTGTTCTGTTCTAGAATCATACTTGCTTGCATTGTGGGTGAGTGGGCATTTTTACTAAAAGCTGGGTATGTACATCTGTGCCTACAGAAAGCAAGCATAATGCACTAGTGTCTCTCACATACTCTCTCAACTTGACCAGCTGACCATTGAAATCACTTAACCATGGTCAGCAACCATGGTTTATTTTGTTTTTACATTAGGAAAAGAAACATACTCACAAAGCATCAACTCACTTTTGCATGTGTTCTTCCCCGCCCCCCTCCTGTTACCATAGATGACCATTGTCCGGCCGACATATTTGCCGTGGGATTTGAAGAGATGGTAGAATTAAATGCTGGGAATATTGTGAATGCTAGGTATGCTTAAACTGAGCTATTTAACTATATTATACTCCATATCATATATTGACATCGTTGCTTATACTCTGTGTAGTGGTGCGTGCATAATTTACAAAATGCTAATAGCTGGTTCACATATGCATGCTCAGCACCTGTTGACTCTGGCATCCAGTGATGATTGTCATGCATGCATGAGCCTTCAAAGATGAATCACCACAAATAAATCTTTCATATCACCTGATATCAATTCAAGCACAATAAATTTAAATGGAAACTGCATTCATTCATTCATTCAATGGAATATCATCAAGTGTTGAATAATCAAGTGATGTTCATTCATACGTGAACCACACTCAGATGGGCTTTATTCATTGCAATAAATAACTATGATTTTGCAGCCTTTCAAACATGGCAGAAAGAGAATGAAATGAAAAATGCTGATTTCTCTGAATCTCTGTTAGAAACTGGTCTATTATTGTCTTATCTGCCTGAAGTGGTGGAGACACAGAGGGGCTCTGGCGCAGAGTAAAACCAGTGTATCCTGTATGAACATGATAGATAGATAAAGTGCTGATGCAGCCCTGAGTTATGAATAAGGTGCCATTTATAAGCTCTGGAATTAACCCTGTGTTTTATCCAGTGAAGACTATTTCATGCCCTATCCAATTTTCCTGCTGCTGCAATTAATGCTTGCGTTTACCTGTTGCAGCACAACTAATAAGAAGATGTGGGGAGAACAGCTTCAGAAAGCCCTTTCAAGGACACATCGATACATTCTGTTGACATCAGCACAGCTTGTTGGTGTTTGCCTCTTCATCTTTGTACGACCTTTCCATGTCCCCTTCATCAGGTATATCCCCTGCAGTGGTGAACTGGGAGCAAGCAGAAGTCTTCTTTCACTGCAAATTCTAATTTGGTGAAAGTGAAGGGAAATAATTATTAAGTGGGAATTTACTCACTCTTGCTCATGCTGCTTTTGCATTACACACATTGTTTTTGTTTAAAAAAAGAAACTTTCATAATCAGTGATTGAGCCTGAAATCCTAAACATAAGTAAGACCCACTGAATTAAGGATTCTGCTGTTGGGATCCTGTCACCAACTGCAATTCTTGCAGCAAACTCCATTCTTTTTCAAAGAATATGGGCAGGAATTGTGATTGATGAACTGCTCCCTTTGAATTGGATTCTGCTTGAATAATTCACAGAGTATGACCAGTGAGTCTTGGAATCTTTATTGATATGTCTTCAAATTGGACATGCCCTCCATTAAGGAAACTATATTTTAGGGCAAGCTTAATGGCATGCATCTTGAATATGGCTGGCTAGATAGATGGCAGAATGAACAAAGGAGTGTGAGCAAAATTAAAAAATATATAATGTTTCTGTTTAATTCTATATATTTCTTTCAAGGCAGTTGTTCCATCTAAGCCTTAATAAACTTTTTTTTTTTTTTAACCCAGGTTCAGAAGTGCTGTTATGCCAAATGTGATTTAGAGTTTTGAATGGGTGAAAAATGGGTCAAAATTTATTGGGGTGAGGGGAGTTGTCTGTATTTTATTCTGGGAAATCTCCCAGTGGCCACATACGACTGGTGAGTGTGCGGCCAGACGTGAAAGTGGGCAGAGCAATGAATGTAAAGTTTACCTTTGTATGCTAGGCTAGTTGCTATGCACACAGATATACACACACACAAACACCCTGCTCCGTCCTTCATACAAACAAGCAAGGGGCATTATCAAAGTTCGAAACACAGTTCAGCCAGACAAAAACACTCAAGGAGGGTCAGAAGCAGGGGCGTTGAGGGTGTGGCCACAGGACAGTCACAAGTGTTAGATGGAGAGACCTGGAGCGTAATTCTGTGACATCACATCAAGATAATAAATACATGAGCTGGATAAAGTCAGTGTAGTGGCAGTTTCTCTTTTGTAAGGCCCATGTAGATGCATCGGACCTTCCATGTTTATTCCTTTTGTCAGGGCTTGCACAGGATCCTTCTTTGCTAGTCATGGAGCCATAGAATTGTAGAGTTGGAAGGGACCCCAAGGGTCATCCAGTCCAACCCCCTGCAATGCAGGAATCTCAACTAAAGCGTCCAAGACAGACGGCCATCCAACCTAGTGACAGTCTACTGTGCCTATTGTTCTATGTATTTCCTTGCCACTTCCTTAGCAAATGCTTCCTTTTGTCTTTGGCTGTTCTCTCCTGCCCAGGGATGTAGCAGTGGACACAGTGAAGACTGGAATGGGAGGGAAAGCTGGCAATAAAGGAGCAGTTGCCATCCGTTTTCAGTTTCATAGCACCAGCTTATGCTTTCTATGCAGCCACTTGACAGCTGGTCAGTCTCAGGTGAAAGAGCGGAATGAGGACTATAAAGAGATCACACAGAAGCTGAGCTTTCCAATGGTGAGGTTCTTGAAATGTTTTATTTAGAGTTGTGCTGAATTCTCACCCATGAAAACTATCAGAGCAAAAGGAATATATTCAGGGGCGGGTGGGTGTAAAGTTCCACCCGTTCTCCCTTCTCCCCAATCTTAATTCAGGGAATGTAGCACAGACATTTATCTCCATGTGTGTGTGAGGATTTCTGTAGCTGCTGATTCTGAAGCCTTAAAAAGATAGCCTGAATTTGGGCAAACCATGCTTAGAAGTAACTTGTACATCTGTATTCAAAATATATCCATATTAACAGTGCCCTCTAGTGATACTATAGCTGCAGACACGATTTGGTGTGGAATGCATATATTTTTGTTCGGTATGTTTTGAGTTTTTGTTATGCTTGGTTTTATAACACACATTGAAATTTAGCTGAAATAATGGACTCTAAACAAAAGCTTGATGGTTGAGAATTGTAGTAAATCTTTATTACAGTTGGTTTCAATTTATATTTATAGTAGTGAGACTATAGTTTTAAGGGGCAAATTCACCTTCATTTAATATGAAGATTGAGCTTTGGTGGACAGGAAGTGGCTCACTTGGAGAGGTGGAACCAACAACACTAGTTTCCTGGCAACAGTATTGCTGCCACTTACCAGGAGTGGGAGGGATGAAATGGCAGGGAGGTTGGCATGGTGGGGCAGGTTCACTGGCAGGAGCACTGGATTGGCTCCACCGATGCACTTGTACTGAACCAATGCCTCCACCGCTCCATTTCCCTCTAGGTAAATGTCAGGGACACCCCTGCCAGGAAGCTAGCATTGCACCTCATATCTATGTGGGCCATTTCTGTTGGTAGAAGCACATTCTTCAAGTTAAAAGCATGCGCCATCAAAACAGATGTGCATATGCGCTTGAGCTATCTTAGTTAACTGTGATTGTGCCTGATTATAGGGTCAGTATTGGTTCAGTATAAGATAGTGGCCTGTACTGAAACTAAAGATCAAAGTTGTATCAAGAAACATAGTGCCCAGTATTTATTAATGGGCCATGCTCTGAAGAACATTCTAAAACAGCACTCAGAAATAAGGAAGATTAAAATCCTGTTGTTTAATCTGTGCTTGAAAATACAATTTTCTCTCACACACAAACAGGGAAGAAGCATGTTTTCCCATGACTATGTGTTCTGGTGTGGTGATTTTAACTACCGCATTGACTTGACCTATGAAGAAGTATTTTATTTTCTCAAACGACAAGATTGGAAGACACTCCTGGAGTTTGATCAACTGCAGCAGCAGAAATCCAGTGGAAAAGTAAGGGGACTGGTGCTGTTTGAAAGAGCATTTACTATAAAAGAGATATTCACCCGAAAGCTCTTTAGTTATTTGAAGCAGATGCCCAAAGCCTGATCTGAATGCACATGTTGCAGCAACCTAGCTGAATCTAAGCAGCTTTGGGTCTGGATGAGAGACTACTTAGGGACACTATTGAGGCCACCTTCTGTTTTGCAGTGGAAGGCAGGGTGATTATTCATTTAATAAACAATGATATTCTTAAAACTTGTGCTGCCAGAGGTCCATGGTGTACATCTGGTTGCTTTTGTTTGAATTTTTTTAAAAATCCTACCTTCCTTCTGAAATAAATATCAAGGTAGGTTAGCTACAGGGTTTTTTTGGGGGAGGGACTATAGTAAAATAATAATGAAGTTAGAAAAGTTGGATTTTTTTAAAAAAAACAACAACCAAAATTTAAACTCTTAGTGGCCAAACAGGATTATAATTATTTTTTAATGGGATCATTTTTCTAGTTGCCATTTTGTCTTATTCAAGTACATAACATGAGCAAAAATATTTTGCTAAAAATGCAAGTACAGTGGTACCTCTGGATGCGAATGGGATCCATTCCAGAGACCCGTTCGCATCCTGAAGCGAACGTAAGATGCGTCTGCACGTGCGCCGGTCGCGTTTCGCCGCTTCCGCGCATGCGCGTGACATCATTTTGTGCATCTGCGCGTGCGCGAGTGGCAAAACCTGGAAGTAACACGCTCCGTTACTTTTGGGTCGCCGCGGAGCGCAACCCAAAAATATTTAAGCTGAAGCGTATTCATCCCGAGGTATGACTGTAATCAGGCTGCTATCTATGCTTAGAGCTACATGGCGGAGATCTGTTTTATACCAAGAGAAAAAATACTGTATGAATGGCACCATAATAAGCCACGCTTTAGATGACCTCTGATTTGTTTTATAGATCTTTAAGGATTTTCATGAAGGAACTATTAATTTTGGTCCAACATATAAGTACGATGTTGGCTCAGAGGCTTATGATACAAGTGACAAATGCAGAACCCCAGCCTGGACTGACAGAGTACTTTGGTGGAAGAAGAAACTTCCTATTCATAAAACGGGTGGGTAGGATCTTTTCAGTTTTTTAAAAGTCTGATATACTTCTTTTTGGATCATGAAATAAAGATACGTATTGTAATAGCTTAATTATAGACGGGTACCAAAGTTAGATCCTCTTGTGTCAACTGACACCTCTATGGGGCAGAGAACTCAAAATTGCCGTACTTACCATTTGAGTCACCCTGTATGGACATAGATGAATTACTATTTACCATCAGTGCATTGTGTTTTGTCGCCCATACCACTGCAGTACTCATGTGTTAAAATAATATATATAATAATACTTTGTGTCTTGACAGTTGGGTGCCACATAAGTTATAAGCCACCATAAAAAGTGATTGAAGTCCCAACATTTTACTGAACGTTTGCTCTAATGATTTTAAACTCTGAAACTGAATTCTGTTTTTTTTTACAAAGCTGGAGAGATCAATCTTTTTGATACTGATCTCAGTCCAGAAACCAAAATCAGACCCATTTGGTCTCCTGGTGCCTTGATGTATTATGGAAGAGCTGAACTTCAAGCAAGCGATCACAGGTACCGTAACATCAACGGAAGCATAACCCTTCTGAAATGGCAGAGATGCTGTTGTTTCTGTGATTGTCATGCTTTTCTGTACGGTTGCATAGTAAAGGATGGTTCTGTAGCTCATATGGAAAGCGGCATGCAAAACATGCATAAGGTCTCAGGTTCAACCTCTAGCATCTCTAATTCAAAAGATCACAGATTTAAAAAAAGATTATGAGGAAATTATCCAGGACTGTGGAGAGCCATTGCCAGGCAGAGCAGACGATAGCTGGTGAGACTGACCTAATTCACTATAAAGGAGTATGTTCTTGGTTCATGCTCACAAAATCCTTTGGCCAATTAGGTGTGCAGCATTGACAGTTTCTGAGGAATCCCAGATAGCCCTTTGTGGCACCCTATGCTATCAGTGTGATCCTAGAGCCTTTTCTCATAAAAAAAAATTAGGTGGTCATTAGAACACCAAAAAGCAAGTAACATTGGTCAAGTGAAATCAGTCACGTTGAAATTGAAATTGTCATATGAATCCATAATTCTGGATCAATTAATGCAAAAACATCAATGGATGCAAAACTAAAGCATTTCAAACAACATGGGCAACCCCATATGCAATTTTACCCCTCCACCTATCCCTGTGTGACCCAGCCGATGGTTGCAATTGGTTCCCTGACTCCACACCTGCTGTGTGGTTGTAATCTTGTGCCACCATCTTGCTGCATCATGGAAAGTCAGTTGTGCTCACTGGGTGCCCAGAGGGGAAAGGAGATAGTCTATGATGGCAAATCTTAAGGATAAAAACATGTGAAGCTTACTTTATTTTATGAAAAAATGTGGGGAAAGAAAGAGAAAGAAGCTAATGGTTTTTTTTCAAGCTTTGATTCTACACTTGATTTGTTTCCTTCATAAAATAATTAAAGCATAAATAACTTTTGCTGTGTTTTTTATTTTCCCACTAGTTTTAGTATCTGCATTTCCCTAAAATGTAACAAAAATATCAGAAGACAGAAATCTTGTCTGCTAGACAGCACCTGTAGGCTGAGACTATATGTCATTTGCAGACACACATAATCCTCCCTCTGGCTACCCTGCCATTAGGAGGTTGCTGTCAGTAACGGTGGTATCTGGATGGGTACTTGACAACAACAGAGGAGGGAATTTTGTCTTGTCTTTTTAGAGTTGGTCTGCCACTGTGAAGAACAAGGCCTTTAATCCATCAGTCTCCTATGGCTATAGGCTTTCCCCCAGTTGACCAACTCTTGGTATAGATTCTTATATGATTGTGTGGACAGGTATGTTATTTTTTTAAATAAAAGAAAGTGTTGCATAAGTTGCCCCATCAGATATATTGAGAAACCAAGCAATGAAACTGTGTGTTAAACAGGCCTGATTTCCAATTGCTTTGATTGTGCCAACAATTTTTAATAACGTGTCAACATTTCCCTTCGTCTTCTTACTTCTTTATTTCCCCTGGAATTATTGGTTTCCCTCACCCATCTCTTTCTTCTTATTTCTCTGATTAGGCCTGTTTTAGCTATCGTGGAAGTAGAAGTCCAAGAAGTTGATGTGGCGGCTCGGGAGAAAGTTTTCCAGGAAGTGTCATCCTTCCAGGGTCCTCTGGATGCCACCGTAGTGGTGACTCTGCAGACACCATCACCTGAAGAGAGAGATGAATTTCCAGAGGACTTGCGTACCGAACTAATGCAAATCTTTGAGACTTATGGCATCGTTGTACTTGTAAGGTACAAATATTCTTCTCATTAAAAAAATCTACACCCCAGTGGCTTGGATTCTAACTTCCTGCTCCTGTGACTGAAATGAGTTTCTGTGAAGTGTGGAAGTTTGTCCATGTCACAACAAACAATAATTATTAGAGGATATTTCAGTGCCACAATCCTTTTTCCAAGTAATACATTTTATTGAGCATTGTTTTTAGTTAATATCAACAATCACAGCCATAATAACGGAAGGTCAAAGTGAAGTAGACCAAAAAGTTGAGCCACTGAGCTTAGGAAATGGCAGGTCAGCTTTCCTGTATGTTTATCTGACGAAATGGCTCCTGAGAGCTAGTGGTCTCCTCTAGAGAATTGGTCAGACAAGCTTGACAGCTTACCCTGAAGTAGTACCTTAGGGCAAACTAAAGCGTCAGCTTAAAAATGCACAAACTTCTCTTGCGTTCTGGGTATATTTCTGAATTATTTATGCTGAATGGACTTAGCCCTAATTCAAACACAGGTGGGTCAGAACACTGTGTTCTTGGGTGCCTGAAACAAAAAGCTTTTATACTCTGATATAATGTGTTGTTGTTTCTCCTCACATACATTGAGCATTGTGTATGCATGCGAATAATGCAGCCTCATCTCCGTATTGGATTATTATTTAACAAATTTGCATACCTTTGGCACATAGTCAAAAGGCACCACCATCCTTGTGTATAAATTACTTGTTCCAGAATTTATCCCACAACCTAGTTATTTATCATGATCATCAGCATGGAATAGAATTCCTATTGCCTTGTGCTGAAGCTTTGAAAAAACTCATCCTTCTACCACCCTTCAGTCACCCTAATTGTGAGTGTATTATCATAGCAATCACTGAAGTGTGCCAAAGGAGAAATAATACATGTTTTCTATGATCAACGTTATGTGGTCTTTAGTATATGGCAGTACAACTCCATTCCAAAAAGCGCTGAGCCCCCTTTCAATAAACTCTCCTAGATACCCAGCAACACTTGTGGCAGATTTAAGGATACAGGATCAAGAAAATGAAAAGTTTCAAGTCATGAAAGCTATATGCACATATAATGTACACATCTCAAAACAAAGGAGATTCAGATTCAGAGTCAATGTACCAGTTGCTGGGGAGCAACAGCCAGAGCCAATCTGGATATTACCTAAGAAATATTAAAAGAAGTCACCTAAGCCATTCATGCTTCCCCTCTTCCCCATTTCAGCTTAAATCTGCTCTAATTTTAAGCACAGAGTGAGAACATAAGTTGTGATTGAAGCAACATATCAGACATTATCTCTTTACACCAGCTTTTCAGTTAGGCACAGATACAGAATCATTCACTCTGAATGAGCAAGATGATAAATTTAGTACCATCTGCCCTAAAAGCATTGGAGGCAATTATATTATTCACAAGACTAAATGCAGGAAGTAATAGGCATGTGCACAGTTGATTGACCACCTCTTTCTTTCTTTCTATTCTTGTCAGGATCAATGGAGGCCAGATGCTTGTAACATTTGCAGAAAGCAGGTCTGCTCTTCAAGTTCTTGATGTAGATGGTGCCAAGGTAAGGAAAATAAAAAATTCCCTGCACTATTTTAGGTACCTAAATGGCTATTGGACAGAGAGCTGACATTCACTATTCTCTTTGATTTCTTTGAATGCCAGGCATTTTTAAGTCCTCATTGGACCGCATCTTTAATATGAAACTGACATTTCCCTGAACACCAGCTTGTAGTTTCAGGCTGATTGGTTTTTTTAAAAAAAGTTAGCTACTAATACAAGCTCCAGAGAGAATCTCTGAAAACTATAAACTGGTGGATGTGACTACTCAGACAAGGAAGACTCCTGTCATCCCTTAAAGACTAAATACATTTATTACGACATGCACTTGCCTACTTCACTAGATGCTCATGCCATTGCCACAGTAAATCCATTAGTCTTTAATTTTCCACAGGACTCATTGTCTTTATGTTTTGTATGAGAGCAACATTTTGTAGACTGAACTTCAAGGATCCTCAGTTTTGAGGATGTCAGTGATGTGAATATGGGTGGATCAAGTCAATAATATGCACACTTGGACTTGGAAAAGCAGGTCAAATTTCTCCAGGAAATACTCACACAAATTAAATCCCCCTACCTAGCATTAACATAAACACTCTTATGTGCTGTGTAATTAGTCGGTAATGCAGGGCATATATAAATGACCAACTTTCTTTACAGGGAGAGGCATGCAGTACTACTTTACAGATGAATCATCTTGGCCCTCTTGGTTTTACCATAACTATCAGTGGCTGGGAAAGGGGCATTAACAGTGGAGTAGCAGTATTTTCAGAGTTCAGATTAGACTAGGCAAGTAAGCAGTTTGATACGGCACTGAAGAATTGCATCATTATTCCATAGCTTCTAGAGAGTAGGCAACGTACTGTTTATGTAACCAGGGCTAGTTCCCCATCAGCGTCACAGTGCAAATGGCCCTTGAACACACTTCAGCCACCACCAAGACGAAACAAAACCTTAGAGAGTATTACAAAAGTGAGGAAAATGTCATAGTACCTTCCCTCTACATGTCAGCTATCAAAAGTAGCCAGTCAAGAGCTCCACCTACTCTTTAGAATATTTAGCTGACAGCTTTTGTCTTAAATCTGTTGAACTAGGCTTTCGGTTTACATTCTTTTGAAGGTTGGGTCTCGTTTGTGCATAGTGATTTGATTAACCAGTTTCCTTTTTTCTTTTTGTAATGCAGATTAAAGGCAAGACAGTGAAGATCTGGCCTAAAACCCAGGACTGGCTGAAGGGCCTTCAGGAGGAAATCACTAGGAAACGAGACAGCATCGCCCCCATGTCACCCACAGCAAACTCCTGTCTACTGGAGGAAAATTTTGATTTTACAAGTTTAGATTATGAATCAGAAGGTTTGTGGCCTGGACTGTAGCTAGATGTGTGAGCCCTCAGTTTCTCTCCAAGTCTCTCTGTGTGCTCTTGATTGGTATCTTTGGAATCAGAAAAGTGAGCAGTGATTCAGTCCTGCAACACTTATTTGCTAACCTTCCTCTTCACTGTACTTCCTATAGTGAGACTTGCTGCCAAAGACAGCTGCAGAAAAAGAAATGGGCATTTAGCAGAGGGATTTCCCTATTTCTTCTTCGTCTTATTGCTTCTGCTGCTTCTCTTGTTGCATTGGAAAGTGTTTTGGAAGAGCTTTGTTAAGCGATGTGTTGGGGCTGCATTCAGGAGAGGCATTCAAAAGCCCTGATTGATGTGCAAAGGTTCCCCTCACAGCCCTCTGATCCTTTCTATGGGAAAATGCCACTACACCTCACTTTTAAACATTCCTGCTTCCTTTTTATACAAATTGCAACTAGAGTAAGAAGCAAGAACAGATAGTCCAGTTTCCCACCAATATTTCCATTGCTGTATCTTCTGATTTAGGTGATATCCTTGATGATGATGATGATGATTTGGATGACATGCTGCCACATTTACCTCTAACGACAGAAGTGGCATTAGCAGTGGACGATTTGCTGGATGGGCCTGAATGTTTGATGGTGGCATCCACGGTACATGCAAACAAATCTCACCATGCTGGAAGAAAGCTGCATCTGTATAAAGGTAACATCTTTATAGGATAGTGGCTAACTAGACAACTGCTGTGTTCAAAGCACAGTGATTGGGCTTTTGAGACTGGCTTCCATGAACAAGATACACTGTGGGTGTGGCTTGCTGACCAAGTTAAAATTGTCATTGTTCCCAGAGAAAAAATGGTTCCTTGTCAAGTCTCATTATCTGAGTCAAACCCAATCAAGTGTGTGTGTGTATGTGTGTGCATGTGTTTTGTTCGTTGACTTTTTACAAGCTTTGAACTGAAACTGGTTGAACAAAGTATTTTTCATCCATGGCTATATTGTGCAGCACAGAGAAAAAAGCAATGTTTTTTGTTATTAGTATAAAACAAACCAATAATAAAATGAAGGAGCTAAATTTATATAACACAGACACATACTTCCATGCAAAATATAAGTATGCGTTTATTTCTTTCAATATGTCCTTCATATAGAAAGGTATATTCAGTCGCCTTTTGTCACTTGATCTCAATCTATATTGAATTCATTGTTTGGTATTAGGCTTCCCATGACTGCAAGCTGGAGTCACCTGATCGGTTTGCCTCTGCTTTTCATCACATGATCCCAGCCTGCATTGCACATGGTGTGGGACCTGCAAGGGCATTTGTTTATGTATGTTGTGTGCCTTTTAGATATGCACTGAATATACATCTGGTCCTTTTTAGAAAGCTCTGTCTCAGTGACTTGAGAGCAAACCATGTGACCCAAACTCCATACCACTGAAGGCAAATAAATTCCAGAAACCTCTGCCAAGTGCTAAGAGAGCACGCCACCTCATTTGCTAGCCAGATTTCCCCTGCAACTCGTTCCCCCCAAAATGAGAGGTAGAAACGGCTCAAGCAGTTGATGAAGCTTGATACATTGCCGCTTGACAGAAGAGGGTGGTTGAATGTTGGGTCACTGAACACTTGGGAAGTTTCTCCTGGTTCATTTCTTAGCTTACCTTCTTTGATGGGTAAACATTTCTTTTTTGATATCATGGCTTTTTCCCTTGCATTGGTCTGTTTTCTATTTTTTAATGATTTTGACACGTTCCCTAGATGATGCTGACCTGATCGAACCGAAACAAGAGCTGGACGGAGGTGGGGAGTTTCTCCATCGTTCCCCGAGCAGGTCTCTTTCTGTCCCAGGCAGGCCTCGGCAGCCTCAGCCACCACAGCGACCTCCTCCTCCAGGTGGGGGGCTCCATTTTCTCCCTCTGTGCGGAAAACAGTGTTTGGATTGCTGGCTCCTCAAAGCCACAGCATAGCCAGAACACTGGAAGGAGTGTGCTGAAGCCGGTGAGATTTATGCCTGCAGGCATTTCATTAAAAAATACTGCAAGGCAGAAGACAACATACAAAATTACAATAAGACCCAAAACATAAATGAAAACTGGTTGGGAAAAAGAAATGCGTGTTTCAAAGGCCTATCTGGATAACAGAGTTTTCAGAAAATGTAGGCAGGGATGATTCCTGCCAACCCTCTCCTGTCAGGGAATTCCATAGGGTAGGACCAGCCACATGAAAGGCTCAGTCCCTGGTAAATACCAGCTGGACCTCAGGGCACTGGGGAACCACCATCAGATGATTTCCATGATCAAGGAAGAGCATAAGCATTCAGATGGTCCTTGAGGTACTTTGGGCCCAGGTTGTTTACAGGTTTGTGAATTAGCAGAAGAACTTTCAACCTGGCCCAGTAGCAAACTTGACCCAGTTTACATAAGATGGAGTCATTGGCTGTATAAATCCTTTGCAGTTTTAGTCTGACAAAAGCAGAGCATTAACCACTGGAGCAAACAAGGGCTGTATCCAGTGCTCTGCATGAGCAGAAGGGGCTTCTGCAGTGGGACTTCCACCACTGTCTTCCTCCCCCTGCATCCTGGAACAGGTTTTGAGGGTGTGCTCAGGGAAGAAAAGATGGCGAAGTCTGCTCACACAATGCTAAATTCCACCTAAAATGATTTATTAGCTTAGGGCAGAATTCTGCCCCAAGGACCAGAATTGTTTAAATCAATGGTTGAACTGTAGTGCTTTCACTGTTACTTTTTTTTAAAACACACCCACGTGCAAAATGTCAGAAATCAATGCATGTGTCTCTCCTCCAGCTGGAGTATCTGTTAAAAAATCCACATCAGATGGGTTTATCTCTTCAGGAGGCCACTCTCTGTGTTCCATCCTGCAGACTGCAAAGCTTCTTCCAGGGGCACCTCAGCAACCAGTGAGTAGTTCAGCACAATTGTTTGAGTCATTTGGTGGAGGGCAAGAGGTGAGACGAAAAAGAAAACAGTGTATTTACAATTACGCATATCCTGCCTTTCTGGATAGAAATCCATCCAAGGCAGCATATACAACATATGTTGAAATTGTTTGTGATGTTTAAAAAAATATTAAAAAGTCAACAGACACATCAGATGTGTAAAGTACCCAGTGTATTATTTATTTTTGTGCATTGTGCTTGAAATCTCCAGTGTCATCTATGAGATGCTGAAGTTGCATAGCAACCATTATCTGTGGGATGAAGATGTTAAAGGGGCAGCCAGAAAAAACACTCATGCATGGGCGCATGCATCTATAAAGAGCCATTTCAGGAGCATCTCACACAGCATGACCTTGCCACTATATGACAGCAAAGTACATCCTTTGTTCATCCTTTGCCAATTTGCTAAAGTGAAGAAACAACATGTTTGTATAGGACCTTTCCTAGAAATATTACCATTCTGGGGTTAAGGTGCCCCAGCAGTGAAGCCCCTAGATCAGGGATGGGGAACCTGTGGCCTATCAGATACTGTCAGACTAAAACTCCCATCATCCCTTGCCATTGGCCAGGCTGGTTGAGGCTGATGAGATCTGGAACTCAACGTTTGGAGGGCACCAGGTTCCCCATACCTGCCCAAGGCCTAATCAGCACACCAAGTCGTGGCAGCTCCTTAAACAGGGTGTCTATTGGAAGACCTAAGGGCACAGTGGAATGGGAGAGTGGAATGAAGCATATATAAGTATTCCTTCTTGTGAGAGGGATTTATTGACATTAATTCATGGCTGGTAGACAAAAACTAACCACTCTGAAAATGTTAAGGCTACTTCCCTGTTTATACTCTGCTTTAGAAAGTGGCATATGCATGATTTTCTTCTGGGCTCACTCTGTCTGTTATTTGTTTTCCTTTAAATTTTTGTAAGCCAAAATCACGGACTGGAATTAGCAAGCCATATAATGTCAAGCAGATCAAAACCACCACCCCTCAGGAAGCAGAGGAAGCGATTAGATGCCTGATGCAAGCAAAAGGAGGTAACATGAACAAATTTCAGTTAAGAACATTGATAATATCTGTTTCTATGTTATCTTTTCAGAGCTACATAAGCATGCCTAAGAAACATCTCTTTTGGGCGCCATCTTAAAATGTTAATCACTGCTGTTCTCATTTCCTGTAGTGAAACCTGAGGAGCTGTCAGTTTGGATTAAAATACTGCTTGTATTTTTGTTTCAACTTGAACATACTGCTCCATTTTCAAACTGATCTGTTGATGTGAATAAGACTATTTGGGCAAATAAAACTTTTGAATTTACCTGGCATGTAGGATAAGTAGATTTCTACAATTCTGTATTTCAGTAACTCCGGAGGAAGCCTTGGCACCCATTTCAGGAAGGAACCAAACTGTCACTAAATCTGAAAGCTTCCCTGGTGTTGCAAAGTCTGCACAACTTCACAGCCCGCAACCACCCCCAGTGCTCATACCTCAGCGTCCAGCACCAAAAGTTCCCTCTGCTAAGAAACCAGCACCCATGCAGAGGATGGGAGAGAAGCCAGGATGTGTAAGTCTCCATTAGATGCTTCTATAGGGTTCAGTCAATATTCAGAGGGCAAATTTGGGGGTTGCACATGCAGTTGGTAGAAGTTTGCAACTGAACTTGTCATTGGGCCGAGTTAATAGGTATGTGGCCTTCAAAAGTCCCTTCATCTCCAAAACTGTGCCCCCAGAGTACCATCAAGGAGAAAGAAGACTGCTATCTTTGGGTTACATAGGGAGTGAGATGAATAGCCAGGACACACTCTTGCTCAATCCCAGCTACATTATGACCTTGGATTTCTCCATTGGTTTTCTTTATGGGAAGTTCTCACTTCTGTTCTGGGGACATGAAAAACAGCTTTTCTGTGTGAACCAGGAAATCACCTAGACAGACACTGAGAGGGTTCCTCTGCCCATTTTGTATTTATATATCCATTTCTCTTGGAAAAGGAGAAATAGAGACAAATAGATGGCCCTGTCTACTTTCCACTCTCCTACTTACTCCTTTTGCTCTCTGGCCTTCTCTTTCAGCTGGCCTCTCTCTTGCCCACTGGTGGAGGAAAGGGGGTGCAGTTCGCCCTGGGTGTCATCCCTGAGGGAGGGTGACATTGCCACCCCACCCCCGCTGGGACGCTCACCCTGCCCCCAGGTGCTGGAGCAGCTAGCTCCGCCTCTGCTCTTGCCCCCTCTCCTTTGCACTTCCGCACCACCACAGCAGCAGGGGAGGGGCAAAAAAAGCAGTATTTTAAACAGCTTGAATGCCATTTTTGGATGAAGGGTGGGTTACACATTGTTAAAATAAATTAAGTAAATTAGAGTCAATGTTGCTGGTCAGCTTCTAACTCCTTGTGTTCAGCTATTCCACAGCCAACAGAGCTGTGTTCTGTCCCTCCACCGCAGCCCATTTATCTTTTCCAACTAGATACTAAGCATGCACAGTCCTCAATGGTCTGTTTTTAAGGGGGTGAGGGATTTCCCCTTCAGATTTTTTTTTAAAAAAAGATTTTTGTACATCTGCAAACTTGAGAGTTCACCTGAGCATGTAGGCACCTCCTCTTCCTTGATGGCCATACTTTGGCTTCAAAGCTTGTTAGCACTCTGAGACAGAGTTCATAATTAGCAGGAGGAATGAGAGCCATGGAAAGGACGTAATTCTTTCTCTGGAATGTTGAAGCTTTTAAGCACATTTTTAAATGGATATATTAAGATTTTAGAATGCTGCATGTACAGAATTAGAGAAGGCCATCTTACCTTTGTCAAGAATACATCAGCTTTGCTTTGGGGGTGGGTATGTGCGATTGTCTCTCTTTATAATCACTATGGGGCTGGTTGAATAGCAACTGATTGACATTATGACATCCTTTTCTTAGCCTCCTTCTCCAGAAGAGCAGTTTGAGCACTTCTCCTTTGCGCTGCCAGAGTCTTGCCTTGAGGCTAGAGCCATTGCTACAAGTCCTACCAGAGCAGCCCCTGTTCCTAAGCCAAGAACAGTCCCCCCAGGCAAAATCCTTGAGAGGAGGAGCAGCGAAAGGTACCCGGCTGCTTTGCGTCTTCTAGAGGAGAGCTCTTGTCTTCCTTCTCAGAATTCTACCCATGCTCCAAGAGTTCCACCGAGGAGAAAGAAATCTGCCCCTCCCGATTTTCATCTGCAAGTACTCCAGAGCAGTGACAGCCTGTTTCTCAAGGGGTTAACATTTAATTCCAACAATAACAACAATCCGTCTCACACTCAGTCTGATTCCATCCCACTTTCTCCAAGTGAGCCCTTTCTACCTGCAGCAGCAGGAGCCATGACCAGCCCAATAGACGACTCTTCGAGGTTCATGACTTCAGAGTTAATTAGCGGCCTGCAGGTTCTTCCGCCCATGTGCCTCCAGCAGCAACACCAGCAGCTTTCAGACGATGACTTTCTTAGAGGGAGCACCAGTCTTTTAGACCTGGAGACTGACTTCATTGCTTATCAGTCAATCCCTCAACCGCTGCCGATCAACCCAACACACGCTCCAAAAGATGTGAAACTCCCCAGTGCAAGTGATTTCAGCCACTGGGTTACATTTGGTGAAGAGGGCAACAGCGGCACCATCTCTGAAAGTCCTAGTGTACTGGTTGCGTCCAAGCCGAACCAAAATGCCTGTGTGGACCCCAACACCAGTTTAAAACTATGAGCGTGGATCGTCCCCCCCTTTTGCTTTTTCTACAACAAACAAACAAATCATAACAGGACAGGATTTTTGCTGAAACAATTTGCTTTATTCTCAGAGCCTTTGGTACAGGAAGGACTGAGTTAAATGAGTCGTTATGGTACTTCACACTCCACGCTGCCTCCAATGAATTCTGATTTAATTTGTATGGTAAGTGGCAACTTTCTCTTCCATGTGCATGCTATAATGCCTTTTGGTACAATTGCTTCTCATTTGCACTTTGCTTGCTTTCTGTGCTTCATACCAAGGCTGTCTGTCCCATAGTACTTGCTTGCTGTGAAAAGGATAGCATGGAGGTTTCTGCATTATGTCTAAAGAGGCATTTTGTGTCTGTTTGGGCACACAGCGGTAGTTGCTTTGAAAAGCTGAACACACTTCCTAGGAGAGGACCTAGTGAACTGGGTAGGACATAATTCCGGATAAACATGCTGAAGATCTCACAGTATGTTTGCCTCTGCATCTTCCCTTTCATGCTTGTTAACATCTGCAGAGTCTGGGAAGCTTAAACCAAATGAGCTCAAGCCAGTAAGCGCTCTGTTGTTTTTTTCCACCAAGGCCTGAAAGGGAGGAAATTACCTGCAGATTGTGCCTAATGACAACAGAATACTGTGGAGATGGTCAACCAAGGCTGCTGTAGCTGCAGTGCTGCTGGTAGTACCAAGGACTGCCATGTAGGAGTCCCAAGCGATAAAGCAGCTAATAAATAGAAAATGGTATCTCAGAGAAAACTAAAGCTATGGTTATATGAAAGCACTAGAATGTATAACTCTGAGCAATGTGGTTGCAGTCTCATCTCTGGCTTGGGTAGAGGCTGGGAAGCCAATCACACGTGCCTCTCATAGTACAGGGGTGGGGACCTTGTGCTTGAGCGCCAGTAGTGAGAATTGTAGTCCAACAACTGGAGGGTCACAGGCTCCCCATTCCTGTCCTAGTGTATCACCCTGTTGACAGGACCCATGTCCTCTTTGGCTCACAGTGATCAGGAAGGCCATATATTGCCTAGGGCAGTCTCCCCCAGCCTGAAGCCCTCTAGATGTTTTAGATTACAACTTCCATCAGCTCCAGCTGGCAGGAGCTGGTGTCCAAAACCTCTGGAGAGCACCAGGTTGATGAAGGCTGGACAAGGGTAAGACGAGTCTAAATGTGCATATGTAGAAATATAAATGGTACGCATGAGAGAGACTTCTGTACTCAAGGTTCCCCCAGCTCTCACCCTTTGGAGCTACAGTCCTGAGAGTGAAAGTTACCTTGGCATAATACAGCCTCAAGGAAACTATTGTAGAGAACAGACAGATAATGTAGTGTGAGCATAAAAGGCAGAGGATAATTTTATCGATAATTGTTAAATAATATGGGAACATGTGCAACAGAGTTATAGAATCAGGTGGTTGTTTAAGACTGGTAATTTATTAGTGACAGGATGGAATCACTTTTGATGGAGTGGCATACTTCATGATTTTAATTTGTTTTGAAATAGTAAAGATCAGAAGAGGGGGGAACTATAAAGTATTTGACTATGTTTTTTGTATCGAGGCTGTAAATAATATCATTAAATTTCTTTTTTATGAAACTGAACTTGGCTTATTTTGTTTTTGTATTATATTGTCCTCAAAACTGAAAGGCCAGATGTTTCATTTGATGATTCAATGAATTAGACCCCAGAAAGATAAAAGGAGGAGGGAATCAGATACACAATAATGACTAAACATTGATTATTTAATCAATGTTTATACTGCTGAATAAAAATACAACATTTAATAATGTTTCCAAGAAGCTAGGGAAAAGATAAGATTAAAAACAAAACTCAACTGTACATTACAAAACTGAGCAGTGGTCAAAAATATGAGTCCAAGAAAGCTGGGGCAAACTTATAAATGTTAAAGAGGCATATATTAGTCATTAATGTATCCATGAAATACCCAAGGGAGAGCATTCCATGGGGTGGGTGCTATCACTCAAAAGGCCTGCTTTCACATTGTCACCAAGTCACACTTTACTAGTCATGGAACAACCAGCAGGTTCTCCTCAGATGATCTTAACAATTGGCCCCAAGTTGCTTGCGAGCTAATAGGCTGCTTAGAAAGAACTGCACTGGCTGCCTAAGGACTGCATTTTGCACAAGCTGCAGCCTCTGAACCAGGTGCAAGTATGGGCCCACATACAGTGCATTGCAGTAGTAACTGTGAGATTAGTAATCAATGGACCACTGTAACAAGGCCATCCTTGTACTGAAATTGCTGCCCCAACCAAAGTTGGCCATGGGTGCTCTAAGGCAGCAAGGTCAGGTGGGCCTCTAGTGACACTGATGGATCTAGGCACATGCCCCCGCCCCCAAACTACACACCTCCTCCTTCTGAAGAATTGCAATCCCATCCAGAACTGGTACACAACCCAATTCCTAGACCTTGGAACCACCTATCCATGGAGTCTCCGTTTTTGTCAGGATTCAGCTGCAATAGCCCTCATCCAGTCCACAATTGCCTCCAGACACCATTTCCAGACATGCATTGCCTCTGCTGATTTACAGAACAATGGAGCTGGTGACACCTTGTCCAAGATCTCCTAATGATTTTAACAGCCTGCAGATGAATTTTGAGAAGGCCTGAGGTACAGTCACCCAATACTACTATTTGGAAAAGCCTGGTTTGGGTTGTAAACACCATAAACCACTGCCCCCAACTCACAGAGATGGCCCAGGAGGATAACATGACCTACCATATCAAAACAGAATCAACAGAGTCCTGCTCCTCATCCCACCTGAAAAACATAATCTATCAGCACAACCAAGGCATATTCTCTCACCAAATGAGGCGTGGACCCAAAGTGGGTTTGCTACTCAGTATAGACAGAAACTGGCAACTGCTAGAGACCTCACTGCTTAGTGTGCACTTCACTTCAGCATAAAGTAACGGAGGTCCTTGGTGAATTGGACCTATGAGTCTTCTGCAACTTTTCATCACCAACAGTGGTCAGCCAGCTGACTCTGGGAAGCTCACAAGTAGGCCATGAAGGTAAAAGTATATTTTATACTAAGAAACAACACTGATGGGCTTAAAAGTTGTCTTGTGCTTAAGCACTCCATTTCACCAAAAGGGATCACTAGTATTCTCAAAGCACTGGGCAGTTAAGCAGCCATGCACACAGCCTACTTCTGCACAGGTACATTTCTGGATCAGGACTTAGAACAGAAATGCTACTGCAGTGGTGGGAAACATCCTGCTCATGGACCCAATTAGACTTGCCAGGTGATGCCATTTGGTTCACAAGTCACACCACTTGCCTGATGTCATGTGTGATGCCCACTTGCCACATATGGCTCACAGCAGGCAGGGGAGACGAGGATCCAGCCCACTAGCCAGCTCCAGTTCCCAACCCCTTTTCTACTTTCCACCTATCCTTTTCATTCTCGACACTTAGCAAAAGGTAGGATTTCAAGAGGCTATTTTGAGTGTCCCACACAAATGAAAGGTGGGTAGGGACAAATGACAATCTTCAGCTTAACTCCTGCGGAATGTGTTACGAAACCCCTCACCCTTCCTCTTTAATGAAGAAATTAAAAAGTTATCACTGGATATTTATGGTGACATTTCAACATAAAACATGAATGCCTATTTTAAAAAGGAGCATGGTTTATAAGTTAGTGCCAATATTCTCTGCAACAAAGATAATTTAACAGCTTTGTGGCAGCTCATTTGCATGATAATAAAAGCATTAGAAGGAAAACCAATTTAAGTCGATTTATAAATTGCAAATAAAAGTTATTTTTATTACACTGCTTGAAGAAGTGAAGTATCTGGCCTTTGGCACTATATCTTATAACTGGCTCACTGGTGAGCTATCTCATTAAAACTTAGATCTTGCCAGTAGCGTCCTCTGTGCAATCAATTGCAGTTCACGCTGCTCAGTCTGAACAAATACAAATAATAAAAAAAAGTATTGGTATAATAATAAAAAAAGCTGTCAAGTGGATTGACTGTTTTTAAAATGTTTTTTGATGGGAAATCAGAACTTTGATTTCCAGACTAAAAATTGTGCTTAAGGATACAACTCTAGAAATACGTACAGAGAACTGTGTCTAAATAAATCCACATACATTCGCACATCTGATAAGAGACAAAATATTTCAATAATTCATGGCATAGGAGAGGAAGACTGAATTTCGGTTTCATGGTTGTTCCTCATCAAGACGTTTTGTTACCCATTATACAGTTTAGGACAAGGTCACATGTTTATTTGTCCACTCATCACCTGCGTCATGTCAAAGTGAAGTATCATAAACAAATCACAAGTCAGTTAGACACAATACTTTCTACAAATTTGGTGTAAAAGGTGTTCCACGTGACAGTTTTCACAGCTTATCAGCCATCAAACATTAAGCAACCATGTGATGAGAGATTAAATCATGTACATACACATGTGAGCTAGGCCTTAGTTTTAACATTTTATCAAGACTGCAAAACAGAGTAGGAAGAGAGCATGGCAAGTTATTGCCCCTTACCTCTCCAAGTTACTTCAGCCACTCATCTTTCAAAAAGGATGACACAGCACAGCTCTTCCCCCCTGCCCTGCAGAGCACATGGAAAGAGAACACTCATCCCACATAACAAGATGTGAGCTGAATGGTTAAACTTACTGGTCCCACAGCACTAAGACTGGAGATAAGCCTCTCCTGATGCTTTTTACTATTAAGTAACAAGAAGAGGCTCGTCTCCCATCTTAGTGCTGTCGTGTGAGGAAATCAGAGATAAGGGATTGCTAATAGAGATAGGTGCAGAAATCTGTCATATGACTGATGGATGGCTATGGATTGCCCCATATGGTCTCACAGGCTAAATTCAGAAGCCTGATGGGTTCAATTAGGCCCATGGGGCAGAGGGTCCTCACTGCTAGCTTAACCAAAGGCTGAAGGGTAAGGGAATGGAAAACAGATCCCCCCCCCCCCCCCGCCAGAGATCTGTAAGCTACTGGCTCATGTGACAGGAAGAAGTGGGCATTTGGTTGACTAGCCCAAATTATTGTTATACACCACAACCACTGTACATTCATCTTCGTGGAAATGACTACAGCAAAAATTTATGTGCTCTTCTTAGCTCCTATGCTACTCATAGATGGTTGATTTGTGTGTGTGTCTTGAAAAAGTAGCACCAAGTTATATGTGAATTTTGCTTCAGAGGCTAGGACCCAAACCAATGGCTTCAAGTTACAAGCAAGAAGATTCCTACTAAACACCAGGAAGAGCTTTCTGATGGTAAGAGCTGTTTGGCAGTGGAATGGACTCCCTCCGAAGATGGTAGACTCTCCTTCCTTGGAGGTTTTTAAGCAGAGGTTGGACGGCCATTTGCCATGGATGCTTTAGTTGAGATTCCTGCATTGCAGAGGGCTGGAGTAGATGACCCTTGGAGTCTTGTTCTTAAAGACTGACAGAAGTTTTAGCTACCTAATTTATGATTTTTACAGGCTATTAAAGGCACGGGAGCAGGGCTAGAAGTTGGTGACCCCAACAGCCAGCTTCACTGTGCTCAGTAAGCACTTTAAGCAGATTCTTGGGGTGGAGGTGGATGGATGTTTGGCAGTCTCTGCTATGGCAGCTTGAACTCTCAAGCCCAGTGGCAGATATGAGCCTTTCCAGGCAGCCTCCTTTGGTCTGCACTTGGTCAGGCTCTGACCTACTTAGTTTCCAAAATGAAATGACATCATGCACCGTCAAGTGGTTAGCGAGGCTTGGTTGAGAGTTTTGTGAGAGTTAAAAGTGCAGCTGTGTTTTATTTATACTCTTTACCTTTAAGCCAAGAGCGAGGAACCTGCAATCCTACAGGCGATTTTAACTCAGGCAGGATTCCTGCTTGGCAGGGGGTTGGACTCGATGGCCCTTGTGGTCTCTTCCAACTCTATGATTCTATGATTCTAGGAATGATGAGAGGTTCACAAGTTTCCCATGCTTGTCTTAGGTGTATTATGTTACAACTGCAGGTGATTGCTTAATATAAAATATATTAACTTTTAACCAGCTTTAAAAGTTTAGCATCTCCAAACATTAAAATTCTTTTGGTTTTATTTGAAAATGCCCAAACACAGATACTACACAAATTATATTTACAGTATAAACCACATGTGATTAATTTAAGGGGAGAAGGGGAACATGACCTGCTTCAAACAGCTCCAACGTTGCAGATAAAACATTTTCTGTGCAAGGCAACACAGTAGCTTGTTTCTAATAAAGAGCTCCCCCATTCTGCCTTGTAGGCAGATTTTTTTGATACATACAAAATGGCTCTATTCAGTTATCAATCAAACCATGGTTAAGGAAACTTAGATAAGGTTTGCCATCATGTTCAAACCACAGTTTGTTATAGGAGAAGACAAATCAATAAAGTGGGTTTGTGCTAATTATGGTTTGGCATGCTTTCTGGTTAGACCATTCATAATAATGGCTTTTACTTCACCTCCAGAGCAGCTAACATGGAAATGCTAAGCAGATGGGATATAGAACAGCACAACTCCACATCAGAAATTTCTAGATTGTGTAGTGTTATCAAACCATGGTTTAGCATAATGTCTGAATTAGGCCACTGAGAGTTGATCAATACATCTGTTCTTAGACTAGAAGAACCGTTAAATAACTGTGTCTGAAATTTATTCAAAGGGAAGAATCCTTCCCTTGTGCAGTGCTTGGCATTCTGGATATTACAGTATAGAATTGGCTGAGCTGTTCAGATGATGTAGGCCTTAGGTTTGTGTCCATTGAGTTTTAGAATGTATGTGGCAAACACATTCTATGCTACCACAATGACAGTGAAGGTTTAGAAAGCTATTTGCATTAATTCAGCCTTTCATGCAGGAGAAAGCAATGATTTTAAAGTTTGGTTCCTTCCCACAACACTCTGATTTAACATGACTAGAGAAAAGGCCATCACAATGGGAATAATAAAATGAACTAGTCCTTAAAAGAAATTCTTATGTATGCTTCATTGGAAGTTAGTTCCACTGAGCTCAACAGGGCTTTCTCTGAAATAAGCGAACACAGGATTTGCAGCAACTGAAGTGTTTCCCCTGCTTCTAAAACAAATGCGGTAGCAAATCTACACTCTGAGGGATATTCTTGCTTCTTCTTGGAAAACAGATGCAAATGGCACAGTCTAGCTTTGCAGGTTTAGATGTCACTATACAATTTTTCTCTATTATTTACAGACAGCTCAAGGTCTTTCTTTATCACACCAATTTGTCTAATAAGAAATCATACCATAAAACTGGCATTTCTGTTGCTGATGGGTAATCCCGTGTCCTTACGGTGTACTATGTCAGGACATTTACTCCTCACAGTACACCCACACATTACGTCTCAGCATGTGCTCAACCCCAAACCAGCAAGTACATGGGTCTGGCTAAAACGAATCTATGAAAAATGCAGCCTGGGTCTGCACAGCAGGGTTCTAACAGGCAGCAGCAAGCAGGGTCATGTCTTTCAAGGGAAGAAGGGTTACTTTCGGGTAAAAAGGCCATTTCATGTATTTCCTACTGGACTGTAAAGATCCCATTACAAGCTCAGGCAAAAAGTGCTTCCAACTCAAGTAGCAAACAGGACTTTTCTTGTATGCTTCCACCAGGTAAAGTATATAGCGATAAAGGCAAAGGGAACCAAAGCTACCATGGATTTTCTCTGTGAGATGTACGGAAGTGCATCTACACACTTTCATATCCTAGGTACACGCCAAGGTCAGCAGTTAGAGGACTTGTTAAAAAGCCATTGACAGCAAAAAAAACCTTGTGCTGTACCTGTCAATTCTGCCCGTTTCAGTCCAAGAATGTGTTAGGAATTACATCAAAGAAGTAAAGCTCTGGTGCGCAGTTCCTCAGTTTCCCAGCTTTCTTTCTAAAGAATCTCGAATAAACTTTAGTGTGCATTGGTAGAGGAAAGAGTCCTTGTTCTTCGGTTTGCAAATATTCAAGTGGCTGACATCTACAGGAATGAGCTCTCCTATGCCTAAATCTGGAAAAAAACAAATAACAAAAGTCAGCACCAATGAATGTCAAGGAAAAGACACAAATGATACACAGCAGCACCCATCTTGTGATACTGGTGGAGATGTACTTTCCCATTTGCTATGTGGGGACAACCAGTCATGCTTCTATTGTGTGTGCCAACAATTATCTATGGATCAGAGCTAAGCAAAAATTTTGAGGGGGCAAATAATTTACCTTGGAACCAGGTTTTAAATAGTGCAGGCAGAGTACCTTAAAATGTATGTTAGGCACAGTAATCCATGCGTTAAGCACAGAAGGTAGAGTGAGCAAGCTTCTGTCATTGACTCTGCTCATATTGATCCAGAGCAGACCCCAATGTACAGTTAGCAGAGTAAAGCACAAACATGTTGCAGGATTCCCAATAATAGACCAGAGGCAATTTCATCCAGCAGAGTTTACTACTGAAGGCAAATGAGCATGTCGGTCACAAATTCATACATCTTCAGGATCGGCACACTCCATGAGAAATCCAGTTGCAGCAGACTTAACTTAAACTTACAATAAGACTAAGATCTTAACACTTAGCATACTATATACAGAATACCACACTAGAAGGAAAGAGAGACAGAAAGTGAAACTCAGGCTCCTTCTGGCCTATTATTATAGACTTTGACATAAAGAGATACAGTGGTACCTTGGGTTACAGATGCTTCAGGTTACAGACTTCGCTAACCCAGAAATAATACCTCGGGTTAAGAACTTTGCTTCAGGATGAGAACAGAAATCGCGTGGCGGCAGAGGGAGGCCCCATTAGCTAAAGTGGTACCTCAGGTTAAGATCAGGTTAAGAACAGTTTCAGGTTAAGAACGGACCTCCAGAATGAATTAAGTTCTTAATCCAAGGTACCACTGTAATAGAACCAGTTTAAACCAGCTGTTCAGCTTCTCTGAAGGAATAAGCCAAACATCAGGAACCTCCTGCCTGTTTCCAGGCAGAATAGAAACTTGCTTGTTAGCTAGAAACTTCCGGCTTGCATCAGCTTGGATCACACAGAGCAGAACCCTCTTGAATTAATTAGAATAGGAAAGATCTCTACACTTTAATCCAATACCTTCTGTACCAAAAAAATGCAAATCTGACAGCTTCATATAGTCTTGGGGGTTTCTCTTGTCATTTCTGTTTTAGCTGTTAGGGTGGGGGGAGTTTTCCAGTTGCAAAGATTCAATATTTTAAAACTTAGCCACATCCCTACTCTGCACCACAACTCTGCAATCCACCTCAGCACATGAGCACAGTAAAATTCACCCTACTTGCACTCCCTAGCAACTGCTATTCTGAGACTTACTGCCTGAGATACCGGAAACAACACGTTAACTATCATCAATAGCAGCCACTGATACCTCTATTCCTATTACGTATGGCTGCTGGAGCTCTGTTTTATTTAATTACATTAAATAAATCCATGTACAGTGATACCTCGGAAGTTGAATGGAATCCGTTCCAGAAGTCCATTCAACTTCCGAAGCATTCAGAAACCAAGTCACAGCTTCCGATTGGCTGCAGGAAGCTCCTGCAGCCAATCAGAAGCCGCGGTAGCCCTGTTGGACATTTGGGTTCCAAAGAACATTCGCAAACTGGAACACTCACTTCTGGGTTTGCAGCGTTGGGGAGCCAAAATGTTTTGACTTGCAAGGCGTTCGGGATCCAAGGTACGACTGTACTTAACTTTTAATACACAATGCATGGAAACTGTGGCTCCAACCTTTTTACTGTGCTACTGAAAGTGTTCATATAAATTTATGCCCACAGCACTTTAAATGCAAGCAATGTGTAATGAGAAAGAGAGGAAGAAGTTGGGAGAAGGGTTTCTTTGAGAGTGGCTGATCCAGCCTTACACCAGAAAGATGTCAATCATTAATTTATCTGAAACGCTGGTTTTTTATACCATCTTTTCTATCTGCATCCATTTCTGGATGTTTCTATCACAGAACTCGCATGGCTATATCTTGCCAGATCAATACATTTTTAAAAAGGGAATGCTGAGAATATCACACCTGCAGATTCCACTGGTACTACATGCAGGCTCAGAACTCTGCTGACTCGTGTTGGCATTGTTTCTGCAAAACTCAACACAGGAAGGTTCTTATCCTTGGCAAATGAAAGAAAGTCATCGTTCAGTACTTTAAGGTCAGGAGAATCTAGGGGAACAAGAAAGAAAATTAAATGCATATTTCTGATTGTGTTTGCATGCAGCATTTTCCTATGAAAGGTGCACTTGGAATAACTAGATTTAAGTTCAGACAGGCACATCTGCTGTCAAGCCCTGCTTCTGAGGGATTAGTATTAGAATGGCACAGGCAAGCAACACAGTCTTAGACAGCGTGCCATTTACAGATCACTGTACAGTTCCCTTCCGCTTTTCAGTCAGATTTGCAATATCTATATTCTCTCTGTGTTGTGAACTCTTTCCATTGAACTTTCTTCAAGAAGGCTTTGGGGCCTTGAGCAGTTGTCCTTTCAGTGAAGTTTTACTTTTATTGTTACTTTATAGTTGTCTAAATGGTTTTAATTTATTGTTAGCTGCTTTGAGCTCAACTGAGGAAATGCGGGGAATAAGCACCACAAATAAATACATTCCTGAGCAAGGTAAAAACAACGCAAATGGTTTGTGTGCATGCAAACTCTCTAAATATTAAATTACTGCAACCAAAGCATACCTTTGCTGAGTTCCTTAACGCCCACAGAGGGGAAAAGCAGAAATCTAACAGTTTTTGAGTATTCAGCCAACCTGGAGCCGTGATGAGGAACGCTATAAAACACAATTCCCTGGGTGTTGTTTACAATGGAATCCATATCAGAGTCCTTGGAAGCATCCAGAAGCATCTTCTTGACCAGGAGACCTGACAAGAAAATATATTTATAAAGTAGGACCAATGCAAGAATGATGCTTAAATTAATGTACAAAACATCCTATTTCTCCTTCATCTGTTAGATGTGCTCCTCGAAGATGAAAATGCAGAAAAGCACTAATACATTCTGTCAGTTAGGCAGATATGGTAATATACTAAATAAGAGGAATGTAATCTTATTCTTGTTAATGCCAGCTAGCAATGTTTTTTTGTTGCCGTGTTTTGATTTATTTGTTTTTTTAAAAACCCTCTTCTTTCTATTTGCAAATAAAAATGGGGGGGCCCACTTGCTCCTTTTTAGTGAAGTTTTACTTTTACCTCAAAGGTCTGTTAGCCAACCATAACTATCATCCTGGTATACTCATTATGTCAGAGAAAAGATGTGTATAGCTAAAAACCACTGCTTTTTTGCTTTTCCACCAATGTAACATTCAATTAAAACAGATCTGAGTCAAATCCCTACACTTAACATGCAGTTTTCAATTCCCTAATTTAGTTTCCTCAGAATCTCTGCAAGGAAAATAGTTGAGATCCCACTACTGGAGAATATTCTGGAGAAAATATGAGGTAACTATCAAGGGATTGACTAAGACAGTAAATTGACTTAAAGAGCTTACACTGTTTAAAAAACAAGCTACTATATTATTCTACTACTGGGAAAAGTGAATTCTTGAACAACACTGATAAAAAACCCAAATATATTCTATGCAGCCCCTAACCAATCACCCTGTAGAACAGCAGAGAATTTAAGAACTTCTTGTTGGTTTTTATGGACATTAACTGTATATATGCCCTGTGGTTTTTTGTGGGGTTTTTTGCACCAACTGGAAGTTGGGTATTACTCAAAATCTGAATAATGGTTTTGTGAAAATTAACAACTTGTGGCCTTATTGCCTATCTAAACTTTCTACATGTTGATGACTTGTTCGTTGCCAGAACAATCTCTTCAAATAAACGTTAAAGACAAGGTGCAGCAACTGCAAAGGTGCAGCCTGTGGCAACATCCCATGTGAGGATACCACAGCCAACCCAGGACACCATGCCCAATCAGCCAGCATTATTACACTGACAACAGTCGCCACATGTAGGGAGGCACACATATTATTATTAATTAAATTTATATACTGCCCTATACCCACAGGTCTTTTATAAAGAGATTGCCGTTGACAGGCAAAATGGTGAGCTAAAGTAACTATTGGCAGGTAATGTCAAGGTAGATGTATATCCAAATGATTATATGCCAATGCAGAGACATGTCAGCACATGGCATATTGGGAGCATATCCATCCTAGCAGGGCTCAGCAGATCAATTCCTCATCTGGGGTCCCCGCTAGCTGCCATTTTGGCTCTCTGAGGGAGAGGCGACTAGTCTCCCTCTTAGAAGCAGGCACACCCAGTGGCAATGATATAATGGGCTGAGAGCTAAATGGATTCAGCTTGAATCCTACCCATAACATCACTGTTACTAGGTAACCCCACTCACAAGCATGAGGGTGAAATACAAGGCCGGCAGCTGCAGCAGCCCCACCAGAGCCCCAAGTAAGAGAGTGGTCAGTGCTGGGAGACCACTATGCCATTCTGCCCACAACCTGCCCCCCACCCTAAAACCCATGGAACTGGGCCTGCCAACCTAATTATCCATTTGTACAGATGAGACAATCGGGTCCAAAACTGAAATTCGACAAATGGCACAGGAAAAAGCCTCCACTGTCTGAGCACCAACCACATGTATGTTAGGAAAATTGCTGTTGGCCCTCCAGTTCATGATACCACGTCCTGTGGCAGTTCTTGCGAAACATATATAGTCTTTCATGGTCCTCAAATAGAAGTAATCTTTTTACACCCAGTTAACATTATGGATGGACATGTCAGCCTATTTCTGGTTCATGCCATCTTTGTAAAATATCTGTCTCTGAATAGGTATTTAAATACCTATTTTTGAAAGTAATTTCTCACAGAACATGCACTCCTAGATATATTTTATCATGCATTTCTAAATATGTTTTATCCTAAAAATGTGCATTTTTAAAAGAACATTGCAAAATTGGGGGAAATGTGAAATCCGAAACATAATTATAACATAATTTAGGGTGATGTGGATTAGGTCAGTTCACAAAGGTCAAATTCCTCAACGACCCCTAGTTAACATGGTTGAAATACATGAAATTGCAGAACAGTGCAATTTAAAGAAAAAATTAAATAACTTGCCCCCCATGCTGTGTGACAGCCATACAAGAGGTCTATCTCCAACACCAGCAGCTCGCAGTTTCTTGAGAAGCTCAGTGCTCTTGTAGGAAAGAGACTCCCTGCAAGTCAAGGAGAGAGAACCAAGTAGCAGAAGCAAAGGCAGTGGCTTTTAAACCCTGTTCTGGGAAACACTGGACAGCCAAGGAAGCTTGCAAGGGCTCCTCAATCAGGTCAGTACTGGTGAGCAAGCTTTACTGAGAAACAACTTGTGCACCACCTACAGTCATGGGAGAGGGATGGGTGTTTTCTAGGCCACATTCTCAGATCAAGCAGGGCAATACTGAGACCCAAAAGGTCTGGCCAGGGTCCCACCTTATTTTCATGGGTGCCCTAGAACATGCCTCAGGATGTTCTGCAGTACATCAGGGTCCTTTGGCAGATGCACAAATAGCTGATGTGGAAAGGGTTTACTGAGAATAGTATGTTTCAAAACCACTGCAGTTATTAAAAAGCAAAAATAGATTCAATGCATTCCAGCTAGGTTGTGCATGCTGACTGCAAGCAGCTACTTAATGCCCCTTTCCAATCAGCATGGATGCTAAAGAGATTTTGGGTGCAATTCTGCACACAGCTGAGGCTGTTAAAATCCCACTGAGGTGTATGGGATTTATGCAGCCTAGCTGTGTGCAGGATTTCAGCCAGAGTTGAGCCAAATATTCAAATAGGCCTTTTTAGTTAAAACTTCAAGAAATCTATGGGGACTTGTTCCAAAGCAGAAGAGCACACTAAATTCTAGAATTCAGCAGGGTCCTTAGATGTCGTCTCAAGGGTCCTTGGCAGCATTACAGATTCATTCCTTAAAAGCTGGCATGCTTATAAATAGCAATGCAAACTTTCCAGAACTGCTTGTGAATTTATACCGACAGTTCACCTTAGTCTTAAGGTCACGGGATTTGCTGTGCATGCAGTTATGATTAGAATTTTTTTGCAGATTTCGCCAAAGCTGGTGTTTTAAAACCGTCAAGGACAATCAAACCGGGTTTAGAGTAACTGTGCCTCCTGTGACACTTGAGGGAGGGGGCACAGCTCAGTGACAGAGGACAGACTGTGCATACAGAAGGACTCAGGCTCAGACCCTTGGCATTTCTTGTTTAAAAAACTATCTCAGGGAGCAAGCTGGGAACTCTGTTGCGAGCCTTTACAGAGTTGCTGATCACTGGAATAGAGAACCCCAAGCAAAATGGGCCAGTGATATGACCGGGTATAAGGCAGCTTCGTACGTGCCAAAGGATGGCCCAGCCAATTCTGCGAAACTGGAGCTTACAAAAAACGATCAATTATTTTGATCAAATGCAAATGTGGATTTAGGCTGCTTACAACTGTCACCATCATTAGTTCCTAAACAATTCAAGATGCTTTACAAAGCAGAAATGGAAATCGCCATGTCTGCCTCGGTATAATCACACAGTTTCTACTTCCCACCCCATTTGTGTGCCCTCCATTTTTTACCTGTAGCTGTCCACGGGACATTTTGCTCTCCAGTCACTCAGATGTGTATCATACTCCACAGATATAATTCTAAGTGACGGGCAGTCAGATGCCAACCATGTCTACATTGAGAATACAGGAAAACAAGACAGAATATTGGATTCACAAAAGTTATTGGGTTTCAGGCACTGAAATCAAAACTAGTCATCTTTTTTCAAGACAGACAGTGAATTGGAAGAGTAAAGTATGGTTATAGAGTATGCTCTTTTGAAACTGAAGCTTCTTTCTGAAGTACCGTATTTTTCGCCCCATAGGGCGCACCGCCCCATAGGACGCACCTAGTTTTTTTGGGGGGGAAATAAAGAAAAAAAAATTATTTCCCCCCCAGGCGCGGGGCTGGCGCGGGGGAAGCCCGAGCTTCCCCCAGTCCCAGCCCCGAGAACAGTCTGCTATCTGCAAGCCTAGGGACACCAGCGATAAGTCGCGCCGGTCTCCCCTGGCTTTGGAATGCAGGCAGCTCTGCGCAGCCATCGGGAGGCGGGGGCGACTTCGCGCCCCGCTCCCAATGGCTGCGCAGAGCTGCGCTCCGCCCAGGACAGCAGGCAGCTCTGCGCAGCCATCGGGAGGCGGGCGCGAAGTGGCGCCGGTCTCCCAAGGGTTGCGCAGAGCTTTCTGAAGCCTGGAGAGCGAGAGGGGTCAGTGCGCACCAACCCCTCTCGCTCTCCAGGCTTCAGCGAAAGCCTGCATTCGCCCCATAGGACGCACACATATTTCCCCTTCATTTTTGGAGGGGAAAAAGTGCACCCTATAGGGCGAAAAATACGGTAGTTTGCTAGATGTCTTATAATCTGAACTCATTTTTCTTTTAAAAAACATTAATGCAGTGTTAGCATACAAGGTATCCCCACCACAGTACACCCCCCCCCAAAAAAAACCTGTGTAAGCATTTTCACTCCAGGCCACAGCACTGTTGTCATTCTGGATGGTTGATTAGTTATGTGTGCCACTAAATCTCTGCATGGGCGCCTCTCAGGTGGGCGCCACTGCCATTATAAGAGAACAAGGGAAGCTTTCATAGTGAGTTCTGCCACTTCTTTACATAGAAAAATAGCATTGTCCATACCTTTGGCCAGCACTCTGTATAATCGTCTTCCGTATCCACTTCCTTCTCAGCAGCAGGCTGCTCTATGTCCTGTTGCCGCCATGTTTTAAATGCTGCTCCCAAAAGACCATGAACGAAAAGGACATCAGCTTTAATGGGCTCACTGGTAGTGGAAATAAGAAGTTGCAAAAGGGAGTATGCATTACTAGAAGCCGGCATCCAAAGAACTGCTACCAAATCACACGTACTGGTTAGAGTTTTGGACTAACAGCTGGGAGACCGCGGTTCAAATCTCCACACAGTCATGAAGCTTACAGTCACTTGCTCTTAACCTAACCTACCTCACACAGCTGTTGTGAAGCTAAAATGGGCAGAAGCAAAATGTATTTTGGGGCCCTCAGTGGGGCCTTATGGTTGACACAGTTGCAATGCTGTAGCAATAGAAAAGGCCATAATGGAAGAATTCTCCCATTATAATCTAGAGCACAGATGAATAACCTTTTACAGTTGGAGGGCCGCATTCCTTTCTGGGCAACCTTCTGAGGGCCACATGCTAAAGCACAGTAGCAAATGTGAATTTTACTTTTGTACAGTCAGCTAGTTTCTACACACATTGACTGAGCCCTACAGATTCTAGGCTTAGAAGACACTTCTTTTGAGCCACCTGGTATTTTGATTAACCACCCCACTACTCCTATCTTCACCCCTCACCCTCCACAATACACAATCCCAGACCGATTTTAAGTGTTGTGAAGCTTCTTTGCCCCTTCTGGGTTCACTTTTTTCCCTCCTCTGCTTTTTTTCCCCAAAAGTCTTCTTCTGTGCCATTCTTTCAGACCCTGGGCTCCCTGTCACTTGCTTCTCTACAGCCTACACTTCCCAAAGCTGCAACGTATTAAATAGCTTTACACTGCTCCCCAAAACAGCAAGTACTTGGTCCTTGGAACCAGCAGGGCAAATCCAGAAAATGTTAGCTAAGGTGACAAACTCCTGACCTTAGTGAGATTTACATATATGGTTAAGACTGTGTCTAATCTTCCTGAGTTTAAGGAAATTTAGGAATACCTAAAGTTTCTCTGTACTGGAGCCTGCTACTAAAACATTGCATTGCAGAGCCTCTCTTTTCAATGAGACAAAGGAACTTCGTAACAACTGCAGGATGTATTCTACTAGGGGGAACATTTTCTGCCCCAAGATGGAGTGAAACGGAACAATCTGGGCTGTAATCCTATATCTACTTCCTCTGGGGAAATCCCCCCTGAACTCAGTGGGACTCGATTCCAAGTTGATATGCATAGGATTGCACTCACACTAATATGTTTAGAGTTCTTTCTCACTCTATCCACCACTAAGTACTGTCCACCATCAGAGAAGCTATGAAGAATAAATGGTATGGGCAGTGTTGGACTAAGACATTTTTGCACCGGAGGCGAACCACAAAATGGTGCTGATCCATCTGGAAAGAAGGATGAGTGAAGATCTACAACAGGAACAAGTGGGAAACAAATATATACACCGGGAACAAGGATGGGAGGAGACCAGCAGTGCTTCCTATTTGTCCAGAGGCCACTGTAGAGGCAGCCTTGAAGAGGCAGGTCTGGCTTCCAAGGAGTGCACTGCAGCTGTTACTGCCACCACGGCAGCAGCCGTGGGCAAGGCATTCTTTGGAGGCTGGATGCGATGCCCCTGTGGATCCTGCCATCTGAGGAAGGATCACAGGTGGGCTGGCCCTGGGTACAGGGTAGTCATAAAGGCGGACATATTTTTTCCTAAGCCTTTCCAAAGCAGCGTTGTACATGTGCGTGCCTGTTGCAAGGGTACACGAGGTAGGGTCAAATGGAATAGCTGCACAGCAACTTTCTCTGGAGACAATTTCTCTTAGGTACCTTTCATACATGCCAATGTTCGCCTACAAGCCATCATGTAAGGAGCAAGCATTTATGATCCGGCCCTGCGAGGAATCTATCCACAGAGAAACGGGTGAACTTTAGAATGGAGAGGCTTATTGTGAGTAATGAAGTGGTAGTAGTGGAGGGAGGAGGCAGTATATAGAAGCTCTCTCCTTACTTGGTTCGATATTGTGGGTGCAAAAGATATACTCCTTCTGGATACTTCTCCTGCACCGTTTCCCTGTCTAGGTTGGCCAAGGCTCTTGCTGCATGGGAGGATTCCATGACACGTGGAGACTTCATCATATGAGCAAGTACAGAAACCCAACCTAGGATTGAATCAAGCAAGCATATGTATCATCACCTGTCACTGACCAAAAGGGCAATCCATTTATTAAACATTTTAAAAGGGAAACAAGTGCTGCTACTGTACAGTAGGAAACACACACACAAAAACACACGCAGTGATTTGTGCAGTATGTACTTTGACAGTTTCCATCAAGTTTGATAAGATTTCTGGTGTCTAAAAGATAAAATTGTGATGCTCTGCTGGATATTGTTTCTCAAGCTCATCATTTAAAGGTGCAATGCAGGTGTTCTTATAAGAAAAAGTTCAATATGTCAAAGATTAATTGTGGTCAGTCTATATGTGCAGCGGAAATCACACAGTAAAGTTTATTTTTCTGGACTCAACAAGAGCAGTCTGCGAGAGGGGTTGCCTGTTCAAATATTTTCCTATTTTAAAAACTCTCCTTGCACTTTTAGAACTAGCATATAAGGGAAAAGGGCCCAGCCTAGCCTTCCTCCAATATGCTACTTGTCTGCTTGCAGGGGAGCATTTGAACAAGCAGCCTTCTACCTGACACAGCCCACTGATGAAAATGCCTTACCAGCTGCAGTTCTTTTTATTTTATTTTATTATTTCATATCCACATTTGATAAGAATGTAGGGAACTGCCCTACTTCTGGAATCACTGCAGTATTGGCACACGGAGGGACCACCACCCTTTTCTAAACATCCATTTAATATGCAGTTCTCAGAATGAGAATGCATCAGATATTCAACAGATAAGAATGGATAATCGGGCTGACTGTATAAATAGGCTTAAAGTGTTAAATAATAGAAGGAAACATGTCGCCTACATTAGTAGGCTATACTTATGCATAATTATGTTATTCCATTAAGGTTCATTCATAATCCAGCAATGAATTCCTTTCACCTTGGACCACTTGGCACATTATCTCAGACTACAGTCCTCTGCCCACTTACCTGGAGGCAAGCCCCACTGAACCCAAAAGAATAAAAAGCATCTGCGGCTATTATAAAGAAAACGCTACAGGGTCCCATTTCTTTTATCATTAATTCTCCATTTTTCAGAGACCATAAGCTTTGCTATTACCTGCACGAAATATAGATGAATGAAGCTGTTCATTAAGTGCCATGTTCCCAATTATGTGAATGATGCTCCTCTGTATTTTGGGGGAATCCTTGCGGATTTGGTATAGTTTTTGCAGCAGCTGAAGCCCCCCACTTGCTTCAATTTCATCACAATGACTAGGAATCTGAAATTAGGCAGGATTAGCTGGCAAATAGTTTGTGATATGTTTTGTCTTCTATCCAGATAGAAATCATTATAGAAATTGTATCTAGGAAACAGGCATTTATTTGCAGAGGCTTAAGAAGGTGGTGGTGTTGCTACAGAATTACCTTGGAATGATGCACTAAGGCTTGTAAGCAGAAGAGTTCCACAGCCTTTGAAGGAACAGTACTGAGACTTTCACAATAAGGAAGCCCATTTCCACCAAAACACCATAAGCCCCCCTGGAATAAATTATATATATATATTCAGGAATATATTTCAATTCATTTCAAAAAAGAGAAGTCATCATTAAAAGCTTTCTTTACAACTAGGTTTGTAAAATTTGCATTTAAGAATTAGGCCATCTTGGTAACTAGACGGGGCAAATGGAAGAGAGGTCCAACTTCCAGCCTCCATAAGATGTACTGGCTAATGATTCCTGTTTATGGTAGCTAGGACTAGTTAGCAAGATAGTAAACAGGCAGGCCTGAAGCACTGCAGAGCTTTCCTGCTTTTAAGATTACCTCCCAAACTATTAAACTATTGAACTTGGAAATGAATTTTTGATAATTTTTTTCTTTAAAAAATAATCACCAGCCTTTATGTTATCCTGACTTTGTTTCTCAAGACAAAATATACATTTCCTTAAGAATGTTACTGTGTGTGTCAGGAGTCACCCAACAAGGATTCAAGGATTTTCCATTCCTAGAACATATTAAGAGCTGGAAATAATAGTGAGAAGGAAAAAGGCAAGCTAGCACAGAATGGTACATAAAATTTGGCAGACAGAGTGGTTTTTTAATGGTTTCACACATTAACTGGAAGACAGATTAGGTAAACACAGACATCAGGATAAAATTGTTCGGTCAAGCCTCTTCCACCTTCATTGGTAACTCAGAGCATGCATTGTTCCATTTTTGTCAAAATATTTAGAGTTAGGAACACACCTTTCGTGCAGCGATGGTCTGGCTGCTTTCTCTTAAAGCCAATGATGTAAAATATTGTACACATGGGTCAAGATCTGTCTGAGGTAAAGCTGCCAGCAACAGCAGAAGTTCATCTTCTGAATAACAAGCCTGTAATGTAAACCAAAAACACCTGTTAACACCTCCCACAACAGCAGGCACCAGGAAATTATGTAAAAACACTGAACCGTGTGAAATGTCCAGTTCACATCAGAAAAATGTTGTGCCTAACTGCTATTGACGTTACTGCCCTAGATGCCATGGGTCTTAGATATCTTGGAAACTGCTTCCATATGTTTCATCTTGCCCTCCATAATATGCACAGCAAGGGCCACCTAACAATAACAGCAATTTGAACTGACTTCCAGATGTGGTACAAGGATGAAGATTTCTCTAGATGTTTCTGCTCACTGCTAGCTCTAGCCAAGGCTAGTTTAGGGAGACACGTCCCAGCCTGCCTGGAAGAGCAGTCTGTCATGTAGTTCAGTTGTGCCCTAAGTTTTGCAAAGTATAACTGTTTCCAGGACAGTTTGCAGACCCCAGTCTGAGCATCCAATAGTTGCCACTCCTCACCTTCTGCACTCATTCCAATTAATCTTTTATGTCACTGTGTTTTGTCCTTTGATCTTTCCCTTTCCTGCTATGGGCTGGATTCAACTGACTGCTCCTACTAACTGAGGCCTGCACAATTGAGCTTCCCCTTCCCTCAGCACGCCTCTCAAGCTCCCCAAATTGGCTTGGGAGGGGAGAACCCCCAGAACAGCACACCAGAGGACAAGAGGGGAGATTGTTCCATCATGCAAGCAGCAATGTTCGTGCTTATGGAGCAACCTCCTTTGTAATACATTGAATCATAGAATCATAGAATCATAGAGTTGGAAGAGACCACAAGGGCCATCGAGTCCAACCCCCTGCCAAGCTGTCTGTTTGCCTACAGACTTCAGTTCATTTCTCTGTCCCTGCCTCTACACTCCCAGGGATGGCATGGCTTGACATATCCCTGATCTCATCTCCTCTTCTCACTCTGTTCATTCCAGGCTGCACCATGACTCTGCCCCTTGAATCTAAGCCCTGATCTTGAAGTTGCCATCAGCCATAGGGACTGGATAATGAAAGATACCTTCCTTAACTTAGGAAATGTCAAACCAACTCTTAAGATATCAAAATGTTGTTAATCCACATAGATGAGAATGTAAATCAGTTATTATGTTACACCAGCTATATGGGTCAACTCCTAGACACCAGATTTCAAAATACTTCTATGAAAAATGGTGAAGTCTGGATTTCATAATACGTACATCTTTTTGTTTTGGTAAAAGATGGGGTAGCAGGAAAAACCGCAGGTCAACATCTTTACTTCGAGCTAAACCAATAGTAGTTCTCTGATCACTTGCTTGGGCAGCTGTCCTATACTGATAATCTGTATTAGAACAAATAGAGTTAGGACTTAAACAAACTTGAAGTATTTGCCTTTGTTTATAAAGTTTTGTAAAGTCCATGCAAGTAAGCAAGCAATACAAATTTGTAATTAATAAATGAAAGTAAGTAAGGACATATGGTAATTCACAATGTATGGAGGAACAGAAAAGGGAGAGACTTTCCATCTTTCAGTTTGGAAAGGACTGTATGCACTAAGGTGTTGAACACATATAAGATTAAAATAGGTATATCAATTTTTCAGGTGGGGGGGGGAATAGCTGCAGCACTGATTTGAAACCCTAGTGTCCACATTTAGTTTTTTTTAAACTTAGCTTGTCAATTTATAAATTTATACACCAGGCGCTCACATGAACATTGATATAATCCTTAAAGCATTGGACTTCAATGGGTAGGTTGTAGAGCCGAGTCAAAACTGGATATTCAGTCCTAGCTTTTTTCTAAATAATTTTCTGGTAAATAATTCAGAAGTTGATCCCATGTTGAAGCCTGAGATTAAACAGGATGCCAAATATGAAAATGCTGCAGTGATTCTCCGGTATATAGGAAATATATCCAATGTACACCCACTAGTGTGAGCATAACCCAAGTTAAATATTTACAAAATATGTACAAGTTAAATATGTACAAAACCCCCTATTTTAAAAAAACAAAATACTGAGATCCGCTCCTGCACAAATCTCCTTCACAGGAGAATTTTATCTTAGATTGTATTCCTATCCCTTAGCCTGAGGGCTCTTTCCATAGTAATAACTGTGAGTTAAGGGCCACAAGTTAAAACACTAGCTTTCATAACAGAATACCTTACCATGCCAGTAACAATTGGAGGCTAATTCCTGCACAGCTTGTAATCGGACCATTTTATCTTCCGACTGGCTTCTTTTCACAAGGAGCCACAAGGCACACTCATGCTCATCTGCGTCAAAAGTACTGAAGCGTTCTTTACTCAAAAATAAAATAAAATAAGAACCAAATTATTGCAGTTGTTCATTAAACTTTGCATTATCAGCAGAAAATGAAGATAACTTCTTCCAGAAGCGACATTTTAAAGCATATTATTCAACAGATGGAATCATTATTTCTACAACATTATAATTATTATACATTTATTTAAACTCTGCCTTGCCCTCCCTGACAGGGACTCAAGGCAGTTTACCAATAAAAATAAAAACAGTACACAGAAATGAGCTGAAAGTGCAGCAGGACAGAAGAAATGGTTATGTATGCTGTATACTGATAAAACCATTATTGTGTAATTAATTATGCTCTGCATGTAAGCTGTGCTTAAAAGTGTTCTAAGTGCAATATTCTGTACAACAATCCTGTTCAGCAAGTCAGTATTATCATCTGCATCAGGTTGTGATATAGTGGCTTGTGTTAAATCACCTAGTGGGTTGATGCCAGAGCTGCGACTGAACCTGGGACCTTTCTGGTTCACAGCTTTGCCATTATGTAGCTCTAAACCTGTTACCTTAAAATATAGTTATTCAGAGGTAGGCAGACCTAGCTGAGCTAGGGCAGAACTGAAAACACTCAATAAGCAGTCTACAGAACAGGAAAGCAAGGAACTGGGTTTGGAGCGAATGATGTAGGCAGAGCTAACAGGCAAGGCAGTAAGGAGGCTGGGCTTTATGCCTTCGCCATCATGATCATCTTGTGAACTACACAGGGCATTTCAATGGACACTGTCAGAGGCAAAGAGCAAAGTTAAATAGCTAAACCTAGGAATAACACTCTTAAGATATAGCAGATTTGATCAAACCTACCATCAAATGGTCTTCGAAAAATTCTAGCATTTGTTTCTAGTATTTTCCTTGCTGCTCTGTGAAGTTCTTTTCTCACTTGGTAAGTAATCCCTATTAAAAAACAACAAAAGTGCAGATTTAGTTAGGGTCATACGATACATAAAGGCTGCTGTCATATTAAGCACATTTCTTATAGAGATAATGTCCTATTACAAACTCTCCCTCCCACACACACATTTCTTTGGGCTCCAATTATGACAAAACCTGCCAACCAGGAAAAACTGTACAATGTCACCAGGTGTATAGTGCTGCAGGCCAAGCAATGGCTGGCTCCCAGGTATGCTTGAGGATTAATGGGGCTTGGCTGCTTGCCCTGGCTTCTAGGAATGAGTGTTCGTAAAATCAGCAGCACTCTTAAGAGCTCTGCACATAGACTAAGAAAACTTCCAGTCAGAAGATGCATTTCTTCAACCTGAATTCTGAAAGAATATAGGCAAAATCCTGGTGCTTGTAAAGTAAATTTGGCTACTAATCTCAGCACTGCAGTACTCTTTATTAAACATAGAATTCATGTTATTTCCACCCCCTCTTTGTTCTCTACATTATTTCTTGAATAACATAAAAGCCCAACGGTCTCTTACCTTGATATTCACTGGGATCTAAAGAAACTGTTTGTAAATAAATGTAGGACTTCAGTTTTTCTTGCTGTACCACTTGGGTATCAAAAGAGAACAACTTCCTTAAAGCCAGAACTTCATATATAGCAAAGATGCAACCACTTTAAAAAGAAAAATATCATTTAAGTATTAATACAAAAATTCAAAAATGACTTTTCTTAAGATGCAGATTGGAAGCATATGTATGTACGGTTCTCTGAATTTTAAACATGATGGGCTAGTTCAGGCATACCAATCTGGTCCAATAAACCATGGTTTATCAGCCCAGGAAGAAGCTGTTGCCCATTCACTCCCTCCTCACCTCTCCCTGTTGTGCTCAGCTTTAGCAAAGTTAATTTGGTTTCTTAAACAAGTGTCCCTGTGACATTCAAATCCAGTAACTCAGATCATGGTTAGGAAAGGCCTGACCAGTGAACCATGCAGATGTGCAGCAGGCAGATTCATCTTGTGACATCCTAGCAGTTCTTTTACAGCAGTCTGGGAACTTTAGATGGATTATCTCCAACACAAATTTTAAAATATAGAAGACAAGATATCTGTTGTCAGCAATGAAGCCTGGAGCAGTACAGAAGAGGGCAAACTACCACCAAACCCACCACTTCCCCCTGCTTATTCCCAAGTCTGAGCAAACTTTGATTGAAGCAGTAACATAAGTTCCTTTGGCAATAGGATCCACAGTATTCAGCTGCCAAACAAGGAGGCAAAGAACAGTCACAAGGTTGAAGTACTTTGCACATGCCACTCAACTGCACAGTGAGTGTTCAATGCTTTTCACTGGAGTAAGCAACACACAGCTGACCTACTCCTTAAATGAGCATTAAAAGTGCAAGTTTGATTAATTTTTTAATGTCCATTTTGAACCTAGGAAGGTAAAAATTGCTAATGGCTAAGAAGCAAAGTGGAAAGTCAACAGGAAGTCTAAATCAATTGTTTTTCGCACTTTTAAGATTAGAAGGTACACTTTCCAAACAATGAATTAAATGCAATATTCAACAATAATTTATCTCTTTAAAAAATTACATCTCCAGCATTGTATATTTGCTTATATTTTACTTCTGAAGTGGCCTTCATTGCTAAGTTGCTGAAGCCTATTTCACACATATTTTTAGATGAGGCTGAGATTCATAGTGTTCCTCACATGTTGGGGAACATCTAACGTGCCACAAGTAAGCATCTGCTCACACAGTGCGGCTCCTCTCCTCTCCCCTCATTGCTCTCCTGTCTTCCCCAACAATTTGCTCTGGAGGATCAAGGACTGGAGGGGAAGAAGAAAAATTGGAGGTCCTGTGACGCAACCATACTTCTATACCACAAGTGTGTGAACATCATGCAAACAGATGAAAAATTAATACAAAAGTTCATTAACATTACAGTGGTACCTCGAGTTACAAACGCTTCAGGTTACAAACTCCGCTAACCTTGGAAAAGCTACATCGAGTTGAGAACTTTGCCCTAGGATGAGAACGGAAATCGTGTGTCGGCGGCGCAGCGGCAGCAAGAGGCCCCATTAGCGAAAGCATGCCTCTAGTTAAGAACAGTTTCAGGGTAAGAACGGATCTCCAGAACAAATTAAGTTCGTAATTAGAGGTACCACTGTATTTTCCGGAGGTACAGATACACACACACACATATATCTACATTCATTTTTAATTCAATGTTAACTATTTGGATGTTTGCATATTCAAACTTACCTCAGAATAAGTGAGCCAGTTAATTTTGCTATTTTCCCTTAAAAATAAAATAAAAATAAAAAAGTGTCACTGTATATGCAAAAAATCAGGTTTTAAAATATTGAATTATTCATCACATCATAAACAGTAATCAGATGGATCCAGCCTTACAGTGCAATCCTAACCAGGTCTACTCAGAAATAAGTCCTACTGAATTCACTTGGGGTTAACTCCCAGGTAAGTTAAGTACGGCTAATTTAGGCTGCAGTCTTAGGCCCTAAGTCAATGTGAAAAGTTACGAACCAAGAGCAACTAACTTTCTCTGACTCCAACCTAATGTAGATATAAGAACAGTGTTAAAGCTGCAGCTCTCATGACTATGTTTTACAATTTGCCTTAGATTGTGTTCTGTTATGATTCTGTATGTAACCATATTTTGCTTCTTCATGTTTAATAAATAAAACAAAAAGTTAAAAAATAAAGCTGCAATCTTACACATTTATCTGAAGGGTAAGTCACAATGAGTTTTGTACAAATCCTACAATCTTTGGCACCTTTGCTTGGCAATAAAGCTCAAAGAACTCAATGAGACTTACTTCCACATAAACATGCATAGGATCTGGCTGGTAAAGTCATTTTTGTTTCCATTAGCAGAAGCAACTTCACTGCTTTTTATACAGACATGCTCCTTCTATCATCATTCTGATAAGTTTAAAATTACTAATCATGATTAAAGGGATGCACCACCAGAAGCTACTTTCACTTAAACAGCATCAGTCGGGTACTTGGAGGATTAAGTTGTATTAAGGTGCTTAACTTTTACTGATGACTCTAATCAGCATTGTTCACCTTTCCCCCAGATGGCTATGGTTCAGCAGCATCTCAGAGACATGCAAGCTTATCCATCACTAGCATTAGGTTTCTGTATTAGAAAAGAATATTTAAGCTGCTCTGTATTTTAAAAAATACTTTTTAATTCAGCAAGTCACAAATTATGAATTAGGATTCATCAGCTGATTGCAGTTGACCTATAAAGAAGTCACAAATTGCTGGTAGGAGGCAGAACATGATGAAGACTATGATAAGAGAATCTCAGAATTGTAGAGTCGGAAGGGATCACGATGGTCATCTAGTCGAATTATCAGATGTAGAACCAACAAACATGGCCTGATCAAAGGCAAGATTCTCATCCTCTACCACTGTAGCATACGCAACGGAAAATATCCAGTGACAAGGAGAATGACAATGAAATATGACTTGTACTCATTGACATTTCTTATTTATTTAACAGGAACTAAAACTTATAAATGAAAAGTCAAAGCAGAAAAACTACAGTGTAAGTTAAAATAAATAAATAAAACCAGAAGCAGCGAAACACTAATACAACAGAGCTAGAGGTACTAAAAGATCTTCAGATTAAAATGAATGGAAAATAAAAAAGTTCTTCACAAGTGCCAAAAAATATGGTAACATAAAGGCTAGCCTCTTTCTTTGGAAAACCGCAACTGAAACAGAGCTGACTGTAGATACTGTATCATCTATTCGTTTTAAACAAGACCTTCCCGTAAAATGATGACCAGCCAATCTGGAAACAACTCATCAGTAAAAATAATGATTAATGTCTTTCCGTTAACCTAGTAATCATAGAATTGCACTTACGGATGTCTTTCCATGATTGGTCAGTCTTCTGGGCTGAACCAAGAGTTCCTATCTTTCGACAACAATTCCCACAATAAGCAACCAGTGACATTCTGTAAAAGTATGAAATGGTGATAAAGTTGTAAACCAAGAAAATCTTTAACAAAAATACATTTTAAAAAAAGAAAGAAATGGTGATAAAGCATGTCAATCTACGTAAAATGCTTTCTAACTGCACAATAGAAGGCTAGAAGCAAAAGTGTCTGTTTAGTGTCCCTTGAGATGGAATTCCACAGGTTTGGTGCAATAACTGAGAAAACCCTATCTTTTCTATGTACTGTTGCACACCAGCCCAATCTCCAAGCAGTACGAGACTCCAGGGGTTCCAGGCACTTGGTCAGGGCTCATGTTTCCTTTTGGAAAAGAGGCACAGCAGAGACTGTGATGTCTTTATGATACTGTATATGGTCTATTTACACATATATACAACCTGAGCCTATCATGGAGGGGTTCACAGCATTAGCACCCCAAAAGGGTCTTGTTTCTCCCATTGCGGCAGCCTTGGATTCAAACAAGAATCAAACATGCTGCTCTGATTGACTCTGCAGCTTGCTGCTTTCCCTCTAGTTCAAATCACAGCCCCAAAACTCTACTTCAAATGCTCGTTTTCGTTCTCCTAATTATCTCTGAGTTGAGGGAGAGGGTCTACCTACAGTGGTACCTCGAGTTACAAACGCCTCAGGTTACAAACGCTTCAGGTTACAACTCCGCTAACCTTGGAAGAGTTACCTCGAGTTGAGAACTTTGCCCCAGGATGAGAACGGAAATCGTGTGCCAGTGGCGCAGCGGCAGCAAGAGGCCCCATTAGCGAAAGCACGCCTCTAGTTAAGAACAGTTTCAGGTTAAGAACGGACCTCCGGAACAAACTAAATAGAGGTACCACTGTATTTGGTCTCTCCCACAGAGCCCCTTTTCCTTTGTTCTCTTAATGGCCCATCACCCAGACTATCACCTCAATGCAGGAAACTAGTCTGCTTTATAGTCTAACACTTGCTTAGATCCAGTGGTTAGAACGCTCTTGCATGCAGCCTCCTTCTTCCCACCCACCTCTCAACCCATAAAAAAGCCTTCACTGCAAATCTTAGTATTTAGGGAGGCACACGTGGGTGGGAATGGGCCTGTCTGTGCGTTTGCACGAGTGACTCAGTGAGAACGATGCAATCCGAAATGCACCACCCGCGACTGTTGCAAGCACGGCAGACAGCTAAAGAGCCCACTTGAAACTGATCGTGTGTCTATCTAAGCCAATTAAAGCACCCCTTACAAAAATGGTCTAAACCGCCTTAAAGCGACGCTTCAGTAAAGTGGCTTATGTTATAACCGCGTTAACGTGCTCCGCAGCGAAGGTTCCGGAGCAACACATCCAAACCTGGCGGCTGTGGGGGCGATGACTAACTTCGAATTTATGAGTGACGACATTAAGGGAGGAGAAAGGCTTTAATTCGGAATGGAAGAGAAGCGTCTCTCCAAAGAGCCCTTCCATCCATGGAGGCACGTTTCCGTAGGAATGAAACCCCTAAGTGCAAAAGAGGGCGAGGGGAGCTTTACTCCCAAAGGGGGGCGCACAGGGCTGAGGGCTTGGACGCCCCGCCAAAACGACGAAAAGCATTCGCCACAGCCCGAAGCAGCAGCAGCTTCAGGCAGGCCTGGGACCAGGGGAAAGCTGTGCTGAAGCCGCGTGTGACCTCCCACAGGGCTAAGTCCGCCCCCCGCAGCCTCACCTGCCTTCCGGAGCGCCGGCTTCAGCACCGCATCCCCGCGGCCGCCCATGGGCTCCAGCCTCCTCGCGCCCCCGCCTACCTGCCCAGCTGCCCATTCCCAGCTCTCAACGAACAGAGACGCTCTCGGCGCCGCCTACGCTCTCTGCGGAGGGCGCCGCGGCCGCCCACAGGCCCCCTCCCCACGCACGCACGCGCGCCGCAGCCGCCGCCGGCAGATTCCAGCCAATCCCACGGCGAGCCGAGACACAGGCGCGCGCGGGGGTGGGGTGGTGGGCGGGAGCTCGGCGGCTTAAACTGAGCCCGCCTCTTCCGGTTTGCTGGAGAGGCGAGACCTTGGTTTATTTTTCCGCCTCCGAGGGGATGTTGCCGGTTGTGTGAAACGTAAGAGGGTGTTTCTCTCCCCCCCCCTTCCCCTTGTTTGTCGTGTTCGCCGCCAGCGCTTTCCCTCGGCCGGAGTAGCTGTGCGGCCTCTTCCTCGCGGCCCTCAGTTTTCCTCTTCCTGCTTCGCGTAGCGTCTTGTTGTGTTGTGTGTAGAGAAAGGCTGATGTGATGCCTGGTGGCCAACGCTGAAATGTGCGAAAGGGTTAAGGCATCTTTGCCCCCGCCACCTGATTCTAAACCTGAGCCACTAGCTCATGAATGATAGCTCCCCCCCTTTCTTTTTTGAAAATATTACTTTTTATTTACGTTATTTATGTTTACTCAGTAGGTAAAGTATGAGACTTTAAATATCAGGGTTGTGAGTTGGAGCCCCACGTTGGGCAAAAGATTCCATCAGGACTAGATGACCCTAATGGACCTTCCCAACGCTACAATTCTGTGATTCTATGTTGAGTGCTAGTACGTGTTTACATATTGTGTTAATGTGTAAATAAATTAATTAATTTAAAAATTGTCCAGGAGCACCTTAGAGACCAACTGAGTTTGTTCTGGGTATAAGCTTTCGTGTGCATGCACACTTCTTCAGATACTGTAAACTGAAACAGAAGTCACCAGACCCTTATACAGTGGTACTTTTGGTTGTGGATGGGATCCATTCCGGAGGTCCGGTCGGATGCCGAGGTTTCCGCATGCGCGTGTGGCGAAACCCACTAAAATACTTCCAGGTTTGCCATGCATGCATCCCAAAGTTTACATAACAGCATATAGTGGGAGGGTGGGGTGGGGTTTTTCCCAGAAGGGTAGTAGAAGATGGGTGATTGACTCAATGGGTATGGTAATGCTGTTGAAGCAAGGGATAGTATGCAGATGACCAAAAATAGCTTTAGCATATGTAATGAGACAAGAATCTAATATCGCTGTTCAGACCAGGTCTCTCCCTAGTTTTCAGTTTAGTAATAAGTTGTAATTCAGCAACTTCTCGTAACAGCCAGTAATGTGTAACGTTAGCAACTTGTTTTACTAGTTGTAGGGTGATTGAGAGTGCAATTCTCTGCATGCAAAATACCTAACTGGTTTCAATGAGGCTTTTCCTGAATTCCTCCATAGGTCTGAAGCCTTAAAACTTCTGTAAAATTTCTTCTCCTATAAACTGTGTCACACATATATTTTTACTCATTTTTTATTTATCGGTTTCTTTAGGAGTCTGAAAGTCTTTTGTGAAGATGGTGAATGTTTTGAAAGGAATACTTATAGAATGGTAAGTAGCACATTATATGTGGGGCTGCCTCTGAAGATGGTTCAGAAACTTCAGCTGGTGCAGAATCCAGCAGCCAGGTTGTTCACCAGGGCAAGACCATTTGAGCATATAATACCAATCCTGGCCCAACTGCACTAACTGCCAATCAGTTTCTGGGCCCAATTCAAAGTGCTGGCTTTGACCTATAAAGCCTTAAATGGCTTGGGACAGCAATACTTCAAGGACCGCCTCTCCCCCTATGAATCAACCTGGACCATGTGATTGTCATCTTAAGCCCTTCTTTGGGTGCCTCTTCTGTGAGAGGTCCAAAGTGTGGCAACATGAGAACAGGCCTTTTCTGTGGTGGCTCCTTGTTTGTGGAATGCTCTCATCAGGGAGGTTCACCAAGCACCTTCATTATATATCTTTATGTGCCAGGCAAAAACTTTCCTTTATAACCTGGCCTTTATTCTTTATCTTGCCTTTTTAAGTGAGCAGGATGTTTTAAGTGTATTTCATTTTCCTCTTGGTTTTAATGTATTTATTTGCAGGAGGGTTTGTCTGTCTGGTTGAAAGTTGCTTTGGGTTGCCCCGGCTAAGCTAAAGCGATGGACAAATTTTATAAACAATAATAAATGAAATGACATAAGTGAAACTGGAAACTGGTTATTATAATTCCTGAATGAAATCATTGGCATGGAGTATGAATAAAAGTAGGAGACTAGAAAAAATGGCCTTTCCTAAATCTAAGACTCTTGAGATACAGAATAAATATCTTCATTCAAATTGTTGAACCACCCTGCAATATGTTATGCTTTAATTTTTGTCCGTTATACCACATTTCCTTTCCCCTCTAGTTGAAAAGTATTGTTGCTTGTAATACAGCAATCATGCCTACTACCATAGCTCTATGATTGTGTTCCCTGTCCAGCTCAGCCTATTTGAAGGCCAGATTTTTACATTATAAACAGCTTGACTGAATTTTAGTTGTATTTTGATAGGTTAAGCTCAAAGAGCTGCTCAGACTCCTAGCTTTCAAAAGGGGTCTTAACTGCAGCACTCCCAATTTCTTTTTCTGAAGCTCACCAGCTATGTAATAACTTTAGAGCACTCTGGGGATTTCAGTAATGCTTCTGAAGACCATCCAGTTTCCATGACTACAGAGGTAAGTAACAAACCAGTCCTGAAAACATACTCCTGAGCTGCCTTATAGTTCAGTTATTCCAAAAGAGTGTAAATTTAATTCAGTTAAAGTATCATGTGATGTGACCATTTTATTTGTGCCTCCACAGTGACCCAGCCATGAAGCAGTTTCTGCTGTACTTGGATGAATCAAATGCCCTGGGGAAGAAGTTCATCATACAAGACTTGGATGAAACACATGTCTTTGTGTTAGCTGAGATGGTTTACTTCCTGCAGGAGAAAGTGGGAGAGTTAATGGACCAGAACTCTTTTCCCATTACACAAAAATAGAAAATGGGACTGGAATTGTCTGTGTCTAACTACAATCAATAAATGTGGAACTGAAACTTTATGTGTAATAGATTTGGTGGAGATTCAATAGCAAAAGTCACTATAGCAAATAAACTATTTAATTAGATTGTATGTTCAAAAATTCTCTTTGATTTTCTTGCTGTGGTAGTTACAGACTATGAAGTATAGTTTTCTGATAGCCAGTAAAGTGTCTGCCACTGCAAGTGATTTTAGAGTTTACTTGTTTGAACTTTAGGTTATGCTTTATTGAGGGTGAGGGAAATCAATGTTCATATTGTTTATTTTTTGTAACTTTCCTTTTAGAGGGAAGATAACCTTAAAGCACATATGCCTTCTGTTTTTAATGGATTGTGCAACTTTTTTACAGGACCAAAGGAGACTACCAAATTTCTTGTGATGGACCTTGAAAAATAAACAATAATATGAATCCTGCATAACATTGAATAATTTTCAACAGGTTTATAGCTCTGTCTTATACATTTTTAGAGAACTACATTTCACTAAGTTTCATCAGGTTTGTGTATAGGATTGCAGTCTTAGGCACACTTACCTGGGAGTAAGCCCAGTTGAATTCAGTAGGATTTACTTCTGAGTAGAGATTGCACTTTTGGAAAGTGTTCTTGTGCTTGGTTTGGTCAGGCTTTTATTTTTTTAGCATTTCCAGGAATTTTCTTCTTTTGATTTATAGGGTTCATTATGAACCCTACTGAAATGAAGTTTGAAACTTTTATTCAAGCTTTTACAATATTGTATAAAAATAGAGTGCAATAAAGATTTTATAGCTAATTATGAAATCTAAAAAACAGGAAGGAATTAAACCTTTGGGCACTGAGAAGGTTAGTATGCATTACTTGCACCTGCTTCTACCGATGCAGATGTTTTCCCATTAATTTAAAATCATGTCACTTGCTAAGTGGCTATTATGGTGATGCAACACAGTTACTAATTATAACGCACAAATCACATTTAATGCCTTTGGACTCGTAATATTTAAGGGTAAAAAGCCCTGTGTTGTTCCTATTGTACAGATGGAAGATGAAGATGCTTAAGGCTATGCAGTCATTCTCTGGGTAGCATGACCTTTGTATGTGGGTCCAAGGTCAATGCTCTACCTAGTGGGCCATCTCAATCCCTTATTGTGTCAAGAGGCTTTCCTCTCTTCCTTTCACAAAAAAAATTTGTATTCTAAGCTTCAGCTTGTTGCTGTGCATGGATGGGAGAAATCAGAATGTGAATTTTAAGGGAAAGAGCAAGCCATTTCTTCTCAGATGCTTGATATAGCACCAATAATCTATTAAAATTCTGATTTAAATCAAACACACCTGCTGGTCTAAAAGCCTTATCAATGAGAAAATATACCAGTAAGGGAGCTTACCAGGTTTTACAACAATTTGTTTTTGTTTTTTAATCCAAAACAAATTGAAAGAATGGCATAGCTGCTTCCCTTGCCCTCCAGTCTGTTGCTTTCCTTATAAAAGGAGAGTGAGAAATCTGAGATGTATTTTATTTTAACCAGGAGCATGGTTTCTTTCAGTTAGTTCATTACTTATGCAGGAAAAAGGAAGGAGTTGTCACTTTTTCAAGTACTGGTAACATGCTTAAGCAATTAAAATGGGGTTTTATTAATCTTGTTTTCCCAGTTTAATAATTTTGGCTTCTCATGTGCATTGAAAGAGAATCCTGACAGTGCAAGGGAATTGTCTAGGGCAAGAATGACCCACAAGCAGCTTGAAGGCAGCAGCTGGCCTATGAGATTATTTGTCCAGCTTTCAGGACTACATGCAAGGAAGCAGCATCCATGATCCCACTACTTGGCTCTGCTTTCATGCTGTTTTCCTTCTCCCCTCCCCTATTAGTTTCCTTTTGTGCTCTCTCTCTCACCTCCCTGCTTTATATACGTTCGGTTTATAAAGTGCATATGTGATACTCATACTCTGAGCCCCTTGGTCAAAAAAGCATCCCACAAATTAGAATGAAGCAGCTGGTCATCGCTGTTCTAGATCTCTTTCCAGCCCCTCCCATTCAGCTGGCTTCTGTAATGCTATGCTCTGAAGACACTTGTGCACCTCTTCCAGAGGTGCATGCAAACAGAAATGGGGCAAGAGCAGGTTTTCCACTGAAATTGTTTACCTTTGGCAAAGAAGTCATCTGCATGACCCATCTTTTTTTTAAAAAAAAGAGCAGTGAACAAAGAGTCAACACAAGAACATAGAAAGTCACCCGAGAGACATACTTCTTTTATTATGCTTCCTACACTAATCATATCCAAAAGAGCATGTTCCATTGTCGGCTCAGAGAATGGTCTGTTGGCACATGCAGTGATGCATTTCTGATGAATCTGTATCCTTGGAAGCTGTCCAGGTGAGAGCCTGTTGGGAATTATATATAAGCTGCTCTGAGCCCTTTGTAGGCAAGGTGAGACTTAATAAAACAAAATAAGTGCCTTTAAAGTCAGGAATTACTCTAATCAATATATGTGTATTGATTATGAGTGATATCATAGTGGAAGGATGCTTGATTTTAATCTATTATATAAAAGGAAGATGGGAAGAAATGTGTTTATTCAGAGAAGTTACATCCTGCTGAGACCCTGAGAGGCTCTCAAAGCAGCTTGCAAAGGACTTGCACAATACAATCACACTCAAGTGTAGCATCAGAAACATAAATAGACATAGCAGGATAACAGCTATTTTTGTATTTCCAGACGTGGGGAATTGACCATTCTGTTTTTTAAATTTCCGATAGACTGGTATAACCTGAAACCTGCGCAACACCCAATAGAGCCTTGTTTGAATGTCTGCTACGTCCTCTCATCCTCCCATATGCGGACAGATGGCTTCACCACCATGCTTTGTTTACCATTGAACTTGATAAAACAGCACATACATGCATACATACATAATTTTATTTGTATGCTGCCATTCCATAGTTCAAGCCATGCTCAAGGCAGCTTTCAACATGAAAAATATACATAATGACAACATAATGAAAGCTGGAGAACCAAAAGGCTTGCACACTATTTTGTGACCTTTTGATAGGCCTTTGGAATTTATCTTATAGGCAAACATAGCTTCTTCTTTTTTGCTTTTTGTATAAGTAACATGGTGTCCTCATATGGTGCCATGATTATCCAAGCTACGTTACCTGCCCTCCTTGGTCTTCCCTGGTGTTTCCCTTTGATCACCAGACCTCTGAGGCATGGGAATAGGTCAAGTACAGTGGTGCCTCGCAAGACGAAATTAATTCGTTCCGCGAGTTTTGTCGTCTTGCGGTTTTTTTCGTCTTGCGAAGCACGGTGTCGGAAAAGTTTTGGAAAAGCTTCAAAAATCACCAAAGTCTTCAAAAACCTCAAAAAAGGCTACTACACTGCGTGCTATGAGTTGCTCCTCGAAGTCAAGTCGCAACTGTATTAACGGTTTTAAGAAAAAAGGAAACAAATTTGCAAGACGTTTCCATCTTGCGAAGCAAGCCCATAGGGAAAATCGTGTTGCGAAGCAACTCAAAAAACCAAAAACCCTTTCGTTTTGCGAGTTTTCCGTCTTGCGAGGCATTCGTCTTGCGAGGTACCACTGTAATAAAAGTAGGCAACACTAACAGAGCAATCCTGTGCAAGTTTACTCTGAAGTTAATTAGCATTTAGTTCAACGGGGTTTGTTCCCAGGTAAGTGGCATAGCATTTCTACCCAAGTACGGTATGTCATCAGGTGGTGAGAAGAAAAGGTATTATTTTGTTTCTTTTATTATTTCTAGCCTACCCTTAATCATAAATGATCTATGGTTAGGGAACAATAAAACATTTTAAAACCTTAATGATACCATAAAACGAGCAGTTAACAAATCAATACCCAGAGCTACCACAGAAATAACTATATCTTAACACAGTCTGGATAGTAGTACTTCACAAATGCCTGAGCAAATAAGTGTATTATTGCTGGGAACAAAACCAAAGAAGAGATGGCAACAGTCATATCCCAAGAGGGAGGCCATTCCACAAATGGGGTGTCGCCACGGAGAAGGCCTCCCATGGCACCACGTAAGAAATCTCACCAAGCAGTGGAGCATCAAGAAGGCCTCCTCTCAACTATGATGGGGTACATTTCTGGCCTTTTTTAAAAGCAGAAACTGATGTTGGGGAAACAAGTCTCCATTTTCAAATATTTATGTCACTGGACAGACATTCAAAGATTTCCGAATTTGAATTTTGAATCAGAGATTTGATGATTACAACTTGGGACATTTTTCTAGTTTGGGGTATAACTTCAATGTTTGGGGGGTCTGTATGTATCACTGTTCAAATTTTAGTGAGAAGGCCTGAATTTTTGTCCCCACAAATGCATATATATATTTAACATCAATTTAGCCCCTAAAGTCCTCAAATCCAGCCCATCTACTCCACATTTGACATAGTATGACATCCGATGTGGACTATGAAATGCCCCCTATGAGAATTCTAGCTATTCCCTCTTTATTTGTAATGTGTAATTGGCACATTCCAGTGTCAATTAAAAATATTTCTTATTTAGATGCACCTTTCAAAAATGCGCTTACAACTTACGGTATTTATATCCTTCTAATAGTTGCTTGTTGGTTTCAGTATTTGCTGTTGGTGGTTGCTCTCTACTTTTTCACTTTTTTCTGATTGTGTTTGTTCTTTATTAAAGTTAGCTAACTTGGAAGCTCCATTGTGGAGCTAAATGGTGTAATACAAAATTTTAATTTGCTGATTTCAGACAATTATTATTTTATTTTATTATTCATTAAGTTTATATACCGCCCTTCATCCAAAGATCACAGGGCAGTTTACAGCATAATTATCCAGAAGTAACAACTTGAACTGAGCAACTGCAAAGGGCTATCCCAATTCACTCTAGATATCATGGGTCTGTGAGATATATCTTAAAAGAAAGAACAGACTGCTATTGTGCGTGTTCTGTATTATACTGATTTTTATGCTTATAACACAAATGAGAGGAAACTAATTCGGTGAGGCAGGATGTTCAGCTCAGCAATCATTAATCCGGATAATCAGGTATTACAAGAAGTGAGTAAAAAGCTGAAGAGTAGCCTTTCCAGATTTCTCAGGACTCAAAACACTTCCACTTGTGGCTGACATCATTTGTCATGGCTAGTGTTTGCATGTGTTCCATTTTAAAGCTTGGGCTTTAACAAGCATGATAGATCAAAGGTGTGCATGGACTAGAATAATGTCTTTAACAACTAAAGTTGTTTGCACAATGTTTGAAAGGTGATCCTATATCTGTACCACTAGATGCATGTTCAGGCTTTCCACAAGTTCAATAACTCTGCACGACTGAGATTTCCAAACGTGGAGAATCTATGTGTGTACAAGTGTTTGTGCATCTCCTTTTCTTTCAGCACAGACAGTTGGCCATGATAATATTGGGAGCAGCCGGGCTAGACAGATGGGATCCTGCTCACCTCTTTTGTATGGTTCCTACAAGTGCTATTGTTCTAGAAAAAGAGGTGCCGGAACTCACCATGAACTCACCCTTGTTCTCTTATAATGGCAATGGCACCCACCTGAGGTGCCAGAACTGAGTTCCTGTGAGGTCCGGCTGAAAAAGCCCTGGTTCCTACACACAGGAGGAACAAGTGAATAGGGCTCCTATTTCTTGTGTCAAGTAGACTGTGGAGAGATGGAGTTGTATTCAGTAGATTCCGTGTGCAGGATTCAACTAATGCTTCATTCTTGTGGAAACCTATGCAAGGACTTCTGCAAGAGCAATGGGATTTTCCCCACTTCTATGCATGTACCTTCTGCAATTGGCTTGGGATAGTGTGAAGAGAACCCTGAGAAAAGCATGGAAGAGGAGATGGGGATCGTTCTGACCTGAATTTTTTTGCACTGACAGAACGATTGCCATAGCACTATACAGTATTGAACTCCTCCCACTGAAATGAATAACCCTAAGTTAAGTCATGTCTATTACAGTGGTACCTCGGGTTACATACGCTTCAGGTTACATATGCTTCAGGTTAAAAACTCCGCTAACCCAGAAATAGTGCTTCAGGATAAGAACAGAAATCGGGCTCCGGCGGCAGAGCAGCAGCAGGAGGCCCCATTAGCTACAGTGGTGCTTCAGGTTAAGAACAGTTTCAGGTTAAGAACAGACCTCCGGAACGAATTAAGTACTTAACCCGAGGTACCACTGTAATTTCAATGGGTCTAATTCTGCGTAGGAGTAGCATTTGATACCATCCAAAGTTATTATATCTTATATAGAACCATAGAGTTGGAGGGGACCATTTAGACTTTCTGGTCCAAGCTTTGCTCAGTGAAGGAACTACAGAGCTGCAGCCTCTCCTTAAAAATGTTCACTGAGGGACAGCCCACTTCCTTTCATTTAACAGATCAGTTAACAACTGAGTGTTAGATTGACACCAACTCACAGCTGCTTCTGATAATACTTCTTGCTTTTGCAGGAGGGCACTCACAAATCACTCCCATTAAAAACATGGTAGACATTCTGTGCTACAGACATGATTTGTTCTGAAATTTGCAACTTTCTTCTGGATTTGTGAATGGTATTGGCGTTATTGTTTTTGTCAATTACTCTCCTGTTATTAGAAAAGGTGGTCTTGGGATTCAGCAGTCA